TTCGCCCAGTGCCGGCGTAATTTGATTGCAAAAGAGCTGAAACTTGCCATGCTAAAATCTCAGGCGATTAGCTTTCGAATGGTGTATGTCTTGTCAATTCACTCCGTCATCACTAATTCACTTTTTTTCAAACTGATGTCTAGTATAATATCAGAGTTTTTCGCCCAGTGTCGGCGTAATTTGATTCCAAAAAAGCTGAAACTTGCCATGCTAAAATCTCAGGCGATTAGCTTTCGAATGGTGTATGTCTTGTCAATTCACTCCTTCATCACTAATTCACTTTTTTTAAAACCGGTGTCTAGTATAATATCAGAGTTTTTCGCCCAGTGTCGGCGTAGTTTGATTCCAAAAAAGCTGAAACTTGCCATGCTAAAATCTCAGGCGATTAGCTTTTGAATGGTGTATGTCTTGTCAATTCACTCCGTCATCACTAATTCACTTTTTTTCAAACTGATGTCTAGTATAATATCAGAGTTTTTCGCCCAGTGTCGGCGTAGTTTGATTCCAAAAAAGCTGAAACTTGCCATGCTAAAATCTCAGGCGATTAGCTTTTGAATGGTGTATGTCTTGTCAATTCACTCCGTCATCACTAATTCACTTTTTTTAAAACCGGTGTCTAGTATAATATAAGAGTTTTTCGCCCAGTGTCGGCGTAATTTGATTGCAAAACAGCTGAAACTTGTCATGCTAAAATCTCAGGCGATTAGCTTTCGAATGGTGTATGTCTTGTCAATTCACTCCGTCATCACTAATTCACCTTTTTTCAAAACCGGTGTCTAGTATAATATCAGAGTGTTTCGCCCAGTGTGGACGTAATTTGATTCCAAAAAAGCTGAAACTTGCCGTGCTAAAATCTCAGGCGATTAGCTTTCCAATGGTGTATGTCTTGTCAATTCACTCCGTCGTCACTAATTCACTTTTTTTTAAAACCGGTGTCTAGTATAATATCAGAGTTTTTCGCCCAGTGTCGGCGTAATTTGATTCCAAAAAAGCTGAAACTTGCCATGCTAAAATCTCAGGCGATTGGCTTTCGAATGGTGTATGTCTTGTCAATTCACTCCGTCATCACTAATTCACTTTTTTTCAAACTGATGTCTAGTATAATATCAGAGTTTTTCGCCCAGTGTCGGCGTAATTTGATTCCAAAAAAGCTGAAACTTGCCATGCTAAAATCTCAGGCGATTAGCTTTCCAATGGTGTATGTCTTGTCAATTCACTCCGTCATCACTAATTCACTTTTTTTTCAAACTGATGTCTAGTATAATATCAGAGTTTTTCGCCCAGTGCCGGCGTAATTTGATTGCAAAAGAGATGAAACTTGCCATGCTAAAATCTCAGGCGATTAGCTTTCGAATGGTGTATGTCTTGTCAATTCACTCCGTCATCACTAATTCACTTTTTTTCAAACTGATGTCTAGTATAATATCAGAGTTTTTCGCCCAGTGTCGGCGTAGTTTGATTCCAAAAAAGCTGAAACTTGCCATGCTAAAATCTCAGGCGATTAGCTTTCCAATGGTGTATGTCTTGTCAATTCACTCCGTCGTCACTAATTCACTTTTTTTAAAACCGGTGTCTAGTATAATATCAGAGTTTTTCGCCCAGTGTCGGCGTAGTTTGATTCCAAAAAAGCTGAAACTTGCCATGCTAAAATCTCAGGCGATTAGCTTTCCAATGGTGTATGTCTTGTCAATTCACTCCGTCGTCACTAATTCACTTTTTTTAAAACCGGTGTCTAGTATAATATCAGAGTTTTTCGCCCAGTGTCGGCGTAATTTGATTCCAAAAAAGCTGAAACTTGCCATGCTAAAATCTCAGGCGATTGGCTTTCGAATGGTGTATGTCTTGTCAATTCACTCCGTCATCACTAATTCACTTTTTTTCAAACTGATGTCTAGTATAATATCAGAGTTTTTCGCCCAGTGTCGGCGTAGTTTGATTCCAAAAAAGCTGAAACTTGCCGTGCTAAAATCTCAGGCGATTAGCTTTCCAATGGTGTATGTCTTGTCAATTCACTCCGTCATCACTAATTCACTTTTTTTTCAAACTGATGTCTAGTATAATATCAGAGTTTTTCGCCCAGTGCCGGCGTAATTTGATTGCAAAAGAGATGAAACTTGCCATGCTAAAATCTCAGGCGATTAGCTTTCGAATGGTGTATGTCTTGTCAATTCACTCCGTCATCACTAATTCACTTTTTTTCAAACTGATGTCTAGTATAATATCAGAGTTTTTCGCCCAGTGTCGGCGTAATTTGATTCCAAAAAAGCTGAAACTTGCCATGCTAAAATCTCAGGCGATTAGCTTTCGAATGGTGTATGTCTTGTCAATTCACTCCTTCATCACTAATTCACTTTTTTTAAAACCGGTGTCTAGTATAATATCAGAGTTTTTCGCCCAGTGTCGGCGTAGTTTGATTCCAAAAAAGCTGAAACTTGCCATGCTAAAATCTCAGGCGATTAGCTTTCCAATGGTGTATGTCTTGTCAATTCACTCCGTCGTCACTAATTCACTTTTTTTAAAACCGGTGTCTAGTATAATATCAGAGTTTTTCGCCCAGTGTCGGCGTAATTTGATTCCAAAAAAGCTGAAACTTGCCATGCTAAAATCTCAGGCGATTGGCTTTCGAATGGTGTATGTCTTGTCAATTCACTCCGTCATCACTAATTCACTTTTTTTTCAAACTGATGTCTAGTATAATATCAGAGTTTTTCGCCCAGTGTCGGCGTAGTTTGATTCCAAAAAAGCTGAAACTTGCCATGCTAAAATCTCAGGCGATTAGCTTTTGAATGGTGTATGTCTTGTCAATTCACTCCGTCATCACTAATTCACTTTTTTTAAAACCGGTGTCTAGTATAATATAAGAGTTTTTCGCCCAGTGTCGGCGTAATTTGATTGCAAAACAGCTGAAACTTGTCATGCTAAAATCTCAGGCGATTAGCTTTCGAATGGTGTATGTCTTGTCAATTCACTCCGTCATCACTAATTCACCTTTTTTCAAAACCGGTGTCTAGTATAATATCAGAGTGTTTCGCCCAGTGTGGACGTAATTTGATTCCAAAAAAGCTGAAACTTGCCGTGCTAAAATCTCAGGCGATTAGCTTTCCAATGGTGTATGTCTTGTCAATTCACTCCGTCGTCACTAATTCACTTTTTTTAAAACCGGTGTCTAGTATAATATCAGAGTTTTTCGCCCAGTGTCGGCGTAATTTGATTCCAAAAAAGCTGAAACTTGCCATGCTAAAATCTCAGGCGATTGGCTTTCGAATGGTGTATGTCTTGTCAATTCACTCCGTCGTCACTAATTCACTTTTTTTAAAACCGGTGTCTAGTATAATATCAGAGTTTTTCGCCCAGTGTCGGCGTAATTTGATTCCAAAAAAGCTGAAACTTGCCATGCTAAAATCTCAGGCGATTGGCTTTCGAATGGTGTATGTCTTGTCAATTCACTCCGTCATCACTAATTCACTTTTTTTCAAACTGATGTCTAGTATAATATCAGAGTTTTTCGCCCAGTGTCGGCGTAATTTGATTCCAAAAAGCTGAAACTTGCCGTGCTAAAATCTCAGGCGATTAGCTTTCCAATGGTGTATGTCTTGTCAATTCACTCCGTCGTCACTAATTCACTTTTTTTAAAACCGGTGTCTAGTATAATATCAGAGTTTTTCGCCCAGTGTCGGCGTAATTTGATTCCAAAAAAGCTGAAACTTGCCATGCTAAAATCTCAGGCGATTGGCTTTCGAATGGTGTATGTCTTGTCAATTCACTCCGTCGTCACTAATTCACTTTTTTTAAAACCGGTGTCTAGTATAATATCAGAGTTTTTCGCCCAGTGTCGGCGTAATTTGATTCCAAAAAAGCTGAAACTTGCCATGCTAAAATCTCAGGCGATTGGCTTTCGAATGGTGTATGTCTTGTCAATTCACTCCGTCATCACTAATTCACTTTTTTTCAAACTGATGTCTAGTATAATATCAGAGTTTTTCGCCCAGTGTCGGCGTAATTTGATTCCAAAAAAGCTGAAACTTGCCATGCTAAAATCTCAGGCGATTAGCTTTCCAATGGTGTATGTCTTGTCAATTCACTCCGTCGTCACTAATTCACTTTTTTTAAAACCGGTGTCTAGTATAATATCAGAGTTTTTCGCCCAGTGTCGGCGTAATTTGATTCCAAAAAAGCTGAAACTTGCCATGCTAAAATCTCAGGCGATTGGCTTTCGAATGGTGTATGTCTTGTCAATTCACTCCGTCATCACTAATTCACTTTTTTTCAAACTGATGTCTAGTATAATATCAGAGTTTTTCGCCCAGTGTCGGCGTAGTTTGATTCCAAAAAAGCTGAAACTTGCCATGCTAAAATCTCAGGCGATTAGCTTTTGAATGGTGTATGTCTTGTCAATTCACTCCGTCATCACTAATTCACTTTTTTTTAAAACCGGTGTCTAGTATAATATAAGAGTTTTTCGCCCAGTGTCGGCGTAATTTGATTGCAAAACAGCTGAAACTTGTCATGCTAAAATCTCAGGCGATTAGCTTTCGAATGGTGTATGTCTTGTCAATTCACTCCGTCATCACTAATTCACCTTTTTTCAAAACCGGTGTCTAGTATAATATCAGAGTTTTTCGCCCAGTGTCGGCGTAATTTGATTGCAAAAGAGCTGAAACTTGCCATGCTAAAATCTCAGGCGATTAGCTTTCGAATGGTGTATATAATATCAGAATGTTCGGCCTGGTACGGCCGCAATCTTGCTCCAAAGAAGGCGAAAAATGCGGTGTTAAAATTTCATTCTGTGCTCTGTCCAATGGTTAGAGAGATAGGTCTCGTCAATTCTGCCCGACATCTCCAATTGACTTTATTTTATAGGTAACTTCCAGTTTCAAAAAAGTTTGCTAAAAAACTTAAAAATAGTTTTGCATCTTCTCTAACAACTCCCGATCCATTTCACTATAATCTTTACTACCGACTGTCTAATCTCCGCCGGTGCCACCTTAATTTTTCCCTCGATGGTTCCCTTCGGCTTCGGCGCCGTTTTTATTCTCCGGTTCTTCCAAGGAGTCGCTGTCGCCACTTCGTGGCCTGCACTGGGTGCTATTATCGCCGAATCGGCAAGTCTCCGAAAGTCTGGCACTTCTGTGGCTTGGACTTCAGCCCATCTTCAACTGGCCCAGATATTCACGATGCCCGTGGCCGGAGAGTTATGCGAAATTGAATGGAGTTGGCCGGCGTTGTATGTATAATACTTGCAGGGGACTGCGACTGTTATTTGTTTTGCAATGTTCTGGTGGTTCTTTGAAGATTCTCCGATCATCCATCGGTAAAATTAGTTGCCGCATTATTGATGACATTACTTTAGAGAGGTCAGTGAAAAAGAGCTGGAAACTCTGCGGAAAAACAAATTCGTTTTGGAGCTGACAGTGACAATCAGAAGGTCCCATATAAGGAGATTTTAACCGACCAGTCAGTTATTGGAATCCTGTTATTATTGTTCGGGACTACTTGGTGTTTACAATTCTTTTATCAGTATGGCCCGGTCTTTTTGAACCAGGTAAAATTTTGGCCAGAAAACTCTGCCGTCTGATATATTTCCACGTATCTTTAGGTCCAAGGTCTGGGCATTCAGAATGCGAGATTTTCCGCCGCTTTTCCTTTCGTTATCTCGACCGCTGTGAAGTCTATTGTGGGCCATTCAGTAATAATATTCCGTATGTTGGTGACAAGGGCGGACTTATTATACTTTCACCAGTATCCTTGCACTCGATAGGTGCTTTTTTCATCACTCTGGCCTTTCCTTCGGCCGAACAGAATATTTTATCGCAGGTTTTCTTCACCGTGGCCATTGTTTCAAGCGGAATGGATTCTCCAAAAGTTGTCAACTGGCAAGTTACTTCTTGACTATGTTTTTCAGCACTTCAGAAGTTCTTTTGCTATTTTTTGACTCCTTACAATAAAATAATAATTTGTATTACACTTCAAGAGCAGTGCCGGCCCCTCAGGAATCACTGAATCCAAGAGTCCCCCCATGTCGAAAATGACAGGTAAATTAAATTGATCGCGTCCCGACATTTCGGGTCAGGGACAGCTCGGGTCAATGACATTTCGGGTCAACCATACCGTTTAACATTTTCGCTTCGGGACTTGGGAGAAGGATTTTTTGAAGAATTTGAACAAATTTTTGAAATGAGCTCGCTTTTATTTGCATACAATTTACGACTACCTTCTTACTCCACTCTCTGGCACTGTCTCTGTTTAAATCCCGCGCTTCCAGTTAAAAACATAAACAATGGATACGATTTTCTTATTTGCTCTTTGCTTATGAACACTATTTTCCTAAAAATTTCAAAAATAAACCTCAATTCTCCAAAGAATCCTTTCCCCAGTCCCAAAGCGAAAACGTTTCGAAAATTTTTTCTAATTAACCAAAAAATTCTTTTTTCCCAGTCCCGAAGCGAAAGTATTAAACGGTATCGTTGACCCGAAATGTCGTTGACCCGACCTGCCGCGACCTGAGTTGTCCCTGACCCGAAACGGCGTAGCGCCAAATTGATTAGCGTCGAGGAGTCGAACAAACCGGAGCCGCAGAAGAAAAAACAGACCTATCAAGCGATGATTGAAGAAGGAATTGGGGATCTGGATGAGGCGTTTAGTTCGGATGATGATGAAATACCAAGAGAATTGCTTTTGTCGAATTCTAGCACCCACAGTTTTGACGAAACTTGGCACAAATTTAGAACAATTTTACAAATTTAGAATAATTTTTTCTAAAATATATGCGAGAATTCTACATCGCGCTTGGCAGAAACTACCGAGATTTTCAGATCAAAAGCCGGCAAAAATTTTAGACTTTTTGCCGAATTTCAGCACGAAAAGTTTCACACATATTTGTAACATAGAGGGTAAGGTTTCCACAAAAAATCAATTTTTTCCGCACAAAACTACCGCAGTTATGGCCAAAAGTGTTTTTCTGTTTGACCTCTCTCCACGTTTAGTGTGCTCTCTCGGTGGCAAAAATCGTTCAATATCTCGATGGCGCCCGCAAAACGTGAGGTAAAACATTCAAGAATCGATATCTAATCTATGGCCGACATGTGTGCAAAACTTTAAAAAATCTGAGCGTCGCACTTGGGGTATCAGTCTGTCGGAAAAATAACGGCGGATCGCCACATCAAAATGTCTCGCCTCGCCGCTATCGCGCACCAAATCCCAAGTCGCGGCTTGCAGTCGCAGAGCGATGATGGGCGATTCCGAGGCGCGACGGTCCGCCGTTATTTTCCCGACAGACCGATACTAGTCCTTCCGTAAAGTCGCTGGAATGATTTCGGCGACGCGCACTGTGCAAGAAAACTCAGGGTGCGAGCGACGTCCCAAAAAGCTCATTGCACTGTGCAAAAAGCCAAAAATTGCACAGTGCAAAGTGAACTTTCGGTTTCGCGGGGTGCATGTCGCCGAAATCATTCCAGCGACTTTACGGACGGACTAGTACTTCCCTCGACTGATTTCCCATTTTCAGCTTTGAGACACGATTCAAACAATACAATACCGATAAAAAATGGCGCTTTTACGGCCGAACAAAGGATAAACAACCCTCACGAACCCAACTGTTCTTCCTGGACCTAATCCCCTCCTCCGTATGCATCCTACCCTTCCACGATGCCAGTCTCCTAGGTCGAAAACGCCCAAAGTCCCAGAGGATATAAGTAATTCGGTCGCGCCATAATTCAACGCCTTTCAGAGCCAAAAACTAAAAGAATTCTAGGTAGGTACCCCTCACTTCCGCGTCCTAACATTTCGGGTCAGGGACAGATCGGTGAACGACACCTCGGGTCAACGATACCGTTGAATATTTTTGCTTCGGAACTTGGGAAAAAGGATTTTTCGGAGAATTAGAACAAAATTTTGAACTGTTTTCGCTTCGGGAATAAATCCCGTGCTTCCAGTTAAACACATAATCAATGGATACGATTTTCTTATTTGCTCGTCGCTTATAGACACTATTTTCCTAAAAAAAATCGAAAATAAACCTCAATTCTCCAAAAAATCCTTCTCCCCAGTGCCGAAACAAAAACATTTCAAAATTTTGTTCCAATTCTCCAAAAAGTCCTTTTTCCCAAGTCCCGAAGCAAAAATATTAAACGTTATCGTCGACCCGACCTGTCGCGACCCGAGTTGTCCGTGACCCGAAACGCCGTAGCGCTCTCACTTCCAGACTAAACCATCAATCTCTAAGATACAGGCTCTCTATCGGCGCAGTAATAAGAATTTCGTCCTAGGTTGCCCACCTACAGCATCAGCGCCATTCAGCCCAATTCCGATTACTTACCTTCTCCGCCCTTTTCTCCCATTTCCCCTTCCCCTTTCAAAGCAAGCAAGATAAAATAAAAATAAAACAAATAGATCAAATTAAAATCGTAGATTCTTCTTCTTCTCGGCTGGAAAGTTGCTTGGACAGGTTTAATGGGACTTGAAGGAATCTGTAAGAAAATGGAGATTAAGACTAAAAAATCAAAAATAAGTTCAACAATCTCATGAGTAATACGGAAATGCGACGATTGGTTTGAATATAATTACAATAGCCGCTTTGCCGATGCATTCCTACGGGTCTAACTATGATATGCCAAAACTAAAGACACTGCCTTACACTTAGCTACCCGTCCTTGGCCAATTGTTTTACTGCGTGACATGGCACAACTCAATGACTTGTTTTCCAAAAACTCGCTGGTGAACTATCGGAGCAATTCGTAAAATTCAAAAAACAGCTCAAAGCGAAAACGGAGCCTCTGTATCGTTCTACTACTTTATGAAGCATATCATAACAATAACCGCCACTTACCTTTGAATTTTCTTGCATTGTGCGGACTAAGCGATGATGATTTTGTTCTTGACGCCGCTCCACACTCAAATTTCTTCAGGCTTATACCACTTGTCATTCATATACAAACGTGGACGGGCGACCTGGAAGCAATGTTTTACTACAAATGGAAAAATTTGAAAACGGAATTTAACTATCTCATCAACAACATAAATCCCCTACAAATCTTTCATAATCAAGTCCTTTACCACTAACTCAGACAATTCATGGAGCAAAAAGTTATCAACTTTTACCCTCAAAACGACCAAATATTACACCAGAGAGCTAAAAAATGACGACAAATTTGGCAATCTACAGGGTGGTTCAGCCGAAGCGCCAATCCTTATTTCAAGTATTTCTCCGCCAATAATGCACCAATTTCTATAAAATATATACCAAATTGAAGCTGAGGTACCACGTTCTTCGTCTACCTAGTACTTTCTGATTCCGGCAAAAACAAAAGTCGCCAAATTCGATGATTTTTTTTTTAATCGATGAAATTTTTTTTTCGCATATTTCAGCGAGGTACCAAGTCGAACAACCGTAGACAGTCTCGCTCATTTGATCAAATTTTTTTTTTAATTTCGACTAACTAAGCCTGTTACCCCAAAAATAACCAGAGAAATGTCTTGAAGAATAATTATGACTGTTCCGCTGCCTGCCGTCAACTTTTTCTGCTACTTATAAAAGTTTCATTTAGCGAGAGACTCGAATATTTCCCAAGTCCGAGAAAATCAATTAAAAATCATTGCAAAAATTTTCCGAGTTTCACCGATTTTGCGCTCTTAAATTTGGAATGAAAATGTCAAGGGTCAGTACGGGAGCCTCCTTGAACTTGGGCCCGTCGTATTTGGTGGACAGAAAATGGGGTAGGTCAGCTTCAATTTGATAAATTTTATAGAAACTGGTGCATTACTGGCGGAAAAATACTTAAAATAAGGACGGAAGCTTCGGCTGGGCCACCCTGTACATCTTTCAAACCCACACTAGAACGGATTTCCAGCCTATGGATCTACCAAAGGCACCCTCTATTAACGAAACTTCACTTACCAAAAAACAAATTGAACTGTGAATCTTCAAACAAGCCGCCCGTTCCATGGAACGCATGTTTCGGCAGAGTGACTTGTTCCTTGTTTCCAATCACTCCAGCTTCCTTGTCGACCATCAGGCAACCATGAAGGATGAAGGCCATTCTGAAAAAACAATGTATTAAAAAGCGAAAAACTGGAACAATATAAACCTAATGAACAATATAAAAATTTCTAAACACCGCCATTACGACATGTCTAATGGCACTAGTCATTAGTCACCATAAAATTGCTTCTACAGCCCTCAGCAGTTTTTATTTCCCTCAAATACCCTAAAAAAGCAAACAAAATCAGCCTAACAGGGGAAGCATACGTGCGACGCCCAGATTTTAAAGAAACTTGGCACAAATTTAGAATATTTTTTTCTAAAATATATGCGAGTTTCCTAGCTCGCGCTTTGCAGAAACAACCGAAATTTTTTATATCGAAAGTCGGCGAAAATTTTGACAATTTTTGCCGAACTTCGGCACGAAATGTTTCATGCCTATTTCTACCATAAAGAGTAATGTTTCCACAAAAAAAATAATTTTTTTTCCGCGCGAAACTAGCGAAGTTACGGCCTAAAAGTGTTTTTCTGTTTGACCGCTCTCCATGTTTAGCGTGCTCTCTCGGCGGCGAAAAACGTTCAATATCTCGGGGCACCCGCAAAGCGCGAGCTAAAACTTTCAGGAATTGATATTTAGTCTATTCCCGACGTGCGTGAAAAAATATATCGTGATGACGGGCTTTTTTCACAAAACTAAACTCTTATTCACCTAAAATGCTCTCAGTATCCCTTCTAGACCTCGATTCCCTAATTTATCACTCCCAATTGGCATACCTTTCTGATCTTTCCGCGGTGGGGACCTCCAGGGCTCCATTGATTTCTCCAACTTCTCCAGGGCTCCAAGAAACGGATTCTCGAGGATTTCCATGAAAATAAATAAGATTAAAAATAGAACGAGCAGTATCTGGACTTATGACACGAAATAAAGGCCTACAATTGGGAAAAAACAACTTACTTTAATCACCAAAGCAGGCTTTGATGATTGGGTGAAGGGGAGGGAGTGGAAGGGAAAGGGAAAGGGAAAGGGAAAGGAGGGTGGTGGGAGTGGTAGAAGAAGGCGAGTAATGGAAGTGGTGGGAGTGGAAGCGGTGAGGCTTCTTCTTTTATTTTTTTGCTTCCTTTTTTCTTTTTTTTTTTCTTTTTTATTTTCTTTTTCTTTTTTTTCTTATTTTTTATTTTTTTTCTTTTTTTTTACTCTTTTAATTTTTTTTTCTTTTTTAAAGCTATCCGTTGCGTGGGGCTTGCAGATCTCTGCAAATTAAAAGAATAAATTGAAGAACCCTCAAAAAAGAATTGACAATAATCTCAAACTATCCGTTTCCCCAAGAATGTGGCGTAAATGAAGGTGATGTTTAGGTTTCTGAAAATAAAATATACCATATAGCTCGGGAAAAAACCAGGCTAAAATCAAGGGTGAAACAACAACCTACATAGTAAAAAATGGGTGGTAAACATTTGGGGTAGGGCAGTGAAATCTTGGAGCAATATCTGAAAATAAAATAATCAATTGAGGAACCACCAAAAAAACAAGTGACAACAATCTCAAGAAGAATTCCCTAATATTTCCTCAACTACCAAAAAAAGCCATCAAAACTTACTTTCCATGTTGTTTCTGTCGTTGGTTTGAGACTCGGCCATGTAGGTGCCGTCCTGGGCCGGAATTGGGACATTGAAAATAGGGTCGGAAAATGTGTTCCAAAGATTCACTGATTCGAGAGATGGGTTTCTGAAAAAATAGATCATTAATTTAAGAAAAATCCATGAAAAATTCGAGAATGAAATAACAACTTACATTGATACAAATGGGCGGTAAACTATAAGGGAATCTAATTTTACAAGAGAAAAATAAAAGTCATTTTAAAAAAATTATTTTTTTCTATTTTTTCTTTTTTTTATTTTTTCTTTTTTTCATTTTTTTCTTTTTTTGTATTTTTTTTATATTTTTTTTATTTTTCTATTTTTTTTTCTTATTTTTTTCATTTTTTTTTTTTTAAAGCTATCCGTTGCGTGGGGCTTGGAGATATCTGCAAATTAAAAGAATAAATTGAAGAACCCTCAAAAAAGAATTGACAATAATCTCAAACCTTCCGTAATTTCCTCAACTACCAATAAAACTTACATTCTGAAGAGAGTGCGATGGGGGGAGGAGTGTCGTGCGAGTGAAATGGAGGAGGGGTGCGGTGCGAGTGGGAGGGAAGGATGGGTGTTGCGAATGGAAAGGGGAATGTGGCGTGAGTGAAGGTGATGTTTGGGTTTCTGAAAACATATACCATATAGTTTGAGAAAAAACCAGGCTAAAACCAAGGGTGAAACAACAACTTACATAGTAAAAAATGGGTTGTAAACATTAGGGATACGGCAGAGAAATCTCGGAGCAATCTCTGAAAATAAAATAATCAATTGAGGAACCACCAAAAAAACAAGTGACAACAATCCGAACAGTTCCCTAATATCCTCAGCCAGAGATTGCCATGGTCAAAATTTCGGCTCCGGCTCCCATGAAAAATTTAAAAAGGTCTCCGGCTCCAAATCTCGGCTACCGAGCAAAAATTTTTTTAAAAATACTTTTCCAAAAATAAAAGTTGTTAGTGCCAGAGATCATACACCCAAGGTTTTTGCAGCCGAGTCGTATGCAACACATCCTTCCCAGTACTTTTCAAGCAATTTGGTCTAACAAGATCACGAAATTTTTACTTTTCTGAACGCTGAGAAGCCTGGCTTCGACTTTGGGCTCGGGAGCCGGAGCCGCACCCAAAATTTCCGGGTCCGGCTCTGACTCCCGGCTCGGAGCCGGAGCGAAGAGCCGGCTCCGAAGCCGTGGCAATCTCTGTCCTCAACTACAAAAACCATCAAAACTTACATTCCATGTTGTCTAAGTCGTTGGTTAAGGTCTCGGCCATGTAGGTGCCGTCCTGGGCCGGAATTGGGACATTGAAAATAGGGTCGGAAAATGTGTTCCAAAGATTCACTGATTCGAGAGATGGGTTTCTGAAAAAATAGATCATTAATTTAAGAAAAATGCAGGATAAATTCAAGAATGAAATAACAACTTACATTGATATAAATAGGCGGTAAACTATTAGGCGAGTAAAATTAGAAGAGAAGAAGAGAGAAGAAGGATACGGGATACTTAAAAAAATTTTTTTTTCTTTTTTTTATATTTTTTCTTTTTTTCCTTTTTTTATTTTTTTTTCTTTTTTTTATATTTTTTTATATTTTTTTTCTTTTTTTTCCTTTTTTTTTATTTTTTTCTTTTTTTTATTTTTTTCTTTTTTTTATTTTTTTCTTTTTTTTATGTTACATCCGAAAAGCAGTGAAGAAATCTTGGAGCAATATCTGAAAGTACAGTGATCAATTGAAGAACCACAAAAAACAAGTGACAACAATCCGAACAGTTCCCTGATATCCTCAACTACAAAAAAAAAACCATCAAAGCTTACATTCCATGTTGTCTAAATCGTTGGTTTGGATTTCGGCCATGTAGGTGCCGTCCTGGGCCGGGAGTGACGTTGTTGAATTGGTGCAGTTTTCGAAGGATCCATTGCTTTCCGGGGTCATTTTCTGCAAAGATGAATCATATAATTTGAGATTAAAGACCACGCTAAAACAAGTATAAACCGATAACTTACATGTTAAAAAATCGTGATAAATTAAATACAAATATTATACAATAGATGAGACAAATACAATAGATACAATAGACAATAGAAATTAAATACAAATACAATAGATAAATACAACAGATGAGGGGTCAAAATTAAATACAGTAGATAAGGGGTCAAAATTAAATACAATAGATGAGGGGTCAAAATTAAATATAATACAATAGATGAGGGGGCAAAATTAAATACAATAGATGAGGGGTCAAAATTAAATATAATACAATAGATGAGGGGTCAATTAAAAAAGCATTTTTATTTATATTTTCATTTTTTACGTTTTTTTTGTTACTTTTTTTATTTTTTTTTATTTTTTTTGGCCTTTTCCATTTTTTTGGCTCTTTTTTTTTTTTTGATTTTTTTGGCCTTTTCAATTTTTTCGGCTCTTCTATTTTTTGCCTTTTAATTATTTTTTGGCTTTTTTTCTCTGTTATCCTTTCGGTGGTGGGTATCGAGACAGGATCTCTGAAAAATAAAAAATTAACACGTAAAAACACCAGTGACAACACTATAAAAATATCTCTAAACCCCTTGACAAAGGTGGTCAGTGTTTCCTAAAGCGTATCTGTCCCGGATAATCATCCGAAAGCCGGCTCACATCAACCACAAACAGAATGCCAACATTTTTGGCATTCGGTTTTTTAAGGAGTTCTGATGTTTTAGCTGACTGTGCAGTGGGTAATGCACAAAATAACATGAACCTGCGATTAAAATATTGCCAAGGCCTCATAATTTTTAAATTAGTAGATCTTGGCGCCTTTGGGCCACCGGGTTAGCGGAAAAACGCCGGAGAAAATCGAATTTTTTGCGAACTTTGCATAACTTGTCTAAAACTATTGAAACATGAAAAGCGATTGCAACGATCTTCAGAATATCGTATTCTTACAAGGGAATGGTCCCAACGATCCGTGGGATCCACAAATGAAACCTAGATATTCTGAAAGAGCAGGTAAAATTTAGTAGGAATCCGTTTTTTCTACTTGCCGAATAAGTCTGTGCGACGAGAAATATCGACGAAAAGATCCGACCAAAAAATCGAAAGAGAGAAAAGACGAACCGAAAGGCCTTGGAAGGCGTCACCAAATAGTCTAGTGGAAAAAGTTCCACGCACGAATCTTTTGGGGAAGGGAGGCCTTGGAGGTTCGAGTCCACCCGGAGCGGATATCTCCGGCTTGAACCCAAGTGTTCATCATTACTGTGTTCTACAGTTATATAAAAATTTTTTTGTTTATTGACCTGTTTTACAGGGATTGTTGCATCGAGCCGTAACAAATTCTGTTCATTACGTCTTTCTATGATACCACCAGGTCCGAAGTTCCAAAAAAGACAAATTTATGCAATTTTATACCTTCCGGGCAGAATTTGGGAAGAATAGTTTGGGAACTTGTTAAACACATGTCCACGGCCATCTTAAACCAAAAAACTCAAAATCGATTTTTTCGTAAATATTCACGCGATCTACTACACGCTCACGCAAGGACCCAAAAATTCTCTTTTCAACTTTTCTTGCAAAATTTTATGAAAAGTTGAGATTTTGGCAACATCCTTTTTGGGAAACCGAAAAAGATCTGCAAGACCCTATACAACCTTCCAGAAAGGAGTATAAGTGTCTTGAAAATAAAATATTGCCGAAGTGTCAACTTTTCTTAAAATTTTGCAACAAACCCTGTAAAACAGGTCAATAAACAAAAAAAATTTTTTGCATAACTGTAGAACACAATAATGAATACATAGGTTCAAGCCGGAGATAACCGCTCCGGGTGGACTCGAACCTCCAAAGCTTCCCTCCCGCAAAAGATTCGTGCGTGGAACTTTTTCCACTAGACTATTTGGTGACGCTTTCCAAGGCCTCTCGGTTCGTCTTTTCTCTCTTTCGATTTTTTAGTCGGATCTTTTCGTCGATATTTCTCGTCGCACAAACTTATTCGGCAAGTAGAAAAGACGGATTCCTACTAAATTTTACCTGCTCTTTCAGAATATCTAGGTTTCATTTGCGGATCCCACGGATCGTTGGGACCATTCCCTTGTTAGATACCATGCAAAGTTTGAAGCAAATCGGTCTAACAATAAAAAAGTAGATTCGGTTTTAAGTTTTTTACCTTATGGATTATATTACTTTATTCAACTTTCAATGTTCGACAGCGTTAAATAGTCAAATAAATGAGCCATATTATCTCACAACATTTTGTTAATGGAGATTAACTGCAAAAATTTCAACTCCCATGCCGAACAAAAGTTTTACCTTATAGTAGCATACCTGATCTTATACCAAAAATAATAGAAGTTTAAGACTGAAGTCAAAGTTTTAAAACCATCTATGTGAATTGCGATTGCTTTCTAAGGCTACGCTGAATTTTTGGAGCTGGTTTCAACCTTGCTGCGCCGATTTCAAAAATGATCACTATCACCTAAAGCAACGTTCTCACAACAGCTTCCAAAATGGTGCGGATGTCAGTAATTATGCTCTTACTGACTTTTTAGATCAAAGTGGACCTAGCTGAGTTAAAATCTGCCGATTTTTAAAATATTATTTTATTCACCTAAATATCAGTTTTTTTGGAATTTTGAGTGAGTAAGCTAGTATAGGACATAGGGTTCCTTATTGTTCTCTAAAACTACTCTAATTATGCTCATAGGAAAAAGAATTTAGGTAATTGCTTCGTTACGAAACGATTTAGTAGCAAAGATGTCTAAAATAAGGTTCTCAAATCTACTATTTGTTGGTCAGTCCGGCTCGTTTCTAATTCTTTGTTTGAGCTACCCTTGGGCATCCTAACAAAGTGTTGCAAACAGTTTTCCCGATTTGAAACTTTTTTTTCTGGTTGATGTGCGTTGTAAGTTTAGCTTCAAACAGATAGAAGACGACCGATTTTTTCCTATGAAACATATATGGCGAGGTTAAGCAGGAGTCCAGCTTCAAATTTATGTATGCAATAAACCCATTCTACACCATCTTCCATGTGTAATCAGGTTACCTTTGGAGCAAAAACTTATCTTTCAGCTAAAACAGAATGCCAAGAATTTCCCATTGCTTGAGCGCTTTTGTTCTAGGTTTTCTTGACGTGCAGCTACTATAACATCCCGAAACTAAACCCCGTGATCAAAAAAACGTAAAACATTGGCTGATGGAACTTACTGCTTCCATTTTTCCTTTCAAATAGCCATAGAACGATTCAAGAGTCGGATTAGCAGTTGGGCCCACTGGGCCACCTTCGTCCAGGAAAATTCGGCGTACATTTCTCGTGGTGGGTGTTCTAAACGAGATCTTAATAGTTATGAGGACAAACTTAAAAAAAATACAATTGACCTTTAAAAAATATCTAATTTCTACGTAAAAAGCCATAAAATCTCTCAGCATAACGTCAAGCACGACCTATGTTCTCTATTCAGCCGTATTTTTCTAAAATACGGCCTAAAATAAGCTTACCTCTCGGCCATTTTCCAATTAATCAACGACCATCCAGTGCACAATCGATCAGCCAATTTTCTCATCGTTGGAATCGTCAGCTCATTGACAATTCCAGACTGTCCCACCAAGGCTTGAGCCACCGTAATGTAATGCCCTTCAGCTCTGACCAAAGTCGTCCGCAACAAATTGTCGAGCCCATACTTTGAGGCTAAAGTAAGGTGATCTCTCATGATATTTGTGGAGATTGGGGGCTGCATGGCAATCGCCTAAACTCCAAACAATTCAATAAACAACAACAACAACTTACTGCTTCCATTTTACCCTTCAAGTAGACCAATTCATTGTCGTGGGCGAAGATCAACATTGGCCGGATACAAACCTCACAAATCGGCTTGTTGTAATAAACAAAGTCAACGAACTCATTGAGGAAGTGACGAAGATCAATATGGAGGTTGTTTAGGTACTCACGAGTCTCCACGGTGAAGATTGGGTAATATTCTGAAAGTATCAAAGATAAATTATATTACACATGACATAAGATCAATAATTTTAACCGAAAACAACAAAACTGATTCATAAAAGCTCCGAACATGTTGTTATACAGCCCGCTCCTCCTGCAACAAACCAAAGCTATGCAACGTTGCATTTTTCGTCTAGAGAGGAAGACTTGACCAAGATGAGTCAACTCTTTCCCCATCCAAGAAAATTCTCCGTAATTAGGAGAAAAGTTTTGAAATTTCTGACGAGGAAAGTACTTCTACGGGGTGTGGAGTTACAGGTCGAGTCATAGATGAAAAAAAAACGTAAAATTTTTCTGATTCAGAATATGTAAATGTTAGCTGCCTGATTTTGGACTGTAGGGTGAAAAAATCCTCAGAACTTTTATCGCAGCACCACACAAATGCCGCTTTTTTATATTGGAACTACTAATTAAGGTGTAGTATTAATCAAATTTGATATTTTAAGGCTTGTCAAGATGCCAAGGTTCACTTTAGCTCAAAACAAAGCTTTTGATTTGGTAAAAACTTTGTCAAAAAGGCATTTGCGTGGTTTTGCGAGAAAACTTCTGACGATTTTTTCACCTTTACAAACCAAAATCGGTAGCTGACTTTTACATATTCTGAATCAGAAAAATTTTGCGATTTTTTTGATATATGACTCGACCTGTAACTCGATAGCCTATTGAAGTACTTTCCTTGTCAAAGATTTTATATTATCCATGGTAAAACTTACCTCGGGATGGGTTCCGAGGGCTTTGGCCAGCTGAAGAGGTTGTGTTTTCGGGCGTAGGGGCAGGCCGGGGCAATAATCTCGTCGTAGACATCCGCTAGGAACAACTGACTGGGAACATTTTTGAATCTTAGGTACAAATATAAATCGCTGGGCTTGTTCAGGGGGCTGGCTGAAAATAAAATGATCAATAAAATTATTTTACTTTAGACTAAAGTCAAGCAGTTCCGAAAACAAAAAAAATCTTACTTCATTTGGTCCTGCCGAGCACCCGTTATTTTCCACAAGGCCCTCCGGATCAAGTGGAGGGCCAGGGTGCCGGTCGACCAAGGTTCGGTCAAAGACGTACTGGGACCGGAACAAAAGGTGAGCACCCATTTTTATCTTCCAACGGCCCCCCGGGCTCATTCGGGGGGCTAGGGTGCTCCACCTTAGTTTCTTGTTCCTTCATGGACTTGTTTGGCATTGGCTGAAAATAAAATTATATTACTTTAGATTAAATCAAAGTCAAGCAGTTCCCAAAACAAAAAAATCTTACCTCATTTGGTCCTGCCGAGCACCCGTTATTTTCCACAAGGCCCTCCGGATCAAGTGGAGGGCCAGGGTGCTCCGGTTTTGACCATCCATCAAAGTGGAACATCTTCCACTTTGATGGAAACGGGTGAGAGCACCCTTTTATGATCCAGAAGCCCCCCGGGCTCAGTCAGGGGGCGAGGGTGCTCTCTCCTTCCCAGTTCAATCTCGTTTGAACGAGATCTGCAAAAAATAAAATGAAAAATATAAATTTAACACGAAAACTTACCGGATTTCAGCCGAAAATTGACCAAAACAAGGGGAAGATGGCACCCTGTATTTCTTCCAAAGGCCCCCCGGGCTCATTCGGGGGGCTAGGGTGCTTATCTTCCCTTTGGACCGGTCTCCATCTGAAAATATAATCATATTATATCTACCATTTTCGTCCAAAATATGCCACCAAAATCCAACAGCGTAAAAAAGCAACTGTTCTTTTCTCGGGCGCAGCTCGCAAAAATAGTTTTGGCGAACTTACTTTTTTCGCGTTCCAGTCGGTCGAACTAAGGTTTGGGGCAAGCATTTTTATCGACCCGTGATCTTGTTGTTGCTTGTCGAGGTTGAATTCGAAAAATTGCTAAAAAATTAGGATTATTGGAGGGACGCTGCGAAAAGCTTACGTGATTAGGCATGAGTGACTGCGCGATTGCGCCGTGTTGAGTTTTTGACCACTCAGTATGGATTTACTACTCTTCGACCTGAAAAAATCTTGATATTATAAGATTGGGATAGTAAATATAGAGTTTGAAAAAATGCTAAATTGATAATTTTTAAAGGGTTTTTTGGGTAAAAATGGTAAAGATATCGAAAAAATTGACTTACGAGGCAGCCTGGGCTCTTGTGAAGTCCGATACGATCGGCTTGACATGTCCACGATGAGCCGTGAAGGAGGTTTTCTTTCTCTTCGTGGGCGTCTTCGTGGCGTGTGTTCGTCTGGGCAATTATCCTCTTCTTGAAGCACTGGACCAAGTCCTTGAAGTTCCCTCGACCTTCGCGGGGGCCGAGGCCGTTGAGGGTCGGCTGAGGGCTGGTAACAACATCGCCTTTTGCACTTCGCCATTCTTCGCAAAGGCCCAGGAGCCTCGTGGTTTTGTTCTTGGACCTCATATCCCTGATCTGCGGGTGGCGGCGGGTGTTGGGTCGCTGGGGGCTGTGTGACTTCGATCCTTAGGATCTCTGCTGTTGTCGGCGTTATTGACCACGCTGTCCTCAGCGTCATCAGCGGACTTCTGGACCTGGATCTTTCGGCCCTTGGTGGCCGGTCATCGGCGACGGCTGTCCGAAGATGTGTCAGAAGGCGGGCTTGTAATTCGGCTACTTCTTTCTCTGCCGCTTCCTTCAGTGCTCTTTCTTCTTCGGCCTTTTTTGTGGCGACGGAGGCTGCTTCTTTGGCCTTCTTGGCCTCAACTTCCGCCTCTCCCAGGGCTTCTTGGTAAAACTTCAATTTTTTTTCGAACGTCGCTTGTCGTTCCCAGAGTGTGCGGCACTGGGTCTTCCAGAAGTCTCTTTGCCATCGGAGGCGGTCGTTTTGATCCGCTAATGTTTCCTCACAGCGTGCCGCCTCATCGAAGACTTCAAGGGACATTATCGATGGGACGTCATGGAGTGTCGATTTCTCTTCACTCGTAGTGGGGCTGCTGTTGTCGAATCTCGATGTACTCGAGAAGTCCAGCATGTCCAATGATCCTACCGAGCCCTCAACCGCCGGCAGGTGCTCGGCCTGAACGGTTGGGGCCGGTTCTGGGCCGAAGCCCGAGGGTCCAGTGGTTGGGATTGGCCCCTCTTTACCCTCCTCTGGGACGCCGGTTGGGTGCTGGCCAACCAGAGGAGGTGCCATTACCGCCGGCATAACTTCAGCCTGCGCGGAATAGGCTTGACCGACGGTGTTGGGAGACACTGAAATCATCAAAATTAGTCGAAGAATTGAAAAAGTATGACCAAAAATTCTAAAACTAATACTACGGTCCTTATTTTCTAATATTCTCTCAGTTTTTCCCAAAATTTTTTTATCCTATTTCTAATGCAATCCTTTTTGGTTTTTGGCGGAAATCCAGCTGATGACGATCCAAAATCTTGAAGGTACAGATGGTGACGATCCAAAATCTTCAGGGTCCACTATGACCGAAGACTCCATATTTGAATCAAGATCCTGCGAAGAATTTGCTATTTCTCCAGAAACCATTCCACATATGTTGAAAATCCATCCACATTGAAGAGCAGTGACCAAAGCCGTATTTACCACAAGAAACCCAAGCTGATTTTTTATGTTGATGGCGACCGGAAGGCGTATTTTAAAGTGGTGATCAGGAAATCGACAGCACAGCAGCTCGAAAGCTGTAGAACACTGAATGACCCGAAGATCGGATCAAACGACAACGTGGAACAAGGAGATCCTTCAAAAGGACTCCAGAAGATGAGATGGAGTCAAATTAAAGGTGGTGGATAATGATTGGTCCTCGATTGGTGAAGATCAGGTGCGGGTGGACAAGTTCTGGGTGATTTGGGGCCATTTCGACGTGGAAATCATGGAAAACGGGTGCTGGATTGGATTCATGGAGATGAAATGGGCCGATTGGTATGTGGATGTTCAAATTGAGCTAAAATAATGTAGGTTCAATCATCGGATGGCGAAAAAGTGTAAAAAATTCCGTAATTTATGTTTTATCCTTGTTTCCTCCGTCCTCTAAATGCTTCATTTCAGATATTCGTTGATTCTTCGATCACTTCCAAGGCGATATTGATGTCATGGATAGGCCAAAGAAAGCATTGCTGAAGATCATTATTCCAAAAATAGTGGCGAACGTTCAAAATTTCGATGGGTCTTGATGTAAAGAACGAATTTGATGGTGAAGATGTTGATGAAATGGAATTTCAATATGCCTTTATTTCCACTACGAGCATTTGGGCCGTTTGAAGGTGGTAATTTCAAGGAATCCATGGAAATGGCACGGAGTTTTGATGTTAGTCAAGCCTGTAAGTCGATTTGATGGCTTTTTGATGTTTAGACTGAGCGAAGATTATGAAAACGATGTTTTAGTCGATGTTTAGAGTCTCTGAAACAGTCCACGCGACACGAAACCGTAAATTCGACGAGCCGGAACGACGAGAAATCACGTCCACCAGGAGAACAGCACTCAGAACACAGCAAGAGGTCTTTCAACAAGATTCTGACAAGAAAAACGAGGACAGGTAACAAGAACACCATCAATAACGTCACTCCACGGACGAGACGAGCTCCCCACCCCTTGAAATTACTCTACAATAACCCTAATCCTAAGTGATGATCGTAGACATGGTCCATTTGACGTGGGTCTTCAGCAATCAGCCCAGTGATTGAATTGGTCCAATGTGGAAGGTACAGGCGGTTCATCGTGTCATCAGGTGGTGTCTCACAGTGAAAACCTCGTTAAAAGTAACAAGAAGGTCAATTTACGTGGGCAGTATAAAATGATGTAAGTATTTATGGTTATATTTAGCATAATACAATTAGAATTTTTATGGGGATATCCAATGGTAATGTTCGATGTTTTAGGGCGCCAACGGACTTGGAAACGGACTCATGACAAGGAGCGACCCATCGGGTTTTTAACCATCTTGGAATGCCTGGATGAAACTGAAAGGCGAAGAAAGGAAAATAAAAATTTTTACCTGGTCCACGAATCAGATTGCAGATGAAGTTGGATGGCAATTGAAGTAAAACAAAATGGTAAGGCACTGTTGGCCATGAAAATGAATAGTTTAGCCTTTTTTTGGGTTTTTGGGAACCGACCAGTGGATTCATGGAAGGCCACCAATCGACTTCATCAGTTTTGGAAAGGCGTAAGCCCGATCATGATGGGTATATCAATCCGGACGACTGCGGGCTGGGGATTGGTCGTTAGAAAGCAAAATTTTGGTAAAGGGTTGTCGCAACATTTGGAATTTTCGTCAAAACGTTTCGAAATTTATATCAAAAGCAAACTTGGAATTTAAGCTAACTTGGCTTTGGTTTTATTGCCTAAAGGTATGTCACAAAAAGAAAGCATTTTCTCCAAATTTTTTTCACAAAAATAAAATCCACAATTTGAATTTTTTGAAATTTACTGAGGACCGGCCTTTGAGGTTCGAAAATGTTTCAGTATTTCGTCTAAAATACGGCGCTCGATCTCTCGGGGTTCTAAAAACTGTAAAACTCAAAGAATACTGACTTAAATTTGCCCGTATTTTACCGTACTAAAATAGATTCCGGCGAGGCTTACATTATCCCGCACCAGCCAACATTGCGACTTTTTATGTAATATTTGGCCTGGATATTACACTTCACGATTCAATAGTGTATTTTTAAGGCCTTTAGGCCTTTTTATTGCCATTTTTTGGCGGGATTTACGGTAGCAACCCACCAGCCAAAAATTAAATTTATTATTTTACGGGTCACAAATTAAATCTAGGGTAATTATAAGGTCTTTCAAAATGAGCTCGAAATCAATTTTTCGAGCTCTTTTTTTAGTTTTTTAGCTCAAAATTATATTGTACTAGACGAGTGAAGTATTGATATTTTTTTTATATTTTTCCCCTAAGCTTAAGTTAGTCATCTCAACCCAAGTTAAAGTCTATTACCGTATTCAAAGCCGGATTTGTCATCAAAAGATCCAGAATTTTCTGGCATTTTGATGACAAATCCAACTCTCAAAATCCTCAAATAAACCCCAAAAAATCCCCAAAAAACCCCCAAAAAATCCAAATTGACTTACCCGTCGGCCGTTCCCCGACGCCAACCACCGGGACGGCAGCGGTGGAGGGCGACGGGGCCATCGTCGTGGAGACGGAGTCGCTGGTAGCGTTGGAGCTCATCGTTGCGATCGGATGGGGCGCGATATACCAGGATTGAAAAATCTACCGGTGAATGAGAGAATTGCCAACGAAGTTTTGGTGAATTTCTAATATGCAAATTTCGAATTTTGATGCAAATTCGTGGGAAAACTGACGTTTTTTTCAGATTTTCATTCAAATTTTTGCAATTTTTTGGAACGTTTTTTGCAACGTGGCGAAATTTCGGACATTTTTGTGGAATTTTGAAGGCTTCAGGACGAGTTTGGGCAGGGGTTTTTGACTGTATGGCATACTTTTGGTGAGTTTTTGACAAGTTTTATTCGATTTCTTTAGCTTTTGATGTATTTTTTGAATTTATTTATTTAATTTTAGATGGTTCTATGGCTAATCTGATACTGAACTCTCTCTCCCAAGCCTTCAGCCTCGGATGAACGGCCACAGATTGCTACCGATGGTCGAAGTCGCCAGAGAGGCAAATTATAGCTGATGGGCAAAATGGAAGAGGTAAGTTGTTTGTTGAGCTTTTTGGATTGTTCGAAATTTAGGGAATTGCATTGGAGCCCCGCGTGAACGTAAATGTCATGAAAGGCATGTGATGGTTGGAGCCTAGCAGGACTAGAATCGGCAGTGCTTCAGTTCCAGCGGACGATACAACGCTGAGAAAGTTGACATTATAGCTGATGGGCAAAATGGAAGAGGTAAGTTGTTTTGTTTTTGGATTGTTCGAAATTTAGGCTGTTGCACCGGAGTTCCCCGCCCAGTTGAATGAGAGGCATGTGGTGGCTGAAGCCTTGTTGGGAGGAACCAGGATCAGCGATACTTCGATCCCAGCGGACGATTTCAATGATGAGAAAATTGGCAAGTCGATGGTGCACTGGAATTGGAAACTGACTCAAAGGTAGGCCTATTTTAGAAGATTGTTGTTGATTTAAAGGTATGGGAGGCAATTGGCGTTATGCTGAGAATTTTTCTGACATTTTCGGCGTAGATTTGAAGATTTACTGTAGTTGGAACCTATAGTGCGGGGCATTTCGTCTTCTAGAATTCATTCGAACCTTTTCTTGGAGTAATTTTGATTAATCTTTCTTCTAACATTGTCCTGATTATTATAACGTCTCATTTAGAACTCCTACGACGAGAAATCATTGTCAGACGCATACTGAATTTGAAGGATCAGTGCTCTCCGCCAGCAAGTATCCAATCGAGACTCCGGATTTGGGGACGATAAATCGATGATGTTGTAGCAGGCACAAGTAGATGACTCCCGACCCGATCACTGCGGGCAAGACGAAAGAGCCCCTTACTTTGGTCTTCAAAGTGTGTCAACTCAGCCAGAACACCCGATGTTATCGAAAGGCTTGAATTTTTATTGTGTTTATACTATAAATGATAAGAATACGGTATTTTCTATGTATTTTTTATGATTTTTGTCGATTCATTCGATTAGAAAACACTTATCTTACTCCAGACCAGGTGTAACTGAGTCAGCATTCGAAGAACCCTAATACTTTTTCCTCTGGCACCGGCAGAAGCTCTTTTAAAAAGTGGGGATGCATGCGGTTTTGACCGAAGAAAGAAAACAATTTCCACATCAGGTGTAAATTCCATATTCTTTTGAATGATGCAGTGGAGAACTTCACAAAAAAATAAGATCATTATTTACTACATTTTTCCTAAAACAATATAATCTTGCCATCTAGTCCAATATGCGTCTGTTTGTATCCCCTGTAGTCTGAGAATGGTCCATTTGAATACAAATCCCCCTTCTTGGCCCCTACAAACATTGGCTGCAGTTCCAAAGTCGCCTTCTTTGACTTTCACTCCAAGGGAGGACTAAAAAATCTGGTAATGGGAGATGTCGGATGGCGTAACAAGAGTTACACCATCGGAAAGAGCACCAGATAATACGATTACTCTATGCACAATTTATTCGCAATAATATCCAATTTTATATCCAAAACTCTTGATTTTCAGATTGGATCCCCATAAGCATCGTCCGAATTGAGGCCATAGAACGATTCAAGGGTCGGATTAGCAGTTGGGACCACTGGGCCACCTTCGTCCAGGAAAATTCGGCGTACATTTCTCGTGGTGGGTGTTCTAAACGAGATCGGCCTGCTCCGCAGACCCCATTATAATAAGGGCCGAGGGAGTTTTTTACTTAGCGTTGACTTTTTGGACTTTTTTTTACATACGTCATTTTTTTGTCTCTCTGTGATACCCAAACGACATTTTTTTAGTCTCTGTCATTATTGACCGGTCGGTAATGAAAAATCGAGTTTTCTCCTTTCTTTTTGGAGCTACGCTGCCGATTTTTTTTTCAGAGTTCGTAGAATGGAATTCTACACCTGAATATGGTATTCGTTTTTTCACCATAGTTGGCGTGTCATTTTGAAAATTGCGAAAAATCGACTTTTTCAAAAGTACCCCTTTTTTGAGCTTTCAGTGTGAATTTTTATGGCGATTTTGCAAGTTCCGCATACGTCACGATTGTCACACATTACTTCAAATAAATTTCCTGAAAGTTTCAGAAATTTGCATAACGTCCCCACATTTTGCGTCCTCCCGGACTGAAAGGTTCCGAAAAGTCAAAAACGATTCGACATGAAAACGACCAGCTATTTACACGTTTCCTTCATGCACCCTAACTCATTTTTCATGCTGACTCCGAATCTGAAATTTTTTTTGCCCAAAAATTTGCATACAGCATATATCTGGATCTCAATTCTAAAATACGGATTTTTTATCTCAAAGTTGAGGGCCTAATTCAAAAATCCGCCTCGCAGGGATTTTGCGCAATACTTTCCTAAATACGATAAAGTGATTGTTACACCCCCAGATGTTGCCGGGATTCCCAAACAACCTCCGATGTAAAATTGGGGTATGTGCAAACTGATCTCGCGAGCGAAGCGAGCGCCGAGTACCATTCTTTCTTTATCGGACGTAGTTTTTACTGCTTTTAAACTTTCTAATTGGATTCTTTCATCTAAATTCAAAACTACGGTTACTGTAACATTTTCAATTTTCCCAACCCTCAGGCTACGTGTGTAGATGAAAGAAATTTCAAATTCTGATGCCAGATTCCGAATCTACATGAAAAATCACCATCAGAAGTGGTATCATAGTCGTCCTATCTCGCCGATTTTTTTCGGCTTACTGTGGGTTACGGTAGCTTTTTCGCCGTATGGCGCTTTTTCGCCATTTTCTCAGCGTAGACGCAGTCGCGTCAGACAAAATTCACAGCACTGGTAGTACTCGTCATTACACGGCTTTCAAGGTGTATTTCACGGTTCCAGGTCTGTCGCTTCGCGAGGGATTACTGTAACAAGGACCTTGACTTTAAGCTACCGTATCTCGGTCAATTTTGATCGTATCCACCCGCCTCAAAAAGCATTCTACTGAGTTTAAATAGCTCTTCAAAACATTAGTTGACACGTTTTTGCCATTTCTTGAAACCGGGTTACTGTAACATCGCAAACATAAAAAGTACTGTAACTTTTGAACGAGTAGAGATACGAAGACGGGACCTGGCTCAATCGTTCGGAAATCAAAAACTCGATCAGGATACGTGTAAAAATCTTTACATTTCTCTAAAATACGACCTGGCCGAATTTAGCTTTGGCCAAATTTTCCATTAATGATTTCACCCCAAAAAAGTCAAAACTTTTGGGTAAAAAACCCAAAATATGACGGCCCTCTAATTGTACTACAACGTGGTATAATTTTTTTCCCGGGGATTGAACCTCCGGAGACTTCAGATTGCCAGACTTCCGCGCTAACCACTGCGCCATGGGTGCCTCTCTCGGAAACAAAAAGGGCTCGAGCGCGGGGGCCTCCTGTGCAAAAACATCAAAAGGGTGCACTGTGCGGATTTTTGCTTTGTCGCGCAGCGACAAAGCCAAAATTCGCGCAGCGACAAAGCCAAAATTGGGATTCGCACTGTGCAAATGGAGAAAAAGCCTAGCTCACTGGGTAAAATGCAGAGTGCACGGTGCATTCGGGGGAAAGTGGGGAAAATCAAAAGGGGGTGCCTGGAAAAACGTTTGGAGGGTGTTTTTCGCACTGTGCAAAATGAAAAAAAGCCTACGAACGTAGGCTTTTTTGTTGATTGCACTGTGCAAATTTTTCCAAATTTCAGGTTTCGAAGGGGAGTGTCTGCAAAATATTTTGCGACACTCCGCCAACAAATTTTGCACGGTGCAAGTGGGAAAAGGCTTCGTTTGGCAAGATTGCACTGTGCAAACCGTGTCGCAACGTGGAAAAAGGGGCGTGGCAAAAGTTGAGTTTGCATTTTCGTGAGAGAGCAAAAATTTCTCTAGCTTTCTCGTCGATTTCGGGTCCCAGTATTTTTCCGAGGGCGATTTAGGTTGGGTTCGCGCGGGTTCGAAATTTTTTTATTTTCTCCGGGTTTTTGCGAGTGCACTGTGCAGTGAGAAGGTTCACTGTGAGTTTATAAGGTGCACTGCGCGGTGCTTAGCGCATAGGCTTAGGCTTAGTTTGCTTAGCCGCTTAGGCTGCTTAGGCTTAGCTCAGGCTTAGTTTGCTTAGGCTGCTTAGCCGCTTAGGCGCTTAGGCTTAGTTTGCTTAGCCGCTTAGGCTGCTTAGGCTTAGCTGCTTAGGCTAATTTGGTGGCGCTTTGCGCGCACACCCGCGTTGGGAATGTAGGCTGACGAGTCGCGTAGCGACGTAGTCAGGCTACATCCCAACGCAGCTTGTCTTAATAGTTATGAGGACAGACTTAAAAAAAATACAATTGATCATTAAAAAATATCTAATTTCTACGTAAAAAGCCATAAAATCCCTCAGCATAACGTCAATCACGACCTATATTCTCTATTCAACCGTATTCTTCTAAAATACGACCTAAAATAAGCTTACCTTTCGGCCATTTTCCAATTAATCAACGACCATCCAGTGCACAATCGATCAGCCAATTTTCTCATCGTTGGAATCGTCAGCTCATTGACAATTCCAGACTGTCCCACCAAGGCTTGAGCCACCGTAATGTAATGCCCTTCAGCTCTGACCAAAGTCGTCCGCAACAAATTGTCGAGCCCATACTTTGAGGCTAAAGTAAGGTGCTCTCTCATGATATTGGGCCCGATTGTGTCTTTTTATGGCTAATGCAAGCTACTGTCAAATCAGCATAAGTCTCGTGCCTTCCTGACCAAAGTGCGCTCGTGGTGGCTAACAGATCCGATGTTATACTAGACATCAATGGTGACCAAGGATAATTTAAGGTGTTGAAGTGAATTTATAAGATCATTGCTACCCGGGAAAGCATCAAATGATTTGATAATACTGCCTGGTGTTATGTTAACAAATCCATTTTATACCAGACATCAATGATGACCCAAGATAAAATTAGGGTGAAAGAGATGACTGGCAGGAGTAATATAAGGATGGTGACGTACAAATCAAATCGGGTTTCGTGGCCAGAAACCGCCATTTCTTGTCTGTTAGGCTTCTAGACAAGAAATGTGTAATTCTTGTCTGAAATTGCGTAACATTGCGCAGTATTGCGCAAATTTCTGCTCTCTCTCCGTGGAAATTTTTTCTTTTTTTCTCTGCTCAGACAACAAGAATTGCGCATTTCTTGTCTAGAAGCCTAACAGACAAGAAATGACGGTTTCTGGCCACGAAACCCGATTTGATTTGTATGTCACCATTCTTATATCATTAACAGACCGTTGAATTTGTGACAAGAAGTTGCCAGCCCACAGAAAAGGTCATAGACGCAGAATACGAGTCAATGCAGAAACTCCATTTTAAATAGGAACTATTTTTTGTTGTCCGCTTTGACCAGAAAAACTTCAGATCGAAGGTTAGAATTCATGGCTGAAAATGCAGCAACAGTTCCATTTAGACTGCTGTAAGCCGGTCTGACAACTGCCTTTTCTTGCCCCAGCTATTCTGAATTAATTCAATAAAAAGCTGGGTTTGTCTGAATCTAGGGCCCGTTTGCCCGAGTCGTTTATGGGCGAACCGCTTTTTTTACGCTATCGTCAGAGCATAAAAAATGACTTCTACAACAGGTTGTTACGACCAGAAAGAAGAACACTTCCGCAACCTGCAAGGAAATTCGGAGGCCCATAAACGTCCCGTTGTCCAATTCACAATGATTCTACAGCCGGCCGGATAGGAAGGACAAAAATAGAGGATGCAGCACTGACGGCGTTGGAAGCCGAAGACCAGGCCAGCGGATTCCGGGAGCTTACCCACCAGCTGAAGCCTGGATACTAGCATTTTCACAAAGTGCCTGGACATTTTTTCGCTGTCGCACAGGGAAAAAAATGTTCCACAGTGCTGTCGCCAAAGCACTGTGGAAGTTTCCCCTTGCGCACGGTGCATGCCTACAACAGACCGTCTGCACTGTGCAAATTTGAGAAAAGTTTATGTCGCAGCGACATTCCAAACGCACAGTGCAAAACCAAAGAAAGGTCAATGCACGGTGCAAAAAATTGCGGACTTTGTGCACGGCGCGGACTGCAAAAAATGTCCAGGCACTTCGTGAAAATGCTAATAGTCCTTCCGGGAAGTCGCCGGACTGATTTCTCGGCGCTATGAAAAAAAAATTTGACGCGATGAAAAGCCATCCCAAAAAAGCAAGAAATTTCACTGCAAAGAAAACTTTTGTTGTTGCGCAGCACGTGTCGCCGACTCCAGTCCGGAGGCCTTCCAGACGGACTAGCACCCAGGACCCAATTCCAGGTGCTTTCGCTGATGAATCCGCCATTTTCGGCTTCGATACACAATTCAAACAACACAATACCGATATAAATGGCGCTTTTACGGCCGAAAACAAGATAAACAGTACTAATCCAACTGCCCTTGCTGTAGCTATCTCTACCCCAAATATACATCCTACCCTTCTAGAAAATCAATCCGCTAGGCCGAAACTTCCTAATGTCCCCAGGGATGCGTAATTCGGTCGATAAACCCGTGAAAACCCATGCATAATTCAACGTTTTCCAGCCAAAACCTAAAGATATTCAGGGTACCCTCACTTTCGGACTAAACCATCAATATAAACATAAAAAGTATGCTCTGTACGGGGCCCGAACAAAAAATTCAGCATAAATTTGCCTATAGAACTGCTCGAAAACCCCTAAACACCTACCCGAACAAAAATTCGACACAAATTTGCCTATTGAATCATTCGGACCAACTCTTACCACCTACCTTCTTCACGCGAGCCCTTTCTCCCATTTCCCCTTCCCCTTTCAAAGCAAACAAAACAAATAAAAAACAACAACAACAACAGATAAAATTAGATTTGTAGATCCTTCTTATTGGCTGGGAAGTGGCCTGGACTGGTCGAATCTAGTGGTAATTGCAGGAACCTGAAAGAAAAAAGGGATTAAATCCCAAAGTCCCTCTTTACCAGCAAAGATCCGCCTACCTCAAAACTACTGCGCATCCTCAATGAAGGATGTTACCATGGCCATGGAATCCAGGGCTCGGCTCTTCGCTGTCTTGTTCTTGGGCTATCTTGTTCTTCGATTCCGATCAATCTAGCTCGTCGACCATAAGCATGCCCAAAGGTCATTCTGAAAGAAAAATGTGTTTAAACGCGAGAAATAACGGAAAGTTAATCATCTCATGAGCAATATAAAAATACCCTAACACCGTCATATCCCTTCTAGACCTCGATTCCCTAATTTATCACTCCCAATCGACATACCTTTCTGATCTTTCCGCGGTGGGGACCTCCAGGGCACCATTGATTTCTCCAACTTCTCCAGGGCTCCAAGAAACGGATTCTCGATGGTTTCCATGAAAATAAATAAGATTAAAAATAGAACGAGCAGTATCTGGACTTATGACACGAAATAAAGGCCTACAATTGGGAAAAAACAACTTACTTTAATCACCAAAGCAGGCTTTGATGATTGGGTGAAGGGGAGGGTGGTGGAAGTGGTGCATTTTCTCTATTTTTTCGTATTTTTTTTTTTTTTTTTTTTTTTTATTATTCTTTTTTTTCTTATTTTTTATTTTTTTTTTATTTTTTTCATTTTTTTCTTTTTTAAAGCTATCCGTTGCATGGGCTTGGAGATCCCTGCAAATTAAAAGAATAAATTGAAGAACCCTCAAAAAAGAATTGGCAATAATCTCAAGCCATCCGTAACTTCCTCAACTACCAATAAACCACGAAACTTACATTCTGAAGAGAGTGTGTTGGGGGAGGAGTGTGGTGCGAGTGGAATGGAGGAGGGGTGCGGTGCGAGTGGGAGGGAAGGATGGGTGTTGCGAACGGAAAGGGGTGTGGCGTGAGTGAAGGTGATGTTTAGGTTTCTGAAAACATACACCATATAGTTTGAGAAAAAACCAGGCTAAAACCAAGGGTGAAACAACAACTTACATAGCAAAAAATGGGTGGTAAACATCTGGGGTAGGGCAGTGAAATCTTGGAGCAATATCTGAAAATAAAATAATCAATTGAGGAACCACCAAAAAACAAGTGACAACAATCTGAAGAGTTCCCTAATATCCTCAACTGCAAAAAAACCATCAAAACTTACATTCCATGTTGTCTAAATCGTTGGTTAGGGTCTCGGCCATGTAGGTGCCGTCCTGGGCCGGAATTGGGACATTGAAAATAGGGTCGGGAAATGTGTTCCAAAGATTCACTGATTCGAGAGCTGGGTTTCTGAAAAAATAGATCATTAACTTAAGAAAAATCCAGGATAAATTTAAGAATGAAATGACAACTTACATTGTTACAAATGGGCAGTAAACTATTCGGCAAGTAAAATTTAAGAAGAAAAGGATAATGGTTACTTAAAAAAAATACTTTTTTTTTCTTTTTTTTATTTTTTTCTTTTTTTTATTTTTTTTTCTTTTTTTCTATTTTTTTCTTTTTTTTTATTTTTTTCTTTTTTTTATTTTTTTCTTTTTTTTTATTTTACATCCGAAAAGCAGTGAAGAAATCTTGGAGCAATATCTGAAAATACAGTGATCAATTCAAGAACCACTAAAAAACAAGTGACAATAATCTGAAGACTTCCCTAATACTAGTCCGTTCGTAAAGTCGCTGGAATGTTTTCGGCGACATGCACCCCGCGAAACCGAAAGTTCACTTTGCACTGTGCAATTTTTGGCTTTTTGCACAGTGCAATAGGCTTTTTGGGGCTGTCGCTCGCACCCTGAGTTTTCTTACACAATGCACGTCGCCGAAATCATTCCAGCGACTTTACGAACGGACTAATATCCTCAACTACAAAAAACCATCAAAGCTTACATTCCATGTTGTCTAAATCGTTGGTTAGGGTCTCGGCCATGTAGGTGCCGTCCTGGGCCGGAATTGGGACATTGAAAATAGGGTCGGGAAATGCGTTCCAAAGATTCACTGATTCGAGAGATGGGTTTCTGAAAAAATAGATCATTAACTTAAGAAAAATCCAGGATAAATTTAAGAATGAAATAACAACTTACATTGATACAAATGGGCAGTAAACTATTAGGCGAGTAAAATTAGAAGAGAAGAAGAGAGAAGAAGGATACGGGTTACTTAAAAAAAATTTTTTTTTTCTTATTTTTTTCTTTTTTCTTTTTTTTATTTTTTTTCTTTTTTTCTTTTTTTTATTTTTTTTTATGTTTTTCTTTTTTTATTCTACATCCGAAAAGCAGTGAAGAAATCTTGGAGCAGTATCTGAAAATACAGAAATCAATTGAAGAACCATCAAAAAACAAGTGACAACAATCTGACAAGGGAATGGACTTTATGTGTAAATCGATTTTGGCTTGGGACCTAGTCAGATCGAAAGGTGTGCAGAAGTCGATTATTCACTTGGGGGGGGGGAAATCTCTGCGCGGGGCTTCAAAGTCGAGAAAATCGGCTTCAAAGTTTGGACGAAAATCAAAGGGTAGGATCCCGGAAACGGAGCAATGAAAGGTGTGAAGCAGTGGCCGAGTGGTCAGTGCGCTCGCTTTTTGCGCAAAAGGTCGCAAGTTCGAATCTGCTTCCATTCATAACTTTTTTAGACAACTTTACCTATACCCCTTTTTTAAATGTACAGCCGGATTAGCATGAAGAAAGCAAAAGTAAAACCGATAAATGATGGTTTGAGCTTGGAAAGACTCGAACCTGCAACCTTTTGCGCAAAAAGCGAGCGCACTGACCACTTGGCCACTGCTTCGCACTTTTTATTGCTCCTTTTCCGGGATCCCCTATCCTTTGATTTTCGTCCAAACTTTGAAGCCGATTTTCTCGCTTTGAAGCCCCGCGCAGAGATTTCCCCCCAAGTGAATAATCGACTACCACACACCTTTCGATCTGACTATGTCTCAAGCCAAAATCGATTTACACATAAAGTCCATTCCCTTGTGAAGAGTTCCCTAATATCCCCAACTATAAAAAACCATCAAAACTTACATTCCATGTTGTCTAAATCGTTGGTGAGGGTCTCGGCCATGTAGGTGCCGTCCTGGGCCGGAATTGGGACATTGAAAGTAGGGTCGGGAAATGCGTTCCAAAGATTCACTGATTTGAGAGCTGGATTTCTGAAAATATAGATCATTAACTTAAGAAAAATCCAGGATAAATTCAAGAATGAAATAACAACTTACACTGATATAAATGGGCGATAAACTATAAGGCGAGTAAAATTTAGAAGAGAAGGATACGGGTTACTTAAAAAAAATATTTTTTTTATTTTCTTAGTTTTTTTTTTATTTTTTTCTTTTTTTTATTTTTTCTTTTTTTTAATTTTTCTTTTTTTTTTTATTTTTTTCTTTTTTTTATTCAACATCCGAAAAGCAGCGAAGAAATCTTGGAGCAATATCTGAAAATACAGTAATCAATGTAAGAACCACCAAAAAAACAAGTGACAACAATCTGAAGAGTTCCCTAATATCCTCAACTACAGGGTGTTTCAAGAAATTTGGAACAAATGATTTGCTTATATCTTTGTGTTCTTTGCAGCTATCAACGAATTTCTTTTTGCTTCTAAAAATTGACAGCGTGCGTTTTTAGAATCTCTAAAAAAAATTTTTTTTCGTCGGCGGAGGGCCCATTTCTCGGCGGAGAAAATTAGGGCCTTTTTTAAAAATCACAGCGTATTACGTGGCGGAAACGCCGTTGCAACGGCTGAAATCAAGTTTACGTAATACCTCCATCGATTTTACGGTATGGTTTTTTTGCGTTTTCGATTTTACGCACTTCCGCGGATGCGCGGCGCAGACCTCAGATTTCGGCGGACGTTGTTTTGGGCCTTTGGCTGTTGCAATTCATGTTGGAAAAGAGGTTGGGGTGATTTTTTGTTGTCATCCGATGCACAGATGGCAAAAATTTCGTGCTTTTTATCCCCGGCGGAGGAGTCGGCGGAGGCTTTATCGAAGGGTAAAAACAAAACTCCGCCGATTTCTCCGCCAGACCAAAAAAATCAAAAATCTTTGAAAGACAATGCTGCTCTGATGGATTCTTGTAGCTGAGATTTTTCCCGGACTCGTAAGACAGCTTTAACCCTTTGATAAAGCCTCCGCCGAATCCTCCGCCGGGGAACAAAAGCACAAAATTTTTGCCATCTGTGCATCGGATGACAACAAAAAATTACCCCAAACTCTTTTCCAACATGAATTGCAACAGCCGAAGGCCCAAAACAACGTCCGCCGAAATCTGAAGTCTCCGCCGCGCCTCCGCGGTGCGCGTAAAATCGAAAACAAAAAAATGCATACCGTAAAATCGACGGAGGTGTAACGTAAACTTGAATTCAGCCATTGCAACGGCGTTTCCGCCACGTAATACGCTGTGATTTTTAAAAAAGGCCCTAATTTTCTCCGCCGAGAAATGGGCCCTCCGCCGACGAAAAAAATTTTTTTTGAGATTCTAAAAACGCACGCTGTCAATTTTTAGAAGCAAAAAGAAATTCGTTGATAGCTGCAAAGAACACAAAGATATAAGCAAATCATTTGTTCCAAATTTCTTGAAACACCCTGTATAAAAAACCATCAACACTTACATTCCATGTTGTGTAAATCGTTGGTTAGGGTCTCGGCCATGTAGGTGCCGTCCTGGGCCGGAATTGGGACATTGAAAATAGGGTCGGGAAATGCGTTCCAAAGATTCACTGATTCGAGAGATGGGTTTCTGAAAAAATAGATCATTAATTTAAGAAAAATCCAGGATAAATTCGAGAATGAAATAACAACTTACATTGATACAAATGGGCGGTAAACGATAAGGGAATCTAACATTACAAGGGAAAAATAAAGGTAACTTTTAAAAAATATTTTTTTTTTTTTTTATTTTTTTCTTTTTTTTATTTTTTTTCTTTTTTTCTATTTTTTTCTTTTTTTTTTTATTTTTTTTCTTTTTTTTATTTTTTTCTTTTTTTTATTTTTTTCTTTTTTTTATTTTTTTCTTTTTTTATGTTACATCCGAAAAGCAGCGAAGAAATCTTGGAGCAATATCTGAAAATAAAATAATCAATTGAGGAACCACCAAAAAAACAAGTGACAACAATCTGAAGAGTTCCCTAATATCCTCAACTACAAAAAACCATCAAAACTTACATTCCATGTTGTCTAAATCGTTGGTGAGGGTCTCGGCCATGTAGGTGCCGTCCTGGGCCGGTATTGGGACATTGAAAGTAGGGTCGGGAAATGCGTTCCAAAGATTCACTGATTCGAGAATTCGAGGATCCATTGCTTTCCGGGGTCATTTTCTGCAAATATAAATCATATAATTTGAGATTAAAGACTACGCTAAAACAAGTATAAACCGATAACTTACATGTTAAAAAATCGTGATAAATTAAATACAAATACAATAGATGAGACAAATACAATAGATACGATAGACAATAGAAATTAAATAAAAATACAATAGATAAATACAATAGATGAGGGGTCAATTAAAAAAGCTTTTTTAATTATTTTTTCATTTTTTACGTTTTTTTTGTTACTTTTTTTCTTTTCTCTTATTTTTTCAAAAAAATATTATTTTTTGGCCTTTTTTATAATTTTCTTTGGCTCTTTTTTTTTATTTTTTTTGGCCTTTTCAATTTTTTTGGCTCTTCTAGTTTTTGCCTTTTAATTATTTTTTTGGCTTTTTTTCTCTGTTATCCTTTCGGTGGTGGGTATCGAGACAGGATCTCTGAAAAATAAAAAATTAACACGTAAAAACACCAGTGACAACACTATAAAAATATCTCTAAACCCCTTGACAAAGGTGGTCAGTTATGGTCCCAACGATCCGTGGGATCCGCAAATAAAACCTAGATATTCTGAAAGAGCAGGTAAAATTTAGTAGGAATCCGTTTTTTCTACTTGCCGAATAAGTCTGTGCGACGAGAAATATCGTCGAAAAGATCCGACCAAAAAATCGAAAGAGAGAAAAGACGAACCGAAAGGCCTTGGAAGGCGTCACCAAATAGTCTAGTGGAAAAAGTTCCACGCACAAATCTTTTGGGGGAGGGAGGCCTTGGAGGTTCGAGTCCACCCGGAGCCGGACATCTCCGGATTTGAACCCTACGTGTTCATTATTGTATTCTACAGTTATACAAAAAAAAATTTTTTTTGTTTAACCTGTTTTACAAGGTTTTTTGCATCCGAAGGCGTGGCAATCACTGGTCATTACCTCTTTTTATGATGCCGCCAGGTCCGAAGTTCCAAAGAAGACAAATTTATGCAAATTTATACCTTCCGGGCAGAATTTGACAAAAATAATTTGGGCATTTGTTAAACACATGTCCACGGCCATTTTAAACGAAAAAACTCAAAATAGATTTTTTCGTAAATATTCACGGGGTCTACTACACGCTGATGCAAGGACCCAAAAATTCTCTTTTCAACTTTTCTTGCAAAATTTTATGAAAAGGTGAGATTTTGGCAACATCCTTTATGGCAAACCGAAAAAGATCTGCAAGATCCTATACAACCTTCCAGAATCGAGTAGAAGTGTCTTGACCACTATGTCGACATCGGGCTTATCAAAGATATTGCCGAAATGTCAACTTTTCTTAAAATTTTGCAACAAACCTTGTAAAACAGGTTAAACAAAAAAATTTTTTTTTGTATAACTGTAGAACAGTAATGAACACGTAGGGTTCAAATCCGGAGATGTCCGGCTCCGGGTGGACTCGAACCTCCAAGGCCTCCCTCCCCCAAAAGATTTGTGCGTGGAACTTTTTCCACTAGACTATTTGGTAACGTCTTCGAAGGCCTTTTGGTTCGTCTTTTCTCTCTTTCGATTTTTTGGTCGGATCTTTTCGACGATATTTCTCGTCGCACAGACTTATTCGGCAAGTAGAAAAAACGGATTCCTACTAAATTTTACCTGCTCTTTCAGAATATCTAGGTTTCATTTGTGGATCCCACGGATCGTTGGGACCATTCCCTTGTAAAGCGTATCAGCATTTTCACAAAGTGCCGGGACATGTTTTCGCATTCGCACAGTGCACCTTGAACTTTCGTCGCCAACGCACTGTGGATTTTTGTCTTCGCGCACCGTGCAAACCTCGAAAAAGCCGATTGCACTGTGCACATTTTCGAGCGAAATCGCAGCAGCGCAGTTGAGAAAAGCTTACGTCGCAGCGATATTTCAAATGCACAGTGCAAAACCAAAAAAAGGTCAATGCACGGTGCAAAAAATCGGGGCGTTTGTGCACCGTGCGCACCGCGACAAACAGAATGCCAAGATTTTTGGCATTCGGTTTTTTAAGGAGCTCTAATGTTTTAGCTGACTGTGCAGTGGGTAATGCACAAAATCACAGGAACCTGCGATTAAAACATTGCCAATTGCTGCGCCGATTTCAAAAATGGTCACTATCACCTAAAACAAGGTTCTCACAACAGCTTCCAAAATAGTGCGGATGTCAGTAGTTTATCCTTTTTTTGGAATTTTGAGTGAGTAAGCTAGTATAGAATTGCTGATTTGTCTCTAAAACTACACTAATCATGCTCATAGAAAACCGAATTTAGGCAATTGCTTCGTTACGGAAGGATTTAGCAGCAAAAGATGTCTAAAATAAGGTTTTCAAATCTGCTATTTTTTGGTGTTTCCAACGTTTAAATTGAGCTACCCCTGGGCGTCCTAACAACAGTCAAGAATCGCAGAAATCCTGACTGTTGTAACAGGGGACCCAGTCAAAGTCATTTACATCAATAGTCAAGAATCCCGGGATTCTTGAATGTTCACGTCGTCATTCCAGCGACTTTACGAACGGACTTATATCTTATCAACAATATAAAATTCCCCAAAGTCTTTCGCAAACAAGTACAATACCACTAAATCACTTGCTTCTTGGAGTAAAAGGTGCCTTTTATTACCACTTCCCCCTCAAAAGGATCGAATATTACACTACAGATTAAAACTTCACAAAGAAACGACTCCTACGCGTCGGATACTATAATAAAATCCGTCATGACGACGAATGTAGCGAGCTACATCTTTCGAATCCAAATTAAACGGATTTCTAGCCCTAGATCACTGTACTACTCACTGAAAGTACAGTGAGTTATATTGTGAACTCAAAAACGATGAAAATTATATTGCACTCGATGGCTAACATAAAAATTACATCCTTAATATAATTAATCGCCAAATCTTGCCTTAAAAACTGATAGACACTTCATTTTACTTTGATTTGCTTTATGAAAGCGTTTTGGAGCGAATTCGGGGAAAAAATTATATTATACTTGACATCAGATAGAAAGCTGTCATGTGTAATATAATCAATATCCCAGCCTAGACATAAAAACCATAAAAGGGCATTTAGGCTTCTTCCTCACTTCATATTTGCATTTTGAAACTAATTAAGGCCAAAAATTATATTACACTTGACATCGGATGTAAAAAATGTCACGGTTCCTTACATTACCTATCAAAATGCCATCAATAATACAATTTCCCAACTTCAATCTTAAACCCAAAGCCTTACCCATTTACAGAAAACTCCACGGCGCATCGGGTCTTGTTGAAGTCGGGGCTGGCTCCTTCGCTCCAATCCACGTTGTACATGCATCTGACGGCGCAGAGCTCGCATTTGAGAGATGAATCGCTGAAAAAGCAAAGACGTTACAATTTAAACTCATTGAATTTTCCCGAAATCTACCGTGGATAACCTCCACATCACAAACTCCCAATTGCTTACCTCTTCAGTCTCGTCGCTGCCCGTTTCGTTGCGAACATTCTCCCGGTGGGAGATCCAGAAGCACATCTAATGGAAGGCTTGTTTGAAGTCTTTCCTTCATTATATCTGGCCCTCGCTCAGGGTGTGACGTCGGTCGTTGGGTGTGAAGTGAAGGAGTCTCCGCGGTCCAGGTAGCCGGTTGTCACCAGGAGTCCGCTCGAGTTCAACGCGGGTGGTCTCCACGATAAAACCACGGCCGATTCGCGACCTGGAATAGCAAATATTAGAAAGTTTATGTATATTTGTTATCTGCATTGGACTGAGCATCAGATCCACGTTGCATCGAAAAATTTTCTGGAAATTTCAAAAAATATTGTCAAAATGACACATTTTTTGAACGTTCGTCCAAAAAAAATAGAATTTTTTCTCGAAAGGTATAATTTTGCGTCGAAAATTCGTTGTAAGCTTTTATAAAATCGCTCTGAGTGCTACTTTAGTCTAAATAAAGGTAAAACAGCCTACAAAACAACGAAATCTTACCTTTTTTGGTCTAGCCGAGCGCCCGACAATTTTCCACAGGGCCCCCCGGATGAAGCGGAGGGCCAGGGCGCTCCGGTTCGACCATCTTCCACTTTGATGGAACGGGGAAGAGCACCCTTTTACGATCCAGAAGCCCCCCGGGCTCATTCAGGGGGCTAGGGTGCTCTCTCCCTCTCAGTTCAATGTTGTTTGAACTTGATCTGTAAAAAATAAAATGAAAAATGTAAATTCGACACGACCACTTACCTAGTTTCAGTCCCAAATTGACCAAGTCAAGGGGAAGATGGCACCCTTATTTCCTTCCAAAGGCCCCCCGGACTCATTCAGGGGGCCAGGGCGCCTCTCTTCCCTTTGGACCGGTCTTCTCCTGAAAATATAATGAAATTATAATATATTACTTTAGTCTAGTTCAAGATCAAAAACTTCAAAGAAGCAAAATCTTACATTTTGTGGTCTAGCCGAGCACCCGTTGATTGTCCAGAAGGCCCCCCGGATCAAGTGGGGGGCCGGGGTGCTCCGGTTTCGACCACGATTCTTCCACTTTGATGGAAGGGCGAGGGTGGTCTCTCTGGGGAAATAACCGGTAAATGAGAGAAATGCCAACGAAATTTTGGTGAGAGTCTAATATGCAAATTTCGAATTTTTATGCAAATTCGTGGGAAAATTTGATTTTTTCGAATTTCCATTCAAATTTTTGCAATTTTTTGAAAAGTTTTTTGCAACGTGGCGAAATTTCGGACATTTTTGTGGAACTTTGAAGGCTTCAGGACGAGTTTGGACAGGGGTTTTTGACTGTATGGCATACTTTTGGTGAGTTTTTGACAAGTTTTATTCGATTTGTTTAGCTTTTGATGTATTTTTTGAATTTATTTATTTAATTTTAGATGGTTCTATGGCTAATCTGATACTGAACTCTCTCTCCCAAGCCTTCAGCCTCGGATGAACGGCCACAGTTTGCTACCGATGGTCGAAGTCGCCAGAGAGGCAAATTATAGCTGATGGGCAAAATGGAAGAGGTAAGTTGTATGTTGAGCTTTTTGGATTGTTCCGAATTTAGGAAATTGCATCGGAGCCCACGTCAACGCAAATGTCATGAAAGGCTTGTGGTGGTTGGAGCCTAGCGGAACTAGAATCGGCAATTCTTCAGTCCCAGCGGAAGATACAACGCTGAGAAAATTGGTTGCTACCGATGGTCGAAGTTGCCATAGAGGAACGAGTTATAGATGATGGGCAAAATGGAAGAAGTAAGTTGTGTTTTGTTTTCGGATTGTTCGGAATTTAGGCTGTTGCACCGTTGTTCCCCGCCCACTTGAATGAGAGGCATGTGGTGACTGAAGCCTTGCTGGGAGGAACTAATCGACGGTACTTCGATCCCAGTATTGGCAGATCGATGGTGTCGAAGGTATGCCCGTTTTAGAAGATTGTTTCTGATTTAAAGGTATGGGTCGCAATTGGCGTTATGCTGAGAGTTTTTCTGACATTTTCGGGATAAATTTGAATTCCTCTGAAGATTTACTGTAGTTGGAACCTATGTTAAGGAAAGTTTATGGTATAGAGAGGGCGTTTTTTCTTCTGTTATAGAATTTATTATAGAGCCTTATCTTGGAATATTTCGATTAATTTTTGTTCTAACGGTGTCATGATTATTATAAGTCTCATTTAGGCCTCCTACGACGAGAAATCATTGTCTGACTGCATTTGAAAGATAGCGCTCTCCACAATTCCAACAATTTTTGGCTGTATCCGATCGAGACTCCAATTGTGGGGACAATAAATTGCTGATGTTGTAGTAGGCAGAAGTTGATGACTGGTAACACCGATCACTACCGGCAAGAGCACCTTAAAGTTTGCCTTCACGGCATGTCAACTGGACCAGAACGAAAAACCGATGAAGAACTCAACTTATCAAAGAGTTCCGAATTTTACTATGGGTATATTATAAATGATAAGAATACAGTATTGTGTGTACAAGAGAGTTTATTTCCAAAACCTATGTAGGTTTTCATCAAAGTGAAACAATTTTTTTGTGACGTCATTTAATGGACAGTTGAAGGGGAGATCAAGGAGCGGCTCAGATCGCTTTCTTGGTCCATTTGTCTGAAACAAAATAGATAGTATATGCGGTATGGAGTCTTATTACTATGATTTCTAGAGGAAAATCTGGCTATCGGACGTAAAAACTTGATTTTTAATCGAAAATCCATGTAATCATCATGGATAACATAAAAGATTATCAAAGACTGCTAAAATAAAGGTGTGTTTAGTGAAAAAAACTCTAAAACAGCCTCAAGGATCTCCTACCTCAACGGTTTGACGGAGATCCGATCCTGATTGGCAGTGGTCCCCCCGGCCTCACAACAAGCCGAGGTGATGGTGGGTTTGATCTCTTTCTTCGGCTTCCTCGCCGAGGTCTCCTGCGATCTCATGCTCACACTGCTGTTTTTGCTCGAATGACGGCTTCGACCGCACTGTATGCACAAAGCGTATCCCCAAAGTAGAGTAGTAACGGCCAGAAGGAGGAGCATTTCTGGTCGAGAACCGGTCGATTGATTGAAAATCCGAGGGAAATGAGTTGCGAAATGTAATGGACGACCGATTTCCGAGTGGAGTTTACCAATTCATCCTTTTTCGAGGGCGTAAATTTTCTTCAGTAAATTTTCTACCGTAACCACATCGAAACTTTTTGGAAGCCCTCAAATTTCGGTCCGAAAACAGCATCTACAATCAAATACCGATACCAATTTGATGCAGAATTTACCACTGTTTCCGAATAAGGCACAAAATTTTATTGAAACAGTCAATCTTTTGGCGAGAAAGGAGATTTTTCGAAAATCTATGAGGTCCGTAAACTATGTATAAATCTTGATTTTTTCCATGTTACAGTAATCTTAGAGGGTTCGGCAGAATTTCACTGTTCAGCACTATTTAAACGCCATATATTTCAATTGCCAACACCAGCACTAGGCTTCCATTAACCGCATCAGGACATTTCCGGAATTTGGACACTTCCGGAATGGCGGAATAGTGACACTTCCGGAATGACGGAACAGTGACACTTCCGGAACCGGGGAAAAATCAAAGAAGAGGCTTAGACCTGCCATCTGAACCATCTGACTGGATTTATTGTTATTAATCTCAAAAATTTTGTTATTTTTTTCTGATTGTTACTTTTTTCTTAAGTAGTAGTGTTAAAAAGTAATTTTTCGATTTTTTCTAAAAATACTCGATTTAGGGGTTTTCAAGGTTGCTGATTTCGAATATCGGGTTCATTTTTTCTGAACTTTACTAGTTTTCCTTAAGCAGTAGTGTTATAAAGTAATTTTTTGGAATTTTTCCAAAAATACTGGATTTAGGGGTTTTCGAGGGTGCTGATTTCGAAAACCATGTTAGCTTTCCTCTTTATAGTACTATCTGGTACTATACAGTACGAGGTGAAAATATGGCTTTTGGCGTTAATGGTGTTGTTTTGATGCTTAGTACTCCTCAAAAACACGTTTTAAATAACTGGTACTGTTTAGTACTGTCTGGTACTATGTAGTACATGGTGAAAATAGGAGTACTAAGCAACAGAACAACACCACTAACGCCTAAAGGCCAAATTTTTACCTTGTACTACATAGTACCAGACAGTACTAAACAGTACCAATTATTTAAAACGTGTTTTTGAGGAGTACCAAGCATCAAAACAACACCATTAACGCCAAAAGCCACATTTTCACCTCGTACTGTATAGTACCAGATAGTACTATAAAGAGAAAAGCTAACATGATTTTCGAAATCAGCACCTTCGAAAACCCCTAAATCGAGTATTTTTAGAAAATTTTCAAAAAATTACTTTATAACACTACTGCTTAAGGAAAACTAGTAAAGTTCAGAAAAAATGAACCCGATATTCGAAATCAGCAACCTTGAAAACCCCTAAATCGAGTATTTTTAGAAAAAAATCGAAAAATTACTTTTTAACACTACTACTTAAGAAAAAAGTAACAATCAGAAAAAAATAACAAAATTTTTGAGATTAATAACAATAAATCCAGTCAGATGGTTCAGATGGCAGGTCTAAGCCTCATCTTTGATTTTTCCCCGGTTCCGGAAGTGTCACTGTTCCGCCATTCCGGAAGTGTCACTATTCCGCCATTCCGGAAGTGTCCAAATTCCGGAAATGTCGTGGTGCCTCCATTAACATGGCCAAATATTAAGCTACTCGTCCAACATTTCATGACGATATATTTTTGACAAAACTGTTATTAAAACGTCACAAATTCCCCATACCTTCCACTCAAGCTTTTTCAAATCCAGCAAACTTATCGACCAACCAAAAAAATGACATAAATTTATATTACACATGACATGAAATAATTACTATTATAAAAACGGCAATATAAATAAATACAAAAATAAGATCATGATTATTCACTGTCTTCTGAGTCCTCTTCCTCCTCATACTGTTCATTCTGATCCTCGTCTCTTTGCTCTTCTTCATCTCCATCGGACTGTTCATTTTCTTGATTACTGTCTTCATCATCGCTGTCCTCCTCCCGATTTTCAATTCGCTCATTCTCCTCTTCATTTCCTTCGATTTCATCATTGGAATCGTCATTTTCCTCCCATTCTTCTTGATGATCTTCTCCATTTTCCAACTCATACTTAATGTTGGCCAAATTGCCTCGGCCATTTCCTACTTCATTTGAAAACACGTACTCATCGACTCCATCATTCGTACTCTCATCGAAACCCTCTTTGATGCCCTCGTTCGAGCCCTCGCTTCTCGCAAATCCAACATTCGTTTGATCATCTACATCAATAAGCGAGTACTCATTTCCGTTTCCGTCGTTCGATTCATCCTGCTCAAGCTTGACCTTCTTCTCCGCAGTCTCTTCTTCCTTCTCTGCCTTTTGTTTTTCCTCTTCATCTCTTCTCTTTAGCAATTTTTCTCTCATTTCTTCAATTTCTTGTCGATTTGGGAACCTGACCGAAATTTCCGACAGTCCGTCGACGGTGACGCGGTCTGTGAAGTCAATGTAGTTCCAGTATTCATTAGAGAACCAACCAGTGTACTAAAATAATAAATTTACTCCAAAAAAGTGGGCAGAATCACCAAAAATATCACACTTACTCTGTCAGTCCTAGTGTAATATCGGATTGTCTCCGTTTGATCCGACTCTTTCGACGTTGTGCAAGTTTTGCTCTGATTTGGGACGAACTTGGCAAGGAGTTGATGGTTATCCACCAGCCATATGAAATCATGATCTTCTTCGCTGAGATCTGAGTACCTGAGAAGGAAGCTGTTCTTCTGCAAAAAAATAATGCCAAAACTGCAAAATCAAAGATGTATGGCTAAAACACGATTACAGTTCCAAAAACGTCCCACTGAGATGAAAACTCCGCCCACCTAATCAGAAAAATATAGAAAAATTCCAATTTTTCTGATTTCATGTCGTGTACAACATAATTTTCCCCGAAACTCACCGGATAAGCCATATTTTCTCTTCGTTTTCTGCTTAGAGACACTTTGTAGAGGCTCTGCTTCTTTCCCTTTGGATCCGCATTTGGATCGACTTCTAAAATTACAGAATACAGCTGATCTTCACCATGGCCATACCTAAAACTCGAAGACAAAAAATAGAAAAACCTTACCTTTCTTTTTCCGTCCTCTCTTCTTTGGCACCTTAGGCTCTGGATTCGGATCCGCAGATTTGTCGACGTTCTTTCTCTTTGTATACTTTCTCTTTTGTCTTGGGGCTTCCGGCAACTCTTTTTTGATCGCCTTTAGGGCTGGCGTTTGCAGACTGACTGGGGGATTCGATGCATGAAGGCTTACTGGCATCGCCCTTGAGTTGTGAACTAGCCCATTTGCAGCACTCAGAGGTTCATTTCCAGCACTTCTTTGACATTGATCTAGGTCTTGATGTTGCCGACCAAAATTCGATGGATAATGGTGCGACGGGTGGGCATAGCTCGATAGTGGAGCAAGATTCTGCAAGGGTGGTTCGGATTCCGGGTAATTCAAGTGTCGTAATCCATAAACAGAGTCGGCCATTTGATTTCTGTATTGAGTTGATGTATAATATTGAGGAGTTGATGGAAGATAACCCGGCTGACCCAGCGGGGAATGATGGACAGATTCATGCACTCCGTAGCTCAAGTCTCTCAAGCCATAATCCGGGACTTGGCCGCGATACTGGCTTGGCGGATAATATTGACTTGTTGAATGGACATAGGACGATGGCTGATTCAGAGGTGGATAAGGCTGAGGACGCATTGGCATTGACTGGAAGGCCTCTTGCTTGGCCGGCATTAGAGGCTGAAAAATCATTTTGGACAAAGTTGATAATGAGTTTGAATTGCGTAACATTGCACATTCAGAACTAACCTGACTAATCCCAGACACTGGAGCCATACTCATAACAGGTCGAGAGTCGTTTGCACCATAATGACTTCCACTCACTCCCATAGTATTGATATTGGGGTTGTAATCGCCATAAAATCCAGTAGGCACCTAAATTTAGAATCAAAAAGAAAAGGGATAATTTACCTGAACTGGGCCTTGCGGAAGGCCGGAAGGCGCTTGCCAATATGACGGTCGTTGACTATTCGCTGAAAACAGTAATTTATTAGGGGGAAGTTAACGGATGTTACCACCCAACATGTTACCCATGATCAAACAGCTCACCTTTATTGTCTGACATGAATGATCAAAACAACCGGATGCTGAGCAGCGAAATAACGAAAATAACGACAACATGGCAAACAATCGGCGGCTATTGTTGGTATACGAATTCCGGCATTTGCATAACTTGCAATTTGCAACCGAGAGAAAAGAATGACCCGTGTCAAGTGTTCCTCTCAACCAACAAAAGATTAAAACAAAGGTTTATCAACTCATTTGCAGCGAATAACTAAGTTTAGGTTGAATATTGAAAGACAGAAGGTAATTGACACCGAAAAATTTTGATTTACACCCACTGTACAGCCACTGACTTCCATTTTATTGAAGTAGTGCAACAATTGACACATGCGTCAAGTGTCTCTCTGCAATTTTATTTTTTGAGGGAAAATATTTTGTTTGGCTTCTTCCTGATTTCCTTGTAAATTTCGTAGCGTTAGGACATGGGAGAGATAAAAACAGCTGGGCTCTACTTGGATTTTGATGGGTATGTTGTACTTTAGATTTTTATATTTTTTAGTTTGCCGGAATGGGACGATTTCTCTGATGAAGAAGACGAAGAGGTCAGCGAGGACGAAGAACAGCATAAACAGAAGCCAGAGGTTAGTCTGAAAGTTTTGGGGGAGCATACTTTCAAAGATGTCAAAAGTCTAACGTAAGTAATTTTATTCTTGTCCACTTTGTCTTTAGATCAGTTCCAAAGTGGGCAGAGAATGCTGTAGAATTTGATGGAAACATCCGTAAATCCAAAGGAGGCGTGCTGGAGTCTTACGAAGGCCTCGATCAGCAGCTTTTCGATGCTGTTTCCAAACAAATTAACAGTTGGTTTCCAGTTCAGAAGACGGTGCTTCCTCAATTGATCAATGAGACAGTGAAAGCAACGTTGTTCCCGTCTCGGGATATTGCGATCAGTGCTCCAACAGGAAGTGGAAAGACGCTGTGTTATTTACTTCCAATTATAAATTCGTTTTCCAAACCCAGACCCAAGGATAAGGTTTTTGCCCTTATTTTGGCGCCACTACCCGCGTTAGTCAGGCAAATTGCAAATGTAAGTGCTTTTTGGATCCTAAATTTTGTTCTGAATATGTTCTGAACAACTTTATTCTTTAGGAATTTGCCAAACTTAACGTCTTTAACACCAAAATCGTCGCTTTGAAGTCAAAGTTGTCATTTGAAGATGAGAAACGTATTTTATTTCCGGAGCAATCCGAAAAATCGGACGCGAATATCATAATCTCCACCCCAGACAGATTGATTCAACACATTTTGGATGAAGACAACGGATCTTTCGATTTTTCGCAGCTCAGATACCTTGTTGTAGATGAGGCGGATGGAATGTTCATGCCGCGCGAAAATTTTTTGGATCTAATTGAAACAATGGCTAATTGTAAGTACTTTTTATTTATTTGTTCTTGTTTTTAGTGAGAAGAAAGTTGAAGTCGACAATTAAATTATCCATGAGTTGCAGGTCCGAAAAATCATCCGATGAGTTACAAATCCTTAACGGACGGAAGCAAGAATACAAGACTCCAAAAGATTTTGGTCTCAGCGACTTTGTCACTCGAGGCTGATAAGTTGCATGACTGGAATCTCCGTTGTCCGAAACTTTATAAAGCCAGTGCAAAGAAGGCCAAGGAGAAGAAGGTTGAAAACACCGAAGAAGGTGACAAAAAAGAAGAACCAATGGAAGTAGATGGTAATGAAGACATCGCCAAGTTTACATTGCCACAGAAATTAAAGCAGGAAGTGGTAAGAATATCTATTATATTATCCTTGATATCAACCTTTTTTAGAGGATATGCAAGTCCGAATTCAAGCCGCTTTTGGTGTATAGATACTTGAAATGTAACCCGGAGTGGAAGAAAGTTCTCGTCTTTGTAAATACTATGTGAGTTTTATATTATTTTAGAGTTATATATGTTTAGGTAAACTGCTGATGATGTATAAACAAATTGATGATTTCAGATCGAGTTCACAGCGATTAAAGATGCTACTGGAATATTTGTTAGGCACAGAGCTTAAGGTAGCCGAAATCTCTTCGAATATTTTTGGCAGAAGACGGTTTCGACTTCTTCAAGGCTTCAAAAACGGAAATGTAAGTGGTTTTTAATTGTTTTCATTCGGAGTTTAGATCAATGTGGTGATATCAGCAGGAAGTCTGGGTCGAGGAATGGACGTGCCGGATATAGATTGTGTGATCAATTACGACATCCCGTCGGATTCACACGTTTATATTCACCGTGCCGGCAGAACAGCGAGAGCCGGGAAAAAGGGAACCGTTGTGACTTTGAGCACGAAAGAAGAGGTGAGTTGAGTTTTGGGGGCTAAGGTAGTACAACCCCCCAGTCCAGTTTAGCCCCCCATGACCCAGTACAACCCCCCTCGTCCGTTCTGAACCCCAAAATTTATTTCAAAGAATTAATCCAAGTTGCATGGTCCAGCACAAGCCCCCTACGTTTTAGATCAAACCCCCACTTACATTTTTTGTATTATTCTAATTTGTTCATTATGTTTGGGGTGTGAAACGGGCAAAACAGTGGGGGTTTGAACTACCTTTCGTGGGGGGCTGAACTACCGAAGCCCCGAGTTTTGCAACATGTGCAGAGGTTCTTGAAGTATAATTTATTGAAGGATGGCAATAATAATATTCGATTTTAGCGTCTAAAATTGAAGAAGAACTTGATCGCTGTCGGAATTTGGGATCCTGAAGCAGAGAACAAAGAAAAGGACTTGCAATTCATTGAGGAATATAAAGACCAGTACCAGAAGGCTCTAGATGCTCTAAAAGAACGGCTGGAGTCCATTGGAAAGAGTTGATTGTATTGTTTTACACATTTTTTATATTGTTATTGTTACTTGTTGAACTAAAATTTTCATGAATTTTGCAGTATTTTTGCGGAAATAGAAGAGAGTAGAGGGAAGAATAGCATTTTTGAGAGAAGTTCAGGTATTTAGGACAGTTTATTCATCACGTTTTAAGAATTATTTATCTTACACATGAGCTATTTTGACAAAAAACGAAGTCAGACTCGATGATCATTGGTTCCCAGACCCTTCAAAGCCCTCCGTCTTCTCATCGATGTGGGCTGCCTCTGTCTCAACAATTGCAACAACCAAATCCTTGCTTCCGCTCCTGAAAACGGCCGGCAAACACTTGTAATTCAGCTCCACTGGTCCAATTATGATCTCATCCCCAGCTCGCTTACATCGTAGAGGCACTGATCGGATTACGGTAGCCAGAAATATCAAACAGAGACCAAGAAAACAGAGTTTTGACATGGTTTGGGAAGGGAGTCGCTGTAAAGCGGATCCGTTTCGCTTTCCGTCTGATTTCGGCGATTTTTTTGCGGATTCGGAAGCAGACGAGCAGGTGTATGGTAAAATGGGTTATTTCGCGGTGTCATCGTTCAAAACAAAGGGCAATCAGTTTCGAATTCTCGCGCCTTTGAACTGTTTATGTTGCACTTGACATGAAATGTCAAAATTGAAAATTTTTAATCAAGCTCTAGAAAATATGTCACGATGACGTTTTAGAAAATTAAGTTAGACCTATTATAGGCGAAATCTGAGATACGAAATCTACGATTGTCTTTGGAACAGCAGGATATTACTTCAAATCAAGTAGGTCATCATTATCTAAATCCTTCATCAGAAGGCTTGGGAAATCGTAAAATCTAATCAAAGGCTCCTTAATCGGAAGAAAAAAGCTCTGAGATTTTTATTAAGACAGATTTTTTTCTAACTACAGGCGATATCCAATATTTCTAAGGAATTTTGTCGAGATTGTCATTTTTGAACCGTTTTATAATTTTTGTCTATAAATTCGGTCACAATGACCAATTTTAAAATATTTTTTTGTGTAACCACTGATTTACAGTCCTTTTTCTAATTTGGAAACTGAGATTCCCATGTTTTGATTGTAAATATCACAATTCCAAGATTTCATATTGATGTTATGTTCAATGTAGAAAAGACATATTTCGCAATTTCCACCGTAGCTGGAGGTTTGTCATCGCAGAAATAAATCATAGGCTCTATGGGCTTCAATTAAACTTCCAAACATATAGATAATACTCATTTATTCCGCTGACATTACCGCCAACTCGTTTAAAAAAGTTATTGCAAATTCCCAGGTACCCGATTTATAGAGTTAGAGGGGGATGAGGTGTTGGTGAGTGGCTTAACCGCGGTGTTTGCGTCCTCTGCGTTGTTTGCGTCCTCTGCGTTGCTTGCGTCCTCTGCGTCCACGACGTCCGCGGCGTCCGCGACGTCCACGGCGACCACGGCGGGCGGCGGCGGCACGGGCTACACGCTCATGGACGGCGTTGGCCTGGAAATGGAGAGATTAGAGAGTGAACAGCAAATGAATAATAGTTTTGCAGTGCCTTTTGATTTTAGAACTGCGGGTTCAAATTTTTCGGCTAATCCTCATGGGTAATAGAAAATTAATGCCATAATTGAAAGCTAGTATAATTTCATAGTAAAAAACCCTTAAAAAAAGCTATTCTATCGCATTTGCTCTTAGATAGCGTCCATTAAGATTAGTTAGGATATTGGGTTTGATGATTTTTTTGAAAGAAAAAAATTAGTCATCATGGTTAATATAACTGCTGTTTCTGGAGTCAAAATCAAACTTAATGGTCGCCTGTAAGGCCCAGGAGACTACAAAATTACTGAGCGTTAATTAATTTACCATTAAAGTGCTGCAGAAAATTTTAAAACGCGTTTATGCGCAAAAATAAAGCACGATAGGCACTACAAGGTCCCAAGACTTCTAAAACCCCCTTATTTTTGCTCAAGTCAAATCGTCAAGTGTCTAAATCAACCTACAGCTCCGACAGCGGTGTTGGAGACCTCGAGGGCGTCGGTGTCTTCGGGCTGCTCGAAGGCGGCGACCAGGCCGACCAGAAGGACCAAGATGCAGATGATGTGGAACCACTTCATGACTGGATGCCGTCCCCCATCCAGAACCCCGTATTTATACGGTCGGATCTTAAGGAAAAGGCGGAGTCTGCCGTCGGCTGATTGCCCGCACTTTTAAAAATCTTATCTCGCTTCCAACCCCAAGCCTCGAGGCAATTGCCGTCGTTGAAGCGAGGGAAACCAGTTCGCCAGTCAAAACAATTGAAACTCTTTTCATATAGATGTAACGTAATGGAAACGCGAATTCAAGTTTCATTATCAGTCCTACGGTAGGCCGAACGAGTCGCGGCGATTTGAAGCCCTTTCTTCAAAGAGATGGCGAAGATTAATGGATTTGGATGGAGGGGAGTTGGCACAATCTGCAACAAGTCTTTTTTTGGGTTTGTTTTGGAAGGGAAAGGGAGTTGCGCAATTCCAAAGAACATGACATACGAAAAAAGTCGGCGATTGTGACATTTGAGAAACCAATGATACAAACTTTTGATCAAGGGAACTTGGCTGTTGAAGTGGCCGTCTGAAATACGCCAAAGGGTGTTAAAACTGGACCGATTCTTTCTTCCTGGGCAAAAATTTTTAGTGTCCGGAAAAGCACGGAACTGGCAAATATTCGTGCCCTACCTAAAATTGCTTCTCTTTCTGACCGCTCTTCGTGTTTCATGTACTCTCTCGGTTGCAAGGTCCTTGAATATCACGGCTGCCCCTTGAAAACATCAGCTAAAACTTTCAAAAAAGACACGATTTCCCGGCGGATGATTCCGCTTCTTTCCTACCACATACGCCACACAGCCTTCTTACAGTGGACGTCTTTTGGTATTCCTTTGGGACACCTGGCGAATTTTTTTGTTCCTTTGCCGAAAAGTTTGTTGAGATCGCGAAATGACCGTGCTGACTTCCAGCTTTTCTCGAAGTGGTAGAGCATAATACGGCGAATATGAGTATGGTTTTTGACAGCCATTTTAATAACTAAACAGAGAAGATTATTTTTATCAAAAAAAGTTAACAAAACGTTAATTTTAACTAACAAAAAACGCGCCAATAAAAACGCGGGATAATTATGCATTAACCTATAGTGGCTGACAAAAATTTCTTTCCACCTTGTATCTCGGGAACCGCTGGGCCTAGAACCTCCAAATTCGGCATAGAAACATCCTGGGACAATCTAACACCATAACCAAAAAATCATATCATTTGATGCACTTTCAGTGCACTTTTTATCCAAAAGGCAAAAAACGGGATGACAAAATTTTCTTTCCACTTTGGAAAAACGCTTGTAAATCATAAGCCAGAAGGCGCTAAGGCATGATTGTGGTATCGTTGTGTTCGCGAAGGAGTCCTCTCTTGATCCGTGTCACAATTTTACAATAGTTTTCGTTTGTTCGCCCTTGGGCGTCTGTTCATCGTCGCCTTGTCCGTTTTCAGCTAAACTCTTGGCCAGAAAAGCTCGCAGTAGGCCTAAGGAGACGAAACTGCCCTTATTAAATCTGGTATTTATGGTTGCAACATTGTTTACTCCGGCAGTAGAATTACATTTAATTTAAGCGTGTTGCATAGGAAAATGTGCACTTCCAGGGTTCTCGTTACCAGAAAATTACGTTATTATAGGAACACTGCAGGCAATTCAAGTAACTTTTTTGCTGATATGTTTTCTACGATACTACAGCCTTAAAAAATAGTGACAATTTTAGTCTCGGATGTCGCGTTTAGGTTTGAGCAGAAGAAAGATTCCGCATGTCCCATGTGCAAAATTTGCAACCCTAAGCTTCCCGCGCAAGCAACTTGTCGTGCCAAAAACTTTAAAGGCAGGACAAAGTCAATGTATTAAGGCAGTCTGGTAGTCAAAAGTTCCAATGTGTCAAGCTTAAGTAATGCCAATTCCTCCCTGTCATATAATGCAACAACTTGCGTTACTAAAGACGACATAGACCAGAGGGGGGTAAGATAAGGTAGTAGATTTCAACACAGACTGTCGTATAATACCTAAAATGCGCTATATGTCTAGTAAACGCATGTTATTTGGACTTTTTCATTCTGTACATAAGCGATTTTCTGGTTTCGCGAACCCTGGAAGTGCACATTTTACACTTAAATTGAATCTAATTTTACTGCCGGTGTAAACAATGTTGCAAACATAAATAGCAGATTTTTTAACGTCAGTTTCATCTCCTTGGGCCTTCTGCGAGCTTCTCGGCCACGAATTTGGCAGAAAACTGACAAGGCAACGATGGGCAGACGCCCAAGGGCGAACAAACAAAAGGTCCTGCAAAATTGTGCCACGGATCGAAAGAGGACTTCTTCGCGATCACAACGACACCACAATCATGCCATAGCGCCCTCTGGCTTATAATTTACAAGCGGTGGAAAGAAAATTTTGTCATCACGTTTTTGCCGTTTGCATAAAAAGTGCACTGAAAGTGCATCAACTGATATGATTTTTTGGGTGTGATGTTAGATTGCCCCATAATGTTTCTATGCCGAATTTGGAGGTTCCAGGCCCAACGGTTCCCGAGATAGAGGTGGAAAGAAAATTTTGTCAGCCACTATAGTACTTCCTTTGAAAATCCGGCGTATCGGAGTCCCCAAAGCTTGATGATGCTAATATTTTTACGGGTTGCCTGATTCTTTGCGATCCACAAATCGCTCATTCGTATAGCACGTTGTTTTTGTGTCGGTTCTGTTCCTTCTGAAACTTGTTTTCCTGCAAATCTTGTCTCTGCTGCGAACTATGTACTATAATATATTAGCCTGTCGGCAAAATAGTAGCACAATGTCGATGCGTGGATTGTGCTGCTGAAGTGAAACGCAATTTGATTTTGCAGCGACGCAATTGATTTTCTCGGCCGCGATGCGATTTGCGATGCGACATTGCGCTTATTATTTTTCCGACAGATTGATTGTACTGCTTCAACGTTCGGCCAACTCCCTATATAAGCTTGGTGAAAGCCCCAGGAAACTTCACTGAAATTCCGGCAAGATTTCGCCGACATTGCGGCTGATTTTTTCGGTCGAGAGAATTTGCTGTCATTGAGTGAATAGTTGAAAACTTGTAATGCGGAAAAAAACGAGCCCAATCGTTGGAAAAGTCATCATTTTGTTAGGTTGATGCATAATTATCCGGTGTTTTTATTGGCGTATTTTTTGTTAGTTAAAATTCACGTTTTCTTAACTTTTTTTATAAAAATAATCTTCTCTGTTTAGTTATTAAAATGACTGTCGAAAACCATACTCATATGATATTTTTGGAGGGTAGCGTTTTTTTTTTGAAGACTAAAGTATTGTTTTCTTTGGATCACACTTTCTGCTTGCCCTGTAACCCCAAAAATCATAGTTGTTACACTGGTAAAACAAATCCTTTCCATTGCCTATAACATGTTCTAAATGTTTCTTCATTGTCTTAAAAAATTTTTGGTTACTGTTGCAAACAGCACTTGCGAAGTTTCGTTCCGGAAGTGGATCGGCTTCATTTGCATCCCCAGTCATTTTCGTTTTCTACTGCGGCGCCAAGCATTAATTCCGCACAATTTGATTCGAACGGGTCACCAAATGAACTTGTTTGTCTCATTTTGTCCGCATATCTGCTGCAGTTTCGGATTCTTGACACAAAAAAGGTCAAGCGAAAGGTTCAAGATAATATTACATACATCATTGAGAAAAAAACTTAGAGGTTCTAATTTTTTCAAAAATTTGGTATAGTAGCGTATTTTTAGGATCGGAAATTTGCCGCAGAGTTGAGTTTTGACGGCTTCGACCTTCACAGAAAGTGATCCAAGTTCGACGCTCAGAATGTGATGAAGATTGTCAAAAACTTGGAATAATTCTTTTCAAGACATATGCGAGACTTCTAGCTCGCGCTTTGCAGAAACGACAGAGGTTTTTAGGTCAAAAGTCGAAAGGAAACTGAATTTTTTCCTGCAAAATTTTACATCAAAAGTTTCATATCTGTTTCTACCGTAGAGGGCAATTTTTCCACAAGAAAAATCATTTTTTCTACCCAAAGCTAGCAAAGATTCGGCAAGCAACTTTTTTTATCTCTTACCGCAATTCGCCTTTTGCGTACCCCCTTGGTCGCAAAGATTGTGACTTTCCGGGCAAGGCATGGGCTAAAATCTTCAGAAATTGGTATGCGGCCTATGGCCAAAGTACATGCAATTTTCGAAAAATCTGAGCGTCGCGCTTCACTTGTTAGATTGAGATTTGAAACTTGCCATTGATGGGAAATAAAAGATGACATATGACGAATTGTGTTGCAAAATGTCATCATTCATTATCAGTCTGTCAAAAAAAATAAGCGCAATGTCTGTCGCTACGCCGATTGCGTAGCTGAATTGAAAAGCAATTTGTTTTGTCGCGACGCAATTATTTTTCGGCGGCGAATTTCGTTGCGACAGCGTGATACTTATTTTCCCGACAGACTGATAAAAAATTTTGCGCTTGGTGGATCCAACATAAAGTGAATTTTTAAAGATAAAAGTATTTTTGAAATTTAATAAAATACGTCATCATACGGTTTTTTGGATTTTTTTTTCGAATTCGGCTATTTTCCTTAAACCCAAAATTAAGACCTCCTTAATAACGGTTAAGTCGTCTACAATCTATTTGCTGATAGACGCGTCCAGTGTGAACCCGCCATCGTATTCCTCCGTCTTCGCTTCAGTGGCAGCAGTTTATTTGGGGGCTTTCGGTCCGCTTTGGAATTGCGCCATCTCTTCCCGCGACGCCCGCAGGACACGAAACATTCTCTCAAGTTGCCGGCGGCACGCCCTCTCACTCATGCCGTATAAATACTGAGGTGGGCGTTGGTTCAGGCATCCAGTCATGAAGTGGTTCCACATCATCTGCATCTTGGTCCTTTTGGTCGGCCTGGTCGCCGCCTTCGAGCAGCCCGAAAACACCGACGCCCTCGAGGTCTCCAACACCGCTGTCGGAGCTGTAGGTTGATTTAGGCTCTTGACGATTTGACTTGAGCAAAACTAAGAGGGTTTTAGCAGACTCAGGACCTTGCAGTGGCTATCGTACTTGATTTTTTGTCCGTAAACACGTTTTAAACTTTTCTGCAGCTCTTTAATAGTAAGTTAACAAACACTCAGTAATTTTAAAGCCTTCCGAACCTTATAGGCGACAAATCAATTCGATTTTGACTCTAGAAATGTCAGTTATATTAACCATGATGACTAATTTTTCTCTTTAAAAAAAATCATCAAACCCAATATCCTGGCTGATCTTAATGGACGCTAGCAAAGAAAAAATGTCATAGAATAGCAACTTTCAAAGGCTTTTTACTATGAAATTGTACTAGCTTTCAATTATAACGTTAATTTTATGTTACCCATGAGGATTAGTCGAAAAATTTTTAAACTTCAGTTCTAAATTCAAACAGCACTGCAAGACTATTACTAATTGACTGTTTACTCTTTTATCTCTTCATTTTCAGGCCAACGCCGTCCATGAGCGTGTAGCCCGCGCCGCCGCCGCCCGCCGTCGCCGTGGTCGCCGCGGGCGTCGTGGACGACGAGGACGCAAGCAACGCCGTGGACGCAAACACCGCAGAGGACGCAAGCACCGCGGTTAAGCCCTCTTCCGAATCTCTGACTCTCGTCTGATCTGTATTTTATATCGATTATTCGGGGCCAAGTGCAATAACTTCTTTAATGTACGTAGAAAAGAATAAATGATTATTAATTAAAATCGAATGACTCGCAAATAAAAAAAAGATGCTTTTTTGTCGGCGCTTTCGTCGACGGTTTTCCTTGACTTCTCTGCTTTTTTCGGTGGGATTTATTTTCTCTGTGTTCAAAGATTTCGCAGAGAAAAAGGTGAAGGAATATCGACTGAAAAGAGTGTTTGGGAACATGGATTTCTTCTGTTTTGAATGCGGTTTTTAGTGTAAATGTTGGACATATTAGTGGGAAAAGGTTTTCTCATTTTATCGCAAGATTTTTTATATGATTCTAGATACCTAGATAGCTAACAATTTTTTTTGAGAGTTTGAACTAAAGTAAAGTATGATGATATCCTGTAAAAACCGTAGAGGATACATTTACTGTGTTTCACATTCCCTTTTCAACGATTTTTTGTCAAAAACTTGAAAAAAATTTGTAAATGTTTTTTTTTCTGTTCAAGGCTAATATAATATTTAAATTGGTGCAAAATACGTTAATTTAAGATCCGCCGGGGCTATGAGGGATTTCTAGTTAATTAACGGTTGAATCTGAGCAATAAAAACGACAAAATTAGTCTATTTCTCCAATCTTTCTCTTAACAAGCCATTTTTAGTCATCATTTTGCAATTTATGACATTTCGAGCAAAAATTGGCCTAATTTTTAGTTATTTTTCTGATTGCAGGTTCTTAAAAAAGATGCTTGTTGACTGACATGTGATGTTGGATATTCTCCATATTCCCTTTCCGAGATTTTCAATATTCTCCATGACCACCTAGTACAATATAATTTTTCAGATGTCCGACAAAACTGAGCTCGCGTTGGGCGACATTATTAAGGCCAACAAAGAGAACCGCCAGAAACGAGGAGGTGCTCAGAAAAAAGAGGCCAAGAAGTTGCCAGTCCAAGGGGGTGTGGCCAAAAAGGAGAGACTCCCTTCAAGACCCTCGACTCACAACAACCGATCCAGATCGTCCTCAAGACCGGTCTCTAAAGATGAGTTGGAATTCCTGAGACTCGGCAACATCCCCAGCAATGTCTCCGAGCGCGAATTGGCCAGTCTTTTCCATCAATACAAGCAAGCGAGGACCTATCTTCATCACGACTCCAGAGGAAGATCGTTGGGGACTGGCGAGATCCGAGCCCCTCAAGGGACTGTAGATAGAATTCGGAGAGATTTCAGTGGGGTTTTGATTGACAAACGCCCTTTGGACATCAGAATGGTAACAAGTTCGAAGGAGAAGATCAGCGAGAGGATTACGGTAGCGAAAAAGAGTAAAAGTAAACCGAAGAAGAAGAAGAATGTGGCAAGAAAGGGTGGCAAAATTACAGCTGAGGAGTTGGACAAAGAATTGGAGCAGTACATGACTCAAAAGAAGGAGGAGAAAATCGAGGAGAGCAAAAATTAATTTTTTGATGACTAAAATATCTTAGATGCCAATAAATTTTATTCTATGCAATTTTGAACCAAGAATTTTATTGAAAAGACCTAAACCGACTTAAATTTAATTATGCCATCAAAAAAATCAATATTTTGAAAAAATATAGGAAAAATTATATTATCCATGATAGCTGATGCCAAAAATTGATCATAATCTACTTTTTTGCACCTACATTAATGTCAGACTATTATTATCAGCGCTTTCGCATCAAAACAAACATCTTAAGATCGTAATCTGGGCGTCTCGTGACGTTCCGTAACCCAGAATCCTTTCAAAAATCTGCTGCCCAGATCTTGCCAATTCGCGTTCTGGAAGAGTCGCAAGTCCGATTTATCAACGGGATCTAGCCAAACCAGCCGCTTAAATTTTCTTTCTTGCGCCTGAAAAACATGTTTCTTTTCCGGGCGTTTTTTCACGCAATATCGCCAAGTCTCGTGAACTGGCGGGTGTATATGCCGGGTTTCGAACACAAAGATCATATCAAACACATTCGGATTTGATATCTTAAATGTTGATGACATTTTTCAAACAGCAAGTTTGCCAAAAAAAAGTCGAACTTTGAAAAAATGATGAGAATTTGATGTCAAGTGTAATATCTCGATTTGAATGAAACTTTGGGAAAATGAAGGAAACTATGTGTTATGACATCCTGAAGATTTTTAGATCGCGTCATGCAGAAACAGCGGATGTATTTGCTCTTTAACCACAAAAAATTGAGTTTTCACAAATTTTCTGTCTTTTCATGTCTTTAACCTTGATTTTCAGTCATTAAATTTAACAATTTTTTTAATTTGTGACATTAATTTATATTACACTTGCCCTACCTCATTTATCATATAAACCGATGAGCAGCGAACAATCGGCTAACCAATCATTTATCCCGAGGCGATCAAAAAAAGTTATCGACGAGTTTCTGATTGTTTTCATGTCACATTTTCGCCACTGATCAGTCATTTTTTGCTTTTGGAGTCATCTGCCGTTCCGATTCCGGATTTGGTGCCGAAAAAATGTTAAAAGTCTTTGAATCCTCGCACTTTTTAAGACCGTTGAAGAACGTTCAACAACAAGCCGGTTGAAGGAACGTAAACAAATAAAAAAAAGATGTATGAGTCTCCAAAAAATACGGAAACGCTTTATTTTGGACAACTAAACGGAAACAATGGTCAAAAATAACTATTGAGAATGTGTGTTTGAGGTCAAATCGTCACTCCAGATCGTCCGCATCAACAATTGCCCCTCTCTCTTCGCTTTCGGCACGGATTCCACCACGCTGAGCGATAACGGCGGCTTGAACTCGCTGAAAACATTAAATTGGGTAATGTCTAGTGCAATATCAAAAATTTCAATAGAAACTCCTATCGTTTCTGCCGTCAAACTATCAAAAAAAAGAGCCACCAGCCCATAGGTAATCAATTTTAACACATATTGGCCATCTAAACATCCAAAATAACAAAAAAAAGAGTAAACTTACAGCTTGAGCATGTGGAAGTTCGGCAACAATTCTGTCAAAGTGCTCGGCCATCGTCTGTCTGAATATGTTGATAAGATGGTCGGGTTGACCACAAAGCACGACCGCATTACACAAATGCTTGATTCCTTCGTCTTCTAGACCTTGAGCAATCAATTCTTCTCCGATTTGGATCTCTTGAAGGAAGAAGTTTTGAACGGCAGCGGCATCACCCATATTTGGCAAGTTGAAGGGTTCATCGCGTTGTCTGGAAGCTGCGGCCTTTCTTTCTGCAAAAGAGCGCATTTAGCATCATTATTACACCTGATATTGTTTTAGACAATTTATTTTTATTCCCTAAAAATTCAAAACTGAAAACAAAGAGCTTACTCTGTCGAATGCTGTCTTTGTAGTCAGGAGCATGTGTACGACGATAATCAAAATATAAAGCGTACCCAACGAAGGCAGTAGCTCCAATTCCAGCTCCCCAAAGCAACAGATCTCGAGAACTCGTGGCCATTCTGATCTAAAAAAATAAATCCAATAAAAAACCCGGCAGAATCACGCATTATATGCGCGAATATGATGAACATCGACCAAAAAAAGTAAAAAACTAAAATAGGAAATAAAACTTCGTCAATAACCTGAAAGGAGACGTTTTATACGATGAAAGTTGTAAACCCTAGGACGCAGCCTGCCGTAAGTATATTTTACGTGTTTTGCCGCCAAGTCGCTGTAACCGCTGTTGCGTGTAATACATCTACAAGCTGCATAAAGTAACGGTAATTACTTTCTTATAGTCAAAACGGACTCCTTTGGCCTTGGAATTATAATATTGCTGAACTTGATATTGTACAACGTTTTACTTTCGTTCTTTGCTGTTCCAAAGAAGAAGAAGGCAATCAAGATGGAAACAAGTGCAAGCATGACCAACAGCATTGATGGAATACCAACAGAGACCTTTGTAAGTTTTAATTTATTGGATTTGGTTTACTTTTTAGGACGACAACATATTGGACTCCATGAAAAAGCCGCCAAGACCTGCAGATGCTGTTGTTCAATGCGCCATCTCGGCCTATTATCTGCAGAAGATCCCTGAGTTCATAGAAGCGTATCTAGAGGAAGATCAACGTACGTTTTCGCCATTCTCTTTAGACTTTTAGGAAGGACAAAGGGCCTAGTGCAATATTGCCAATTTTAGAGTCTGCATCGCCAACAGAGCTGAAAGAGAAACTCAATGAGCTGATCGTTGCCGTTGGGAAGGAAAATTTGATCAGTGAACAACTTAAGAAGGAGCTCAAGGCTATTGTAACGGAAAAGGAAGATTTATTGAGCCGTTTCAAGAACGACAAGAAGAAAGTGTCTGAATTCTATGATCATATCAACTCCAAATTTGTCGCTAACCAATTTGAGTTAAAGAAAACAGAAGCGTAAGTAAAAGTGTAGTGTTTTGAAGGAATATTCCAATGTTTGGATTATAAAACCATCAAGTTTCAGGCAGCTGAATGTTGAACTCGAGCATGAAAAAATGAAGAATGAGAACCTCAAAAAGCGAAAAGAATACCTTCAAGAAAAGCTGGCGGCCTTACAGAAACAAAAAGCGGTTTACAATTAACAAAGTTATTAACGTATGTATACAATCTTGTGAATAAATTATTGAACAACACTTTGAACGACGATGTTTTCTGCTATTAAAGTTTGCGTCTTCGTATTTCAACTATTCCCGTTATTTTTGCGCACTTTTCGCACTTTCTGTTTATCATGATCAGGGGTGGTCAGCAGACCCTATTTTTCCGATTTTCGGCCCGCGGCCCGGCCCGTCTAATCACCGGCCCGGCCCGGCCCGTCTAGTCTTTTTCCAGGCCCGGCCCGGCCCGGCCCGTGACGGGCCTGGCCCGGCCCGGCCCGTCCAGGCCCGTCTATAGAGGGTTCTGCGAACTGCGCCCAGGCTCGGGATCTAAACTGAGGCAAAAAAGGCGTTGATCTAGCTAGTAAAGGATCAATGTGATAGTTTTGTGGTTCTATAATGGAACTATAGACTTGTAAACGTGTTAGAACTTGAGAAACAGCAACTATAACAACATCAATTAATTTTCCCGGCGCGAAAACAATGAATGCCAACGGTTTGGCATTGTATTTTAGACGGGCCGGGCCGGGCCGGAAAAAACCCCAGGCCCGCGGCCCGGCCCGGCCCGGCCCGTGACGGGCCCGGCCCGTTTGTCAATTTCCATTTTTGAGGCCGGCCGGCCCGTTTGGGCCGGGCCGGCCCGGCCCGCCGACCACCCCTGATCATGATCAAGTTTAGGGCAAGAGTTGACCCAAAAATGCAACACTTGGCTCGTTGTTTGTTTCGCAAAAGTCCAAGGAACTATAAGTACGCGTATTTGATGGTTCTTCGGTCCGGTTAGTTGTATAAATTGTTGTTTTGTTGCCCTCTGACTTCATTCGTCACATTTTTCCCCATCCGATATTATACTTGCCATGGCCGAGTGGAAGGAAGTTAGCGCCAACCGCTCCTTCAAAGGAACCCAATATACCTACTCGTTCAAAAGGTTAGAGAGGGTGTTTTAAAAGTTTTGCTTGTTACTTCTTAGAAGCTGAAGTCGTATTTTTCAGTAGCGAGCTGAAAACTGTAACCCCGATCGGAGTTTATGTTCCCGATGTGGAATCCGGCGAGAAATTGCCCGTTCTCTTCTGGTTATCAGGTCAGTAATGGATTTGGCGCGTTTTCCGTTTGTTTTTGGCGGGAATCATGTGATTTCTGTTTTTTTAGTATCAGTTATATTCACCATGGATAAGATAGATTAATATTCTTGTATTTGGTACCTATACTTGGCCGAGGTTATTTCTTTTTCTTCCAGGTCTCACATGCACCGAAAAGAACTTTGTGGAGAAAGCGGGAGCCCAGAGATTGGCCTCCAAACATCGAGTGATTGTTGTGAACCCGGATACTTCTCCCAGAGGTTTAAACATCGAAGGAGACAAGGATAGTTACGACTTTGGAGAAGGAGCTGGATTCTATCTGGATGCGACGGAACAGAAATGGGCTCAGAACTACCGGATGTACAGCTATATCGTCAAGGAGTTGGTCCCGCTGATTTCAGAGAAGTTCCCGGTAGATGAAAAGAAACGTTCTATCTTTGGACACAGCATGGGAGGACATGGTATGGTCTTATAGTTTGATTTTCTGTTGATTTAGGTAATTCCTAGCCGAAAAGGAGGATTATTTTTTGAGGATCTGGTGTCAAGAGTAATATCAAAAAAGGCCAAAAATTCCTACCTTTTGATCTGAAATTCTATAAGCGGTATCTCAAAGACATAATATCGGCTTGACACTCCTTTCTATATGTAATTGCAGGTGCTATTACCATTGGCTTGAAGAATCCGGACCTTTTTACCTCGATATCTGGATTTGCTCCAATCTGCAATCCGACTGCCTGCCCTTGGGGCCAAAAAGCCTTCAAAGGATACCTTGGCGATGATAGCTCCAAATACACCCAATATGACTCTACAGAACTGGCAAGGACGTATAATGGGCCACCAAAATCAATCCTCATCGATCAAGGAACGGCCGACAACTTTTACAAACAAGGCCAACTCTTGCCAGAGAATCTGACAGCCGTCAGCAACGACAAATTGACCATTGATTTCAAGAAGAGAGAGGGATACGACCATTCCTACTTTTACATCGCTTCGTTCATCGAGGAGCACTTTGAATTCCACAAGTCCAAGTGGAATTAGAATCCCGGCTAAATGTTCCAATATTTGCGAATAAATTTATTTTAAATAGAAACTAAATAAAAGAATATATCGAATAAAGTATTTTCAACCCTCGGCAAAGGCAGATTTGTTAATGAAAAGGTCAGTTTTCCAAGTCGAATATATCTGTTTGCATGGGTTGCATGATCTTATTCACCTTGGAGGTCGTAGTGTTTTGTGTGTGGCGTGTGTTGGTTATAGAGGACGTCAATGCTCTTTTTTTGTTGTGATAACGTTTATTTGCAGATAGCGATGAGTTCCGTTGAGGATTCCGTGATTTCCTTAAAAGTGAAGTGCCAAAAGATTGTTGATGGCAAGAAGGACGTAAGTCATTCGTTTTATTATTCAGACTGTTCAAATTTTAGATGGATGAAGCTTACGGACTACTCGAAGGCCTCGAACAAATAGCCATCACTGTGGAGGTTCTCACAGTAAGATTTTAGTCATCTTGCACTAGACCCTTTTGATGTCAGAAAAATAATTTTTTGTTTAGAAGACTCGGATTGGAATGACCGTAAATGATCTCCGGAAGAAGACCAAGGACGAGAAGTTGGCGAAACGTGCCAAGGCGCTGATTAAGAAATGGAAAGCGATGATTGACACTGGAGGCGGAGGAAATACCAAGGAGAAAGAGAGCAAGCCGGCCAATGGAGTGACAAAGAGCGAATCGCCAGCTCCAGTGCAAACACAACCACAGGTCTTCAAGAGAACTGCAGCCGCCAGTAATGATTCGGTAAGGATTATTAACGATTTTTTTGGGTAATTTCGAAATTTGAGGGATTTTGGTGTTGTACAAGAGAATTATTTTGGATTTTATTGTGTGGTTTTTAATGTAGTTGCTTTTCAGACCCGTTGCCAATCAATCACAGTGCTGGCGAAGTCGCTGAGAGCCGGCGAACTGCCCGACGGAACGCAGGATCCGGACGAATTGGCCGAACGAATCGAAGAGGCCATCTTCCAGTTCACCGGCGGCGTCAACGACCGCTACCGATCCAACATCCGGTCGCGGATCTTCAACCTGCGCGACAAGAAGAACCCGGCCCTCCGCGAAAACGTCCTCACGGGCGCCGTTCGCCCCGAACGCTTCGCCCAAATGACGGCCGAGGAGATGGCGTCGGACGAGATGAAGAAACAAAGAGAATCCTTCCACAAAGAAGCCATCAACGAGCATCAAATGGCCGTCCAAGAAGGCACCCCCTCGGACATGTTCCGTTGCGGCAGATGCGGGAAGAACAACTGCACCTACAACCAGATGCAGACCCGCTCCGCCGATGAACCGATGACCACGTTCGTGTTTTGTAGAACCTGCGGGAACCGCTGGAAGTTCTGTTAAAGGTCTCAATTTGATTTCTTTTTGTTGGAATTTTTGGCGAGGAAAGTCATCGGGGATTACTGTAACTTTTTTTGGATACTGTAATTTTTATTGAATATACATCAAGTCGTCTAAACTAGATGAAAGATGGTTAAAAAGTAATTTTGAGCATTAAGATTCGGCAAAAATTGTTATAATTACATCATTTTTGATAGTTTTTCGCTTTTTTTGGGCTGATGTCTAGTGTAATATAAAAAAGTTGTTAATTTGAAAAAATAGTGATGTCCAGATGATTTTCCTTCCATTTCTTTGCTTTTTTATTTCCGTCTTCTACCTTCATTTATTCTCGAATTCTTTGCCATCTTTTTTCTCCTCCTTTATGATCCAAGATTATACATAGACTCCAAATTGTTTCCTTTTTCCGTCTTCTCTAGACTCCAGACCTCCAATGACTGAGTTGTGTTAGGTAGAATAACAGCCTTTGACCACACTTGGTTCCATTTATTATCTAATAATAAATATTCTTTTGAGATTTTTTGAGGAAATTGCGATTTTAAATAATATTCATTGAGGATTTCAATACTTTAATTTGTCAAAGAATTTTGGAAATGGAGCTGTTTTCAAGTTCAGAGGGTGTAAAATCAATGAGGAACGAAAATTTGCAAGTTTTGAATCAAAACGCCCACGGTCATCATGGATAATATAATATTAAATTTTGCAAAAATTCTTGTCTAACCAGCTTACCAATAAACTATATTTCCTGTATTTTGATCCCATAGTCGTAGGCCTATCCCTGTTCCACCATGTGCGCCCATTTCTCGCCTTCAGTATGTTGAAATAGCCCTTTTCGGAGGGAAAAAGGAAAATTTCCAAAGTTTTCTTGCTAGTCTTCGAAACTTCCTTACATTGCCGGCGTTGAAAGGGGTTGTAAGTGATTCTAGCTTTCTTTTGACAGTCTTATCCAGGATTATTCGCTAATTCAGGCCTGCTTATATTACCTTAGGAGACTTTGATGAGTACTGAAGAAGAAAGAGTTGATTCAGAAGCTGAGAAGATGAATACGACCAGCTCAATGGCTTGTCCGGCCTGTGGAAGCCTCAATTTTACATACAGTTTCTCTCAAGCCGCTCCGGATGCCCCGATGACGACAGTTTTCTTTTGTCGAAATTGTGGGAATATTTGGAAATCCCCGTCTCCCACGCCCTCTTGGCGGTGTATAAACGATGAAAAATAATTTCAAGATTATTTTACAGTGTATTCTTCAGTATAAAATACAAATTTCTAAAAATTTTCTAAACTTTTTGACGAAAATGAGATTAACGAGTGTTTTTGCGGTTCCGCTTTCCTATTTGGGGAGAGAAGTTGCAGAAACGGTTTCCCAGTTCGACTCCGCCACTCCGGAGAGGTCCCGCGATTTCTCAGCCAATCACCGGAGCCTGAGATACGAGCTCCCGAGGAAAGTAAAATTAAAAAATTACATTCCTGGTCAGGTTCTCCCCCATCCAAGAGCAGTTAGTTTGCGGTCAAGAACTCAACGAATTCTCTCCAAACTATTATGTCCAGAAGAAGTTTTCCACATCGCTATGGGAATTTAGAATTCACACAGGCTCTACATAATTGCATATGATGTCAATATAGCGTTGCGTATTCAACGATCTTGACCGAAGAGAGAGAGAGAGAGAGAGAGAGAGAGAGAGAGAGAGAGAGAGAGAGAGAGAGAGAGAGAGAGAGCGCGCAAAATGCGGAGAGCGGTCAGACAGAAAAACATTTTTTGGCCATTTCTAGGCCAAAAGCCCCAGTTTAGCGCGGGAAAAAATTATTTTTTATGGAAACATTACTCTCTTTGGTAGAATTAGGCTTGAAACTTTTCATGTCAAAATTCGAAAAAAGTGTCACATCTTTGCCAACTTTCGACCTACAAATCTCGGTTGTTTCCGCAAAGCGCGAGCTGGAAATCTCTCACATGTTTTATGAAAAATTAGTCTAAAGCTAACCCAAGTTTGATTAAAATCCGAGCGTCGCACTTGATGCACTTCGCATGTGAACTTTCAGTCATCCAAAGACCTCCGTAAACTCCCTTCGATTGACGGAAAAGATGGTCGAAAAATAAAAGAGCAAGTGACACATGGTGGCCCTTTTCTTATCATCTTGTGATAAGATTTGACCCCTGAAAATGGGCGAAAAGACATTTTCGTCTGGATGAAAATGCGTTGGACGCCGCTGTTGTTGCTGCCTTTGCTGGCCGTGGCCGACGAAGAGGTTCGTTGTAGCGATGGGAAGTCGGTTTGTCCCTCCGAAACAACATGTTGTGTGCTGAGCACTGGGGGATTTGGTTGTTGTCCCATGCCGGACGCGGTCTGTTGCTCCGACAAATTGCATTGTTGTCCCTCAGGTTGGTGGTTTAGGGAGGTTTTGAGCAATTTTTTTCAACAAATTCTCGTAGAGCAAATGTTCATAATGACTTTGTTGACTGGTATTTTCACAAAAAAAGAATTTTAATATCACTGCAGTGGAACTGGGACGATTGGGGAAACCGAAAAGTATTATTTTTCTTCCATGCAAGTGTCGAATTAGGATAATCGAGGGTGCTGATTTCGAAAATGAGATTCATATTTTGATCCTTAACTTTTCTTTAGTAGTACTGTAAAGTAGTAATTTTTTGATTTTTTTCATAATAATCGATTTGGGGGTTTTCGATGGTGCTGCTTTCAAATCAAAAAAAAATGAAAAAGATTTTCGAAATCAGCAAGGTCGAAACCCCCCAAATCGAGTATTTATGAAAAAAATTCAAAAAATTACTACTTTACAGTACTACTTAAAAAAAGTAAATATCAAAAAATGAATGTCATTTTCGAAATCATCACCCTCGATTATCTTAATTTGGCACTTGCATCGAATAAAAATAATATTTTTCGGTTTCCCCAATCGTCTTTTCCCGCAATGGTCCAACTCCGCACTGTGGTCTCTAAAATTTAAATTTTATCATTTCCATAATCACCATGTACAACATCTACTTATAGGTATGGAATGCGACACCAAAGAGGCTAAGTGCAACTACGGTCCCTTTACCCAGCCGATGCTGAAGAAGCTCCCCGCCAGAGTTGAGGATTCCGGCTGTGACGACCCGACTTTCTCCTGCCCCGATGGCACCACTTGTTGTAGCGCGCCCGGCTCGCTCCCCGGCTGTTGCCCGTTGCCGAATGCGGTTTGTTGCTCGGACGGGCAACATTGCTGTCCCCATAAGACCACGTGTGACATTGCTGAACAGGAATGTTTGACTGTAAGCACGAATATTTTACTGTAAGCAAATTTTCTAGGCATTTGATGAAATCCCATGGTTCAAAGGGTTCCAGGCCTTCAAGAATTCGCGAGAGGCCAAGTTGAACCACAGGAAGAGCTTGAAATGCACGGGAGACTCCAAAAGGTGACAATTTAATACAAATTTTATAAAAAACATGCCATGGATAATATAAATTTTATGTCATCCTTGCTTTTTCAGATGTCTAAACTCTCTCTCCGGCCATGAATTTTGTTGTCCATTCCACGACGGGGTCTGTTGTGAAGGGAAGAGCAAATGCTGCCCATCCGGTTTCACGTAAGTCATGGATAATATTAGCTCAAAAAAATACTAATTTTACTATTCCAGATGCTCCAGAGACTCAGAAGACTGTGTAAAAGACCAGAATGGAGTCTTTATCTCTATGAAGATGTATCCATAATAACACAACTCTCGAATTTTGCAATATTTACCTAGGCTCCCATAGATAATATAAAATATTTGCGATTTATTGTGCGTCAGACACATAAAGCTGAGAATTGTGAAGATTACCAAATAAAGCTATACTAAACGGTTATTATGAGTGAGTATATTAGTGTGGTTGGTGTACGTACCGGCAGTTTTCGCCGTATCGGCAAGTCTGATACTTGGCAAAGTCGAAGCAAATCTTGGACTGGTAGAAGTTCTAAAAGCGTAAACAAACTAAATAAAAGCCACTCACATTCAACAATCTCTTGTAGAGTATATGATCCACCAAGATCTCATCGCAGATTATGCATTGCCCGATGGGTTTTTGACATGCCCTCCGGCCTCCAAAGTGCTGATTGTCTTCAAGGATAAGTCGCCTCCATGCATTGTTGATCAACTTCTTTGCGGGAGGACGTGCGTCATTCAACGCAACAATATTTTGGCCATTTCCGTGAGCTTGTGTTACATAATATTGAGAGTTCTGAATCAGAGAGACAAGTCCCTTTTTATCGTCGGGACCGGGATAACCTGTTGTTTGGAGATGAGAAGAATCTGAGTCGTGAGTCAATGTACAATCTGGAGGAGATTTGGAGAGGAATTCTGAGGTAAAAAACTGCGGGGAAGATGGTGTCTGAAAAGGAGATGATTACCATGACTAATATCGCAAATAAAAACAACCCTTCGCGTAGCCAAATAGTTTCAGGCCGTTTAACAGGTCAAGTGTTGTCCGGTGTAACCGCCTTTCAACAAATAAACCCCTTCTTACCACTTCTTCCGAGCTATCCATCGAGCTGCATGATGTCTTATCCTCATTTTCGGTCCAGCAGCTTTTATCCGCCTTTGCTTCGCAGGCAGAACCGTCCTTTTCACTCTAAAATAACTGAATACAAATCATAAATCACTTACTGTAGTTTCAACATCCTCTTCCACGCAATTACGGCTAATGTTCTCCTTCTTGATGGATGCGAGAGCGAAAGGTCGAGAAGAAGAATGCGCTGCTCTTGCATAAGTCATTTTTGACTTTATTGGTACCCTAATGTGACCAGGATAGATTGTGGTATAGGTCTGAGTATCCCTGCAATGAAAAAATCGTAAAATCCAATAAAACTATATTGTACATGGAAATTACCTAGAATAATAGCCAACAACTAGATAGAACAAAGCCTGGACTAATAAAAAGTAGACTATGAAGCTACAAGTGAGGATTTCCAACTATGGAAACCCAATTTATCATTCAAACATTCCCGTGCTTCCCACAAAAGAGAAGTTACCTAAAGTAATATCAATCAAACAAAAACTCACTCAGATCCTGCAGAATCCCATTGAAACTTGAGTTTTCTTGTCACTTCAGACGTAGCAAACCCTGGAGATTGTTCGGACTCGCAAGATGATGCTGTAGAGCCGTTATCTTTCCCAGTTTTCTTTATCTCGTCAAATACATGTTCGTCTTCAATATCTCGGTGCCAAGTCTTTGATTGTGCCCTTGGATTGAGTAAAAACTGCATCAAATCCGCATTTCTGTCCAACTCCATGATTGCAGCGGGAAGAGGAAGGAGTTTGCCAAGTCGAGAAATGCCGAAACAGATTTACATTTTTTTCGGATATCACATCGTATAACATGATTTCCGCAGCCTGCAGAACAGAAAATGATGTGGACGCAGCTCAAAACTTCCGTAGGCGTGCTCAGAGTGTTCGTACTGTAAACTTTTGGATATTTAGAAACTGTAGAGACTTATAAGCTTTTTTCCCCTTTTTTTCAACTAAGCAACTTATGTTTCTCTTATCCATCAGCTTCTGATATTGTACATAAATAATATAAATTTATTGATGATTTTTCCCGAAACCAGTTATAATCGTCTTCGTTGATCCTTTCGGATCGTAGTTTATGACGAATGAAAGTGATTCGCTGCCAAAACTTGTTCCGTTTTATCCACGATGACCTTGCCTTTCACTGTATAATCAATAACATCCCGTTTTTTTTCTCCAGCAACAAGTTGTAATCTCCGGCCGTCCACTGTGTCTTAAACTGTTTACCGGCTGAGGGAATCGGTGTTTCTCCGTAAAAAAGGGAGAGGTGAGATTGCGGCGAAGAGTTGCGCTCGACGTTTTTTTTTGTCTGACCTTGTTTTTGGGATTGGAGATCCGAAATCCGCTGGAGAGAAGGCATTCCCGAACTTGATTCTTCTTCCACAAAATCTTTGCGGTTTTCGTAAAAATGGGAGCCGGTTTGGTGGAGCGGCGAGAGGTGCGGCAAACGGCCGAAGCAACGGGTGGAGATGAGGTGGAGGGGAAAAAGAAGGTGCTCGGCTTCAAGGAGAAGGTCTTTGTGCCTCGGGAGTCGTTGATCACGTAAGTTGGGGGATTGGAAGAGCTGTTATTTTGTTGAGTAGAGGTGAAATTTAATGTAAGCTTTTAACTTTTTTCCAAATTGTGGAAACTTTACAAAATAATTTTTTGGCACAAGATTTATAGTACACTGGTACATATTGGGGCCAAATATGACACAGTTTTATTGAAAACAGCAAAAGTTACAGCGATTTTAAAAGTGCATTTATAATTTTGTCGAGCAGTGTATGACCAAAGTATTTATAATCTACTCCCTTTCAAGTACCAGTAAATTTATTTGTTATGGAAGGGCTTCGTTGTGCAAAATTTCATTATGGCTTAAAATTTACTCTACAGAGCTTCGGGATTTCTCGTTACAGACAAGTTTTGTTGTACATGAGTGGCCTTTATCTGAGCTTATACCACTTCTGAGAAATACTAAAATCATCAGTTAAGCATGAGATACGTAGATCTTTATTCTTGTTGTCGCCGCTGTTTTATCCAACAACTTCTAAGTTTGTAAATGCTAATAAGAAATAATTAGTAATCTACAGCGTGTATGACATTAACTTTAAAATCTTTTTATGGAGCTCGGCCCAACGAAACGGTCATTTTTTATGATTTTTTTGATCGATTACAAGAACAGATTGATTAATTTTATCGCAAAAACCCCTCACCATGACGTTTTTTTACACCCTTAAAAATAATTTGGTGCTTGTAATGTCTGTTGCTGCAGATTTCACAGCAAAAGTTAAAATTTGAGATGTAAGAATGACTATGTAAAATTTGCCGTTAAACTTGCCGATTTCTCTTATTTTTACATCCAAACATAAAATTTAAAGCTATTATATGTAGGCATAATTAAAACTGTCATTATCTGTTCTAGACAACATTGGGATGGCACTGCCGGCATCTTGTTCAACTTCTTCTCGGCCTGGTTTGTCCTCTGCGGCTTTGGGACCGCGGTGTTTGACTTGATAAATCATCAAAAGTAAGATTTAGATTTTTAGCCATTTACATCATAATTTGTAATAAAGTAAATTACTAAGCAAATATTTCCAGTCCTCTCAACCATTTCTGGCTGATCCAATGGAATTTCGACCAGCTTTTGATGACTTTATTCGCCTGGTCTTGCATGTACATCTCCACGATTGTATGTGCTTATAATGGGCTCAAATTGTGGGCCTTGATTCCTTCGAAATCCGTGACTTTTTCGAATCAAGCGCCCTTCATTGGGCTGTATTTGTTGTACTTGATCTCACTCTTCTATTATCCGTTAGTATTTTTATTCAAATACGAATTAAACTGCGCTTGCTCGTTCATCATCACCTGTGAAAATGTGAGTCATCTTATCTGGGGATGATTTTTTGGAATTTTCAAAAAACCTCATTTTTGAAATTTTTTCCAATTTCAAGTCTAAAGCAAGATAACTAAATTTCAGACCCGGTTATGCATGAAAGTCCACTCATTTGTCCGCGAGAACCTGGATCGCGTCATCAAACATAAGGTTGACCAGGCACGTAAAGGATTTACCGTCCAAAAATTCGCTGATTGCATTGCTCATCGAGAGAATTTGGTGTTCCCAAGCATCGGACAATACGTTTACTTTACTTTTGCGCCAACTTTCATCTACAGAGATGAGTATCCACGGTGAGAATCATCAAAATTATATTAACCATATTGTTAGTTTAGCTATAATGTTTTTGAAAAATATGTCATCAAGATGTATTTTTTTGAAAAAAGGTTTAAGGGTTGTGTCGAGAAGAAGTTTACAGCATCTAGTCTCTAAATTCGTACTCAAAATCTTGGTTTTTCCAATAAAAATTCAATTTTAGCACCGATAAAGTGAATTGGAAGCGAGTTTTCACGATCTTCGCGCATTGTCTTTTGGTGATTTATGTGGTGAATTTGATGTTCATCAACTTTATCCGTCCTCGATTCATCGAGATCGACTACAAGAAGCAGTCGTTTGCCCAGCTTTTCTACCACACCTTCCCTTCAGTCATCCCCGGAGGCGTCTGTTTGATGATGTTGTTCTATGGCCTCTTACATTCCTGGCAAAATATGTTCGCCGAGGCGTTGAGATTCGCCGATCGGCAGTTTTACGAGGTAAACTTTTTCTTGAAAAAGTTTGCGGTATTTATTGGACCATTGATTACAGTAGTTAGTTTAATATCATGATGTTTATAGAACTGGTGGAACTCAAGAAATATGGCCGAATATTATCGAGATTGGAATCTCACCGTGCATGACTGGCTCTACGCCTATGTTTACAGAGATCTGTCAATTGTGAGTTGATTTATGAAGTGTAGAAAAACAAGGGAAACCTATCAGAAATTAAGAAATCGAACGGTTTTCCCTATGAAATGTTCCGCAAAAAATTATTATACTTAAGATATTACAGCGAAAAACTATTATAATTGATGACTTTTTTATAAGTTCATATATCTACACGCGCAGTGTATTTGTCCTGTCCAGGACTTCCACAGTCCAAAAAGAAAAGGAAAATATGATGCGGTGCCTAGCGGTTTGACCCCAGCCTTGAAGAAAAATAATGAATTTTAATTTAGCGGCTTTTTCGAGCTAGCTTTGAAGGCCAAAAATTCCTTTTAGGGTGTCTCAAAAAATCGTTTGACATGAACTTATATTTGTGATTATATCTTGCCAGAGACTGAAGTCACCCATAATAAAATAATTTGATATGTCGTCAGTTAAATTTTATGACGTCTCTATTCCCTTTTCAGATCACCGGCAACACCAAAACCGGCCGAAAAGTGGCCCAGATGACAGTCTTCTTCCTGTCGGCCGCCTTCCACGAATATTGGTTTGGCGTCTCCCTCCGCTTGTTCTACCCGATCATGTTCAACCTCTACTTTGTTTGTGGCGGCATTTTCTTTTTGATCTCGCGATTTATTTCCTCAGCCAGTGTGTGGAATCTGATGATGTGGTTCAATCTGCTGATTGGGACCGGGATGTTTGTCTCATGTTATGCCTCGGAATGGTATGCTCGACAAAGATGCGACCCATACTTTACGAACGCGTTCTTGGACACGGTTGTGCCCAGAGTTTGGACATGCGGATTGTAAAGATAATGTGAAATTCAGAGAATAGAGCTGTTTACAAAATAAATGATGATAATCGAGCTTGTTTCTCATATGGCTGTTTATTAATCGAAAATAAGGTCCGGTCTAACACACAGAGCAAAACAAAAACCTTCGATTTGAAATTTTATTGACAAAAATTGGAAAGCGCTGCTATTACTAAATTAAATTGCTTGAGAAAGGTTACTATTCAATTCTATAAATGTTTTTATCATTCACAAACCTTTCGAATCTTCATTGCAATGTTTTTGACATTCCTTTGTAATCTCCCGTAAATTTCTGAATATTAGGTTAGCAAAATTTGATAAATTGCACCAAATGTACTTTCGAGGTCTGCGCGTTTTTGGTTTTTGTTCCGAACTACGTCGGAATATAAAATTTCGAGTTGTGGATAGTTAGTTAGTTGATTCTCCCAAGTGGGATTTGCTACTAGTCCTTCCGGAAAGTCGCCGGACGGAAATCGGCGACATGCACTGTGAGAAAAAACTCAGGGTGCGAGCGACAGCTCGAAAAAGCTTATTGCACAGTGCAAAAAGCCAAAAATTGCACAGTGCAAAGTGAACTTTCGATTTCGCAGAGTGCATGTCGCCGATTTCCGTCCGGCGACTTTCCGGAAGGACTAGTATTAGTTCGTCCGGAAAGTCGTTGTGATGACTTCGGCGACATGCACTGTCATGCATTGTGTGAAAACAAAAGAGCTCTTTCAACAGTGCAATTTTTTGCTTTTTGTACCGTGAAAATGGCTTTTTTGGCTTTCGCTCACGTTTTGACTTTTTTGCACCGTGCAAACGCCAAAATTTATTCCAGCGACTTGCCGATCGACCTGGTAGACAATTAAGTCAAAATTCAAGTTCATTGCCCCGATGTAACTTACTGGCATAGATCGTATACGTAGATCGTACGTTTAACTCGTAGCGTACGCTGTTTGTCCACGTAGGAGCGTCGGTGCATTTTCGGAACGGTATTTTGGCCTACGCACAAAAGTAAAGGCCGAGCTGCGCCCTTAGATTGTTAAAAAATTATTTTTGTATGTGGCTGGAGGACACAATGAATCAATGTGGCAACCCCTTTTCGACCTATTTTGTCGCATTATGCGTGTTTTGCAGATTGTATGCGCTAAGGCCAGGGATTTGATTCGTCTCTTTTCTTAGTGAGATTTCCTTTGATAAACTGATCTCTTGACGGTTTAATGTTGACGTAGACGAGCTTTTTGCATTGCAAATCTGTTGTATACCGTTGTTTATTAGTTTTCTGGCGTTGGCATTCGCATATGTGTAAAAGCACGAGTTTTGTCTCCAAATCTTCTTTGCAGATTTTAGGTGTCTTTACAAAAGCCAAATTGGTGAGTCTAAATGTGATCGAAGGGGATCTCGAGTCCCGTGTTCTTGCCGCCTTCCGGGAATTTGACGTTTTCTTTGTTTACGGATGCATTTCTTTTATAGTGTGGACGCATTTCCGACGGACACAGTTTTGATTCACTTATTTTTCAGTAATTAACTTTGTTGCCAATGTTTAGACACTATTGTTCGAATAGCTAGAATAGTTTCAAACATGCACGTTGTGATGTCTGTTCCGCGTTTTTGGGTTCATTTTTAAACTTTTCACGGCCAATACTTCCTTCTTTGATGCCTAACAGCAAGAGGTTCTGAATTCCGTCGCTTATATCTTTCGTTTCAAAGAGATGACAGGATACCCGATCTCTGCGATATTTCGGTACAGCTGCGTTTATGATTTCGCTATTATCGATGACATTGGATCTTTTATATGATGCATTATATGGTATCATGTGTCACTGATTCAGCCATTCCTCAAATCCGTGGGAAGGTTTCATCTTTGTGTCCCATGTACGTACATTGTTTTTCACGTCGACACGTAAGAAGGCGCACATTGCTCGCGGTCTTTCTACAAATCTCTGTTTCTCCAATCCTCGGCATCTCGCCTTCGAAAAGGGGAGTTTCACTGTGTTCTTTTGTCCATTTCTTCCCGTCTCTGTCCACATTCTTCGAGTCTCTGCGAAGTGGCTGGTCCCTCATGATGGGGCGGCATGCCCAGAGAGTGAAAGAAGAGCGCTCTCTGAGTGAACGGAATAAGTCGGACGGCGGGGTCGGGCTTTTTCAGCGAGCCACAAGGGGGAGGGGGACGATTTCCTCGGACGATTTTTTCCCTCCATTTCGTTCTTTTTTCCGTAAATTTATGGTCCCGCTAATTTTGGACCATGGTCGGCGACGACGTGGTGAGATCAAGTCTATGACCTGACGTGGTAGTGCGGAGCAATCCCTCAGTTTTGGTCACCTTCTGTTCAAGGAGTTCTAAAGCTCTCATAAAGGGCGGACGTTTATGCTTACTTTTTCCCGAACAAACAACGGCACATACATGGAGGGCGCTCATTCATTAGACTCTCCATGGTATTCTTTAACCAAAGTTGGTGTTGTTACCGGCTAGAGTGGTTAAAGTTCCAAGGTCGGTAGATTATGGGTGGATTTTCTTATGTCATCATTTCCCAAAAGATGGGTTCATGGCGTTGTGAGAGTAGTTTCCATTTGAACGGCGGTGACAGATCAAGAAGGATCTGAACTAGGCATTTCAAAATTATAAATCGCTTGGAGGAATTTCTATTATTTCGTTAACCGCGAATGATTCATGCTGTAGAAATCAGAGGTTTGGCTTGCTATAGTTTATAGCAGCCGTTATTTTTTTGGCGGTATTCAAAGAATTTTTGTGGGGTCCAAAATCCATGAGTTGAACCGTGAGTTCTAGGTAGAATGAATCCGTTATTTGCTAAGCCTGTATTTTGTTCATGGGAACGGGAAGCCTGTCGTCCCAGAATTTCGATTATTCTTGCCGTTTGTCTTACCCACGTTCTTGCGTTTTACTTTGCTGATCGTTAGGTAATCGCTAGCCTAGCCCAGTCAACCTCCAAATGACACATTAGCCTCGCCAGAGAGACGCTGGTGTGCCTTACCAAAAATCTCCAAGTATCTGTTATCTGCTGTATCTCCGCCGATGCGTTTGCATTTTCAATGGTTGGTTAACTGACGGTTTAGCTAGCCAAAAGTCAAACCTATAGATTTCTTGATTGCCCAGTCGTAGTCGGCTCAAGTTACGTCCACTCAGATTTTTACAAACATTGCGACAATTGTATTAACGTGTTTCCGCTTCATTATGGGCTGAAAAGATATAAACCACCAACTTTTAGTCAGGATGGAAGACGAGCATAATGAACATCCGATTTTTACCGTGGAAAAATTGGTCGGGGTAAAAATGCAAAAAGGTGTGCGGTATTATAATGTAAAATGGAGTGGATTTGGCACAGAAGAGAACACTTGGGAGCCCGAAAACAGTTTCATTGTAAGTCTGTCGGAAATCTCTGCCGATTTCTGTAAAATACAAATTTTTCGTATCAAATGTCGCCTTGCCAAAAAATGGAGGAATTTTGGTAGTTTTGGTTTAGAATGATGTAAATAAGATCAAACAAGGTTGATGTTCTGCCTTTTTATTTGGCTATTCTATCCTAGTTTGTTTGTTTTCAGTTTTTTATATTATCCATGACTGATCATTTTTTTTTCAGGATAGAACTCCAATTGAAACCTTCGAACGACAACGAGCCTTGGCTGCTCTTAGGAAACAACGGGCTAACAAGAAGAAGTTCGGTGCAAAGTTTGCCACAGCTTCTACTGATACTTCTGGGTCGAGCTCTTCCGGGGAGAAGAAGATGAAGTCAACGCCAGAAACCAGCGGTTTGAAGTTGAGGTCGGCCAGTTCCAAGCGGAAGCAGGAGAGTTCTACAAGCTCGAAGATGTCAGAAGAACCTTATCCAGAGGGTTTTGAAGAGGCTACTCCTGTTGTCACGAGTTCGGGAAGGTTGACTAAGGTGAGGTTAATTGTATTTTGATGGAATAGAGGAAATATTGGCTGACTTTGATGTGATCTGGGCCGAATACGGTGTAACATGGATTGCGCCTGTTTTGGAGTTGGTTTTCTGTTATTTTACTTGAAATCAGCTGTTTTCGAAATGAAATTTCCGGTGTTACCCAAAATTTCTGCGAAAATTCACTTTTGAACAGAAAATTTTGGTGATTGCTAAACTTTTCTGTTATAGGATCGCGTTATGGCTTGTCATCTTCATTTTCATTCACATTTTTTCTCGAAATTTATTGTTGGTTCAAAGATTTCATCTTGTTTCAGTATTTTTAATGTTATCCATGACGATTTTGCCTCGAAAACTCTAGTTTTTTATTTCCTATATGTTGCAGATTTATTCATAGTTATGATTTTTTACAGCCGACTCTCAAGTTGCGAGAACAAACTCCGATTGACACAAAACAACGTAAAGGAATGGCGCCAAGAAAGACGACCCCATCGCTTGATGTTTCCGTAGAGTCTCGGCCAGGAAGTCGTTTGACTCGCCATCAGGTCAAGGAAGCTTTGAAACCGATGTTGGAGAAGGAAAGAGAGGAAAGAATGGTAAGTTTTCCATTTTGTGCTAGACTTTTGTCATGTATAATATAAAATGAGATCTCTCTGATGGAGACTTTTGGAGACTCGATTTAGAAGAAAATTGATGTTTTATACAGTTTGGAGACTATCAGCGATCGTATTAGATCTGTTTCGAACACCATTTTTTAAAATTTGTGATGTGATTTCATCATGGATCAACCGATTACTCCATTTTTTTTCAGAAGTATCTTGCCGCGAAAACTATCGAAATTGAAGAGCATTACCACCAAACCTATCCCAAGAAGTGTTATTTGGGATCAAAGAATACCCCAGAAGTTGTGGCCAAGTTCAGTTTCCCAGATCTCATTACCCATGAAGAGATGTGTGCCAGAGATGTTGAAAGAGAGAATAGACGGGTAGCCTATGAAGCCGAGAAAAAGCGGAGGGAAGAGATCAGAAGAAAGCAGGTGGAGATCAGTGAACAACTTATTTTACATCAAGAAAAAAAGATGGCTGAGCAAGTTGAGGACATTGTAAGTGGAATTCTGGGTGTAAAGCCGGATTTATCTTGCGTTTTAGGCTGTATTTGAAAATAGGAAAGGCTTTTGAACATCTGAGATTTTATTTTTTATATTTTTTACCTAAAATGCTCATTTTTTCACTAAAATGATATTATCCTTGTTGTTTTCAGCTGAATCGCGTCGATCTCTCCTTCACCAAATCTCCAGAGCAATTCCTCATGTGCCAGCCGGGTTATCAATGCCTCGAGGTCATGCTTGTACTCAAACGGGAACTTGGAGTGGCAGTTATCGTCCAGTTGAAGCACAGGTCCAATTTGGTCATCGAGTGTGTTACAATCGAAGTTGCCATGGAGAAATGCCCCGTACAGCTGAAGGATTATATGAATGGAATGGTTTTGGATGGGAACCGGAACTTGAGGATTCGCCGTGATGAATCCGAAGGGTTCTTTGACCAAAAACGAGCTGAAGATGCTGCCAAAGTTGTTGATGAAAAGACTGAAGAGAAGGCGGAACTAAGCACGAATGAAGCGTTGGAATGTTTGGAGTCCTCGATGGCTCAGACTGTCGATGAATCAGCTGATATTACTCTGGATCCATCAATGGATTTTACGATGAATTCGTCGATAAATCCCACAATAAATTCCACAATTCCGGAATCGATGAACTGCACTGGAATTGCAGATGAATCCATGGAAATTAGCCAACAAACTGAGTACACGATCGCTTCCACAGAAGAAGATCTGGTCGACAATTTCGCAACTGACATCATCAGAGAAGAGAAGCTGATTGAGGCCCCCAAAATCATTGCCGAACCTGAGCGATTCATTTCCGAACCTTCCAAATCATTTGATCTCACCTCAACGACTCAGCCTGCCGATGAAACGATTGATGAAACATTTGAATCGGAAAACTTGGAAAACACTCAAGATTCATCGATGAACGCCAGGTACATCGATGAGAATTTGATCACTGAGGCCGAATTATTGGGATACAAGACGGATATATCGGAAAGATCAATGGATTTTGTCGCCATGGAACAATAAAATACAATTTGTTTTTATTACTCATATATTTGTTGGTACCCAAAAATAAATTAGATAATATTGAGTTCAGAGTGGATTTTGGTTGAGTTATTTTGGTGATGCCTCCATTTTTCACGGAAAAAACTGGTTCAAATATCTTCTTAATTAACTCTCTTCCCATTCGTTTTGGTACTTCAATTGATTGCCAATAACGGAAGCGTTAGGTACTGAACGTTCCCAACAGACCATGAGCGGACAGTTTTTTAGACATGAACTCGAATTTACATCGTTTATAAAACTTGGATTTTGACTTTGTTTTTGGAGTGGAAAAATGAAGTAACTGTAAAATTTGAAGAGTTTATCAATGCAACAGAATACTAGAACTAATACTATTTAACGTCGAAACCGAGTACCATCATTATTTCGCGTATTATTTACCGTTCCGGAAGTGTCGCTATTCCGGAAATGTCGTGCTGCCAAAGTATTGCCTTCTTAAATAGAAATTGGGCGAAGGCTTTTCGTGCAATAAGTTCTGCAAAGAAAGAATTTGTCTTGCAGAAATCTGGCCTAAATTTATGTCTCAAATCTTATTGTCACACCTCTGGTCCTACATTTGAAGACATATTTCCTCTATATTCGTATCGAAGGACCATTGGCCTCCAGTATTCCCCGAACTTATTCAATTTGCGGCGCACATTGCTCGTTTACGTACATATTATAGGTCCGGGTGCGACATTATAAAGTGTTTCTTCCATATATCCTCGAATGCCGTCGGTATCTTGTCCCAAATGCGGCCATAAGAAGGCTGCTTACACTGAGATCACATACTGCTCCTCTTGTGGATATCGAATCAAGATGACGTGCCAGAGTTGCGACAAAAACTTGAGGTAGTTTTCAATGCCTGTACAGTGGCGGATAATTGATCCAGTCGCATAAAATTGTATCATTTTGCGTCCGGGAAGTATCAAAATGCAGCAAAATACCTCCAAGTGAAAAACTCAATTTGAGGAAAAGGGCTCGCCCTTCAAAAAGGAGGTTTTTAGTTGAAGGGGGAGGCATTTTGCCACACTTTTTGATACTTCCCGGATTCAAAATGGTACGTTCTTTGCGACTGGGTCAGGTCCGTCACTGTAAGGTTGTATCAGTATGTTTTGATGTTTTCATGATCGGAAACTTCTTCTTGTACGGCAATGACCTACTGAAAGCTAATAAAAGTTTAATTCTCTTCTCCTCTTCAGCCGAGAAGATCGTTATTGTTGGAATTGTGGTGTAGAGAGTCACGTTTACATCAAAGTGTGCGACAATAAATCTTGACAAACGACAAAAGGGTCGCCTGTTCCACAACGTTCTCTGACATTCAAAAGTAAACATATTCAAGTACATTGAACTGATTTAAGATTTGTTTTTTATAATGTGTGGGTTCTATTGTACACTTGATTATATTAATTTCGTATACGAAGTGGGATTGATTTTAGTGAGTTTACATCGGATTTCATTGTTACAGACTGGTTTTGATTTATGCGATTTGTCATGCAGTGGTTCTACTGGACCTACTGAATAGTTCTAGCAGCTAGGTCAAAGATTTGAAGCAGCAAAAAATCCTGTAAATAAATTTTTTGCTGTTAGGATGACTTGGTTTCTATTCCAGTTTTTTGCGACATACGGCTAGTCTTTTGGTACCGCGATAAACTCGGTGTGTCCGGAAGGAAAATTAGTCATGTCCTGATTTCTGTTACGTAAAATTCTCAAGCATACCCCAGAGAATTTTTCTTTTTCATGCCATTAGAATGTGATAGCGCCTGCCTCGCAGTTATTATTTGCATACGAGTCAGTTCGTAAAGTCGCTGGAGTAATTTTTGGCGTTTGCACTTTGCTGAAAAAGTCAGGAACAACAGCCCAAAAAAAGTCTAGCCGCGGCAAAAAGTCATGCGAATTTTCTGCGGTCCGCACCGTGCACTTTGTGCGACAAAAAAAGAAATGCTTTTTGAAAGGAACATTTTGCACCGTGCATCCGCCCAAAAAGTGAGCGACATCACTTGCACAGTGCAATTTTGTTCTTTTTGCACTCTGTCGCGCGCGCCTCCCATTTCTCGCAAGCGACAAACCATTTCTTCGACGGAATTTGAGGGCCGAAGTGCGGTGCGGAGTCGCAGAAAATTCCCAGGACTTTTTGCCGCGACAGCATTGCACAGTGCAAAAAGCAAGACCTTGCACTGTGCAAAATAAACTTCTGTTTTCGCACAGTGCATGCCGCCGAAATCAGTCCACTTTGCGGACGGAACAGTGCAGATTCCGCAAATATTTGTGCCATTTGACTCACCCACCCCTCTTCCTCCGATTTCCCGACGATTCAAGTTCATTCATGTGACATTATAAAGCGACCGTATCCCGTTGCGTAACATTCGATCTTTGAATGAATGACGGCAGGAGGAAGCGCCGAGTTCAGAGATAAACGACAAGTGTAAATAGCTGGGGAATTCCCCCCAAACGATAAGATTACAGCCCAAAAACAGACAGTTTATCGGGCAATGTACCGACTATACTGATATGGAGCGGTCTGTCGGGATGCTCGGACCGTTAATTGGTTCTGTTTTAGTGTCGTTGTTATTATTTTTGGGTGCGATTTTAATCGTAATGTCGATAAAATTTACGGCAAGTGAATTGTTTTTTTCGGATTTTTATAGTTTTACTATGTTGTACTAGAAATTGTAATGGCCGGTTGATATTTCATTATATAAATGAAGAGGTGTATAGCCAAGTTCAGTAATGTTTTGACCCTTAAAAAAGTAACGTAACCTCAAAATTTCCCGTCAAATGTCACCTCAAATCTGCACCCCCAACAAACTTGTGTCTTCGGAATTCTCGACGTGTGAAACGAAATCAAATCGATTATAATACGAGTAATCGTTTTGTAATACAGTTAGGGTTGCTTTTGAGTTCACTTTCGTGTCATCGAAGGTTTGTTTGAAGAAATTTCAAGATGCTTTTGGCTCGATGGCCTTTTAGACACAATATTGTGCATTCACAGCTAATGATTGGGGTTATCAGTTTTTTGGAAAGAGCTATCGCGAAATTTTTAAAGATATTAGATTGTGTTTTGCAGATATATCTTGTTTCGAGACGATCGAAAGAAAAGGAAATTCCGAAATTTCGTACTGAACAACCTCTGACAAAACATTTCCGTACAACAAAACTTGCCTATAACGAGCAATTTCAGAGGTTCATTAGTGTAAAGCGAATCTATTTTAATCTAAGCTCTCCAGAGCTTGATAGTCACCTAAAAATGTCCGCCCAAGTTAGTGTAATTTCTTCCCAATGCCTTTAAAATTTTCCAAAAAACTGTAACACTTTTTCTCAAGTCACAAAATGTTCGACAACAATTCACGTGCCAAACGTAACTTTACAGCTCACTTCTACCCCTTCCATCCATACGTTTTTATGTTGCGTTATGAAGCGTCATCTTCTCGAAAAAACCCTGAATTTTCTTTTTTTTTCTCAATTTACTGGATGGTGAGAAAACGTTTATTTCCGTTGCTCTTGTGTTGCTAACAATTCCATTAACGAAATGAGTCGTCTTGACTTTGTTTTATTGGTATCAAACAAAGTTTTGTCATCGGAGTTTTACGAGCATTTACACTGCTGCTGAACGAACCCTCGACCCCCGCAGTTTTTGGTCTTCTGCCGGCGAATCCATGGACGCCGTCGATGGGGACCGTGGGAAAATTGTGTTGCGTGATTTTTGAGTGAAATGACGAGTAGAGAGCAAGATCTTGTTACGGTTGGGGAGAGAGCGGGTGGATAGTGCGGGTTGGGTCAAGTATAAGGTCAACTGACCTTGTTAGCGAATATTTTGATAATTTAAGGACTAATAGCTTTTGTGGTAAGTTTGATGAACCTTTTTTGTGGCTAGAAATTAATAAAACAAAAGGACAAAGTGCAATTACCGTATCTCTACAATACTTGGCAGAAATATGTACAGTGGAGAAAGAAAATTTTCTGCAAAAAATGTGTTTCATTCGAAGTTCGCTCAATATAAAAGTTAAAAGTATTTTTCCGGTGACGGACCTTTCATATTGCACGTACGTTCTCACTTGCAAAGCTTGGTGGATACGTCGGCTTTGCCTGGAAGACGTAAGCAAAGGTTTTCAACAATTGCTGAGGCTGAATATGACCTTTTCAAGTCCTAGCTAAACATGGTTTTTTGCGGTCCTGCCCGGTGAAGTCAACCGGTCCGGGTAGGTCCAGTGTAAGCTGAATTTTAGCTGATAAAATGCCAACCGGTTTCGGGCAACAGGTACGCAACTCAGCCGGCTTTGCTTCGGCTAGGCGCAAAGGCCATGTTTATCGCTGGAAATTTTTTAGCACGACTTTTTCCAAAACTGTTAAATTTACGTGTTAAAAAATTAAAAAGCCCTTTGTGGCCTTGAAACTGTACCACTATTTCCTCTTTCTAAAGTTCAACTCTAATATATCATCGATGAATTCAAGTATGTTCTTATTCTGGCTTCAGAGCGCTTTCAATCGCTGCTGGACTATAATTTGTAGTTTAATCAAAACCACAGCTAAATTTGTACAGACTACATCCACTTCTTCGTCGATAAGAAACTGATTATTAGTTTAATTTTCTTGCGCAACCTTTAATATTTCAAGACGTTTTTCAGAGCAAATGTTTTTGTTGATTTCTGGGCATTTTCTCAAGAAACCATCGTTCAAAAAGTGTCTTATAAAGTTAACTAGTGTAAGCAAATTAAATGGTATACCAAATTTTTCTGTATCATTGATTTTTCTGACGTCATTGATTGTAACAGAGAATCGAATCGATTGTTACAAAAAGCGGAGTGAGTGATCTAAGGAACAGGGCAAAATCGTCTAAGTAATCGGAAAATTAAACTTTTTATTGGCGGGGGAATATTTTACTCGGCTATTGAGAGTGTAATTTTCACTTTTTTGGTCGATTTTTTGATGATTTTTAAAAATATTTTTTTTTGATCTTTATTTTATATTTTTCGGCAGCATGTTTTGTAAAATACGACGTTTTAAATTCTCTGTTTTTTTCAAAAAATATCATTTTTCACATTTAATTGAAAATCTTGAAACCCCTAAATTTTGTTAATATACCGTGTAATAGTCGTTGTTACTTGGTCGTTTCTGAATTTGAATACATTTAAGACATCACTTTCGCTTTTTTCCTTCCAGTGATTTCCGCATTCTTTTCGAACAACGGGTGTTCGTATTGAATGGACAATAACTCCGAAGATGAAAACCGATCCACGGATTCGAATCCGGGTGAGTTGAAGAATGGGAGAGGGATTTGAGTGGTCATTTGAATACGCAGATATCATTTTGAACACCTTTGGGGGGATAAAGTTGTAAATTCATGATGATTAATGTCATTAAATCCATGTTTTGGTCTGAAATGAGGGCTCAAACAGATTGCTTTTTAATTTTTTTGTTGTCTGTTACCGTTTTAGGCAATTTTCAAGCATCTTACAACCAAATAAATGGTTAGAACAGAATGCCAAAAATGGCGGGAAAAACTGAAATTCGAATTTTTAGATCGGTTGGGCATAGAAATTCCATTAGAAAAGTTTTTTGAGAATTTTTCTCCCCAACGACCCTTGAAACAGAATGTCAAAATTTCCAAAAAAGGAATTTTTTCGAATTTTTGAAACCTTCTGATACCCGAATATTGAGAGAATAATACAGCGACATACCTTCTAATTCCAAAAATCCTTTCAGACATAAGCGCCGCCTCCAACGATGACATGTCCACCACATTGAGATCCAAAGCCCTGAGTCACTTCAAAGTGGAATCCGTGGACGAATCCAGCCTCAGTCAAACCAGTCTGCAGAGTATGGACGGGATTGAGGAATTGGACGAAGACCACGATGTTGTGGAGGGGAATGATGTAAATAGTAATTACAATACGAAAACAAGTGGAATTCGAGTAAGTCCACTATTTATTAATTTAAATCGTAATTCTAGCCCAAGTTTTCGTTGACTGTGGAAGATGAGAATGGGGATACTGTAACCACATTGAACAGGTGAGTTTTTTGCAAGATTTCCAAAAAATTTTATTATCGCAGCACATTTTGACATCTTTTGAACTCTTTTTCTTCGATTTTCTATTACGCAAAAAAATGTCATCATGACGGATTTTTTGAAATTTTCAATTTTTTGCTCAAAAATCATTTTTTTTGCAAAAAGCATAGTTTGAAACCCATTTTTTCAGCGTTGGCAATGCGAATACCCTGGACCGCCCTCCCAATATTGACCATTACCGTATGACTGTCCAGCAAATGAAGAATCGCCCCAGTATGCTCCAACTAATGCACACGAAACCGTCCTCATTCGATCGACGCCTCAACGAAGAGGGCACGTCCAACAAAGGCAACTCGATCAACTCGGACCATCCCGATCTGGAGACATTCCAGCCCTCGGAACGGTCGAAAAAGGATCAAAAAGTGAAGTTGGGCGCCTTCGAAGGGGTTTATATCCCATCCTTCACGAATATCGTCGGAACGTTGCTGTACATTCGTATGGGATGGGTGACGGGGAATGCTGGGATCCTCGGCGGGCTGGGAATTGTGACGTTCTCGACGTTTGTGATATCTATCACTGCCCTTTCGTTGGCCGGCATCTGTTCGAATGGCCAACAGAGAAAAGGCGGGGTTTACTACGTCGTATCCAGGTAAATTTTTAAAATTTTTATAGCTGTCGACTTTGCTTTTACATGTCCTTTCTCGTTATAACAAAAAAATCACCAAAGGCGGAGTATTAGCGATGAGGAGAAGACTTGACTCAAAATGGGTCAAGTCTTCTTCTCGATCAGAAATCGTCTTTTCCACCGAAGAAAAGTTTGTAATAGATAAAAGGCGTCATAAATTAATTTTTCCTGCTAATGTCTTAAATCTGCAAGTATGAAAATGCGTCATAACGACATATTTTTGTTGAAGCTTTGATTAAAAATTCTCAATTCTCCCCAAAAATCCCAGAAAACTGTTATAACGAGAAGGGACGGTTGCCTAACTCTTATCTCCAGGCTGTTTTGATTTCATTCAGAGCTTTAGGACCTCAGTTTGGCGGCGTCATTGGGGTCATCTTCTCTTTGGCCAATGTGGGAATGGCGGCGCTTTATATTGTGGGAAACTCCGAGTTCATTGTGGATTTAATGATCGATAATCAGTATGAGCTGGTCACCGGAGACAAGTACAACGACATTCGACTGTTTTCGGTTGGTAAGTAAGGAGGTCTTGTCCGAAATTTGAGGGGAATTTACGACAATGACAAAAGAAGTGGCTAAAATATTAGGTTGGGACGAAAGTTTTCCCCTTTTTCTTGTTTTTTTCCAAACAAATTTATTTTGACAGTTGTAACGGGAAACCAAACATAACATCCACCGTCGGTATCCACTACGTATTGCCAACGTTCCGTCAAGGATTCAATTGGCGAGCTTAAAAACTGGGGTATTTATAATAAAAAATGTCAGAAAGACCTGTTTTGAGGTCCCCGAAACAATCGAACCGCACATCTCTCAAACGGTAGCTTAGCGATCTGATCAAATGGTAATCAGAAGGTGCCAAGGCTGGGGTGTAGTGTGGGTAGGGCAGCAAAGGTCATGCATTCTCCCTGAATTTTTTGCGAGCGATTTTTGCAATGAGGTACCAGGCGTTGTCGTGAAGGAGGAAGATTTGTTCCATTTTTCTCTAGCATTTTGGGCGAAGCGGTCCAACTGGCGATAATTCTGTTATTTAGTGACAGTTTTACCATCAGGGAGCCATTCCTAATAAATACCTCCCATACCAGTCCACCAATCGGACAACATAATCTTTTTTGGGTGAATTTAGGTTTTGGGGTTAGTTCGCCGTGATGGTCGGGTTCAAGCTACTGAAGCTTGCGGGTATGGTTTACATACATCACCCACTTCTGGTTCCCTGTAATGATATTGGTCAGCCAAGTCAGCCTGCGGCGGTACGACAAAAATTAGGAGCAACAGTATAAGCCGTGACTCCGAAAGTTCTTGCGGAACAAATTAACCACACTTCCACACTTTTCCCAACCGATGTAGATGGTCCATAATGGTAGTATGGGAGAACCCAAAGAGCTCTCCAAGTTCACGTAATGGCAATTTGGGATAGCTCACGATTAAGCCTTTTAGGGCGTCATCATCTATCTCAGATGGCCGCCAGAACTTGGTCGCCTAACTCCTTTTTTTGAACCTCTGGAACCAATACTTGGCCACGCCATAAAAGAGGACGTCCTTGCCTATAACATCCTAGACTTCGGTTATATCTTCCATGGGTTTTGGTATTCTGCAATAGTTTTAAAATTTGACGCATCGAAACAGCAACTTTGGGACGGAAATTTTTCCGCGTTTGGAGAGCGCTATGGGGACAAGTTACATATCAGTCTATATGCTATCAAGTCACCCTTACATAGTCACATGATAGAACTTTCCAGGAAGTTCCACAACTTCCATAACTTTTCCCGAAAATTAAGGGGAAAACTTTCGTCCCAACCTAATAATATGAATAGCTATAGCTTGTCGAAAGGGCAAAGATTGAACCTAAAAACCGTCTCATTATTTTCAGTACTCTGCATAGTTCTTATGCTGATCGCTTTTGCCGGCCCAAAGGTAGAAAATGGCTTCACTTTGATCTTCTTTTCCACCTACTACATCAGCTATTTCAACTGGCTGATTGGGACGTTCATTCCGCCGGATGAGGAGCAAATGAAGAAAGGAGTTACCGGCTACAGTTGGCGCACCGTCGAGATGAACCTGTTGCCCGAGGATGGGACCACATGGAATACGATTATCTCGACTTTTACCGTGTTCTTCCCCGGTTTCACGGGAATGCTGGCTGCTTGTATGTATGTGGATGAGCTCCGAAATCCGGGAAGGGATGTGCCCCGGGGGCTTTTTTCTTGCATTGTCAGCACTTTTGTGATGTATGTGGCGGCGGTGATTGCGTGCGGAGCCAGTGTTTTGCGGCATGCGACGGGGACGGACTTGCCGGTTGTGGATAATGCAACGGGCTTGTGGTTTGTGCCGAATTGTACGCTGCTAAATTGTGATGCCGGATTGAATCATGACCATCAAGTAAGTTGGGTTGACTCTAATGCATTTGGGTTACGTTCCTTGGGAATTTTGAAATATTTCCAAAAAATGTGTCATGATGACACTTTTTGAATTTACAGTAGCGAAAAAATTGAAAGTGTAAATTAAACGTATATCATATGTGCGTATTGCCAAAAATGCTTTGTATGGCGTCATCATCTTATCTATTTAGTTATGACCTGAGGATGACGGATTTTCTGGACATTTTAAAAAACGATGATTTTTGGCAACTCTAGGCGACATTTTATAGAATTTTTATTGTTCTGGTGTAAAATGGGCTTTATTATGTCTTAAAAACTATTTTTCTAATTTTTCTAACCACTTTCAGGTAGCCAAATTGACGTCCGCTTGGCCCCCACTAATTGTGATCGGGATGTTCGGAATGACCATCTCCTCCACCATGACCAACCTCGACCAAGGCCCCATAACCTTTCACGCCGCTTGCAAGGACCGTATCTTCCCCTACACCAAATATTTTGCCGCCGATGTGAAGCGTCCGTACGTTATGTTGGCCACAATGACAGCTCTTCTCACGTTGATCGGAGACCTCGACCTGATCGACGAGATTGTGACCGCCATGTTCATGGCCATCTATGTGGTGGTGAACTATGCGTGTTTTGACGCGTCGTTTGCCCGAACTCCCGGCTGGCGACCAATGTTTCCCTACTACAACATGTGGGTGTCGTTGTTTGGTGCGCTGTTGTGTATCGGGGTCATGTTCGTGGTGTCGTTGCCGTCGTCGATAGTGATTTTTGTGCTGTTTGGGTGTTGTTTGGCGTACTTTCATTATTTCCATCCGGGTGAGTGTCCTGTTTTCAGGTTTTGGCAAGATTTTGAAGAATTCTAAAAAATGTGTCATCATGACGTTGGAAAAATCGCTGAAAACGGTCTTTGACATTTAGAAAATTTACAAATTATTTGATTCCGAGTCAAGTCAACAAAAAGTATTCTGAAAAATTTAAAAAAATCTGTCATAATGAGTGTCATGATGACATAATTTCTCGATTTTTTTGAGTTTGATTATGACAATTTTTCAATACATCCAGTGGGTTCGATAAGTGCAGTACTTGGCATAAAATTTCAAAATTTTATAAAATAAACTATGTCACGATGACGGATTTTTTGGAAATTCCGAAAAATCGTCATTTCTTTGCTAAATTTCATGCTGTAAAACGTCCAGGAGCCCAGGATTCCTGTCTTTTTATGTGACTAAGGATGATAAAAAAAATTTTAAATATAAAATTTAATTTATATTAATTTAGAGGTCAACTGGGGAGATACAAATCAAGCCCACATGTATCGAAACGCCTTGACCTCGCTGCAAAAGCTCACTTATACCGAGATCCACGTCAAAAACTATCGACCGCAGATCCTGCTGATGAGCGGCAACCCTGCCAGTCGAGTGGGTCTACTCGACTTTGCACATGGCATCACTAAAGGCGACTCACTTTTGATGTGTGTCCATATTGTCCCAGTAAGTCGAGATCCTTATTTCTGTAATCCTCAAATTTTACAGTACCCGCAGATCGAGAGAGTATTCGAGATTCTTCGATTATTGGTCCGAGAAATCGAATCTTGGCTGAAAGAGTCGCGGCTCAAAGCGTTTTATGTGAATTTGGCGAACTTGAACCTCCGAACCGGCATGCAGAACGTCTTCCAATTGGCTGGATTGGGAAAATTGAAGCCTAATGTGCTGCTGATTGGGTTCAAATCGGATTGGAAGCGGCTGGAGAAGAAGGATGTGAAGCAGGTCAACGATTACGTGGGAATACTACGGTAGGTGGAGAGTGTAATATAATTTTTGAAATTTGAAGTTTGGAAAATCCTACTAAAGAGCTCTGGGATACCTGAAGAATTTTATTTGTTAAAGTTTCGGCGAAGACCGTCTTTTTTTGCGAATTTTGGCCAAAATTTTATGTTTTTTTGGTGGATGACATCAATTGGTATCTTGGAATTCCATATAAAGCTGTCAAAAGACTTACTGACTACCTTTTGGTCCTGTATAGACATCTTTTGAGCTTTTCGTTTCATCGTTTCGCCGATTTCTTTTGGAAATTCCAGAAAATACGTCATCATGACACATTTTCAGACGAACTGTTCGGAGTATTTTGCAGTGAATTATAGTTTAGTAGACAGCAGACTTTCTACAGAAATTTATTTACTCCATCAGTTAGTATTCGTAAAAAGTTATGGCACGTCGATGACGGATTTTCTGGATTTTTTGAAAAAGTTATCTGGAGTTTCAAAAACTGGAAAAAAGTTATGCCATTCATTTTCAGAGATGCGTTTGAAAACAACTATGGAGTTGGGATCCTCCGAAACGGCGAAGAAGGCTTTGACTTGTCCGATGCCCTCCTCGAAAGTGATATTGTAGACCCTCATGAACTCCGAAGAGCGGTCGAAAGTCGAGTCCACATTGACGACGATCTAGTTACCGAACCCAGCGAGCAGGTCTCGGAGTTATTCGAGCCCACTCACGTTGTTCATCGACATATCAACCGGAAACATGGGGTTCATCTTCCCCACATTCCACATCATCATGAAGGCGATGGAAAGGAGGGAGAGAATGTCAAAACAAGTGAGTTGAGGGTTACTAAGGAATTCGATAAATTTTATGGCCAAAAATTGATATTTTATCGACTTTCCTCCTTTCGAAAGGTAAAACAAAAAGTTTTTGAAGCGTAGCAGCGTGGCGCAGTGGAAGCGTGCTGGGCCCATAACCCAGAGGTCGGTGGATCGAAACCACTCGCTGCTAATCTTGTTTTTCTTCGTTTTTTTGTGGCTTTTTGTAATTTTTAGCTTTAAAAACATAATGGATAATAAAATTGGGATCTGAGTGGACCAGAAATTATGTAAATTTACTTTAGACATCAAATTTAAAGCTAAAATTTTGCGATTTTCAGAGTTTTTCTCGGATCGTTGGATGTTTTCGTTAAATCACAAGGTCTATGATGCCAATCCAAACAAAGTGCCCGTCAATTTGTCCCTCGATGATCTACATGTCAGATCGACGAGGCGGGTCAGCGAGGCGTTTGACATCCCCGCCTTTATGCAGCATTATCACGACAATAAAGAGAAACAGAAGGGACTGGCGGACAAGATGAACGCGTTTCATCGGAAAACACCACAGGCTCGGATCGATGTCTGGTGGTTGTATGACGATGGTGGACTGACATTGCTATTACCTCATCTATTAAGACTGCCAAAGAGCTATTTGGAGGTGGGGGTTTTTTTTAGATTTTGGATGATTTTAGTGATGAAAACTGCGAATTTGAGGATTTTTCGACCAAAATTTTTATTTTTTGCAATTTAAAAAGCTTTCTGCTACTGTGTAAGGGCTGGGCTGTTTATCCGATTTGCAATAAAAATTTTAATCAAAAATTCGTTCAGGGTGCCCAACTCCGTGTCATAACATTAAGTGGAAATGCCAACGCAGTCGACGAAAAATCGATGCTAACTTTGATGGCCAAGTTTCGAATCGAGTGTAACTCGGTGAAAGTGCTCGAAATTTCGAATCAAAAACTCCATCCGGATATCACACGGAAGTTCAACACTCTAGTGAATAAATGGAAGCATAAAAATGAAGATGGCCCGGCTCCTTCGGATGGGTGTATCACCGAACAGGAGCTGATTACGCATAAAAGAAAGACCTACAGACAGCTGATTACTCATCAATTACTTGTCAAGGTGAGAAATATTATAAGCTATTCGGATCACAAAATGTTTTCGTGCCGGGACACAATTTTTTTATAAAACTTGAATTTTTGCCCAGATTTCCAAAAATGATGAGTAATATTGATCAAAAATATCATGCTAAAAAAGTATATACGATAATTTCAGTTATTGGGCTTATGAAATTCGAAAATTTGCATAATATCTCAAAAAATTTTGGTCTCGCCACGAAAACATCACAAGCTATTTCCGAGTTAAAAAATCCGTTTTTCAGCACTCATTCGACGCCTCATTGATAGTGGTGACATTGCCAGTGCCTCAAGAAAACATTGGGAGTTGTTTGTACATGTCTTGGTTGGACCTGATGACCTCCGACCTCCCTCCAACATTGTTGGTCCGAGGAAATCAGACCTCCGTCTTGACTTTCTATTCATAGGATGGGAAAACTACGGTATAATAAGATGGTAACTTGGAAACGACGAGGAGATTACTCAAAGCAAATTTTGGCCGTTTTCCTTACTGTTTGCACTTTTCGCTGTAAATTAATATGTAAATATGCATTTGGAACCTAATAAACGAGAATTTTATTAAATCAAACTGTAAAAAATGTTGTTCAAACTCCCAGGCCAATTTTCACACGACAATTACTGGCTAATTTTCGCATATCTTGTGCAATACAGGACTAGAACTTTGTTTCATACATAAAGTCCAGTAAACTATTTTCGATTTTTTTATTACAGCACGGTGAAGATTAAAAGAATGGTGAGATTATGGAGATCGAATTGACATGAATGATAAAAGAAATTAGAAAGATATCCCGTTAGATTTGATCGGATATCAAGTACAATATAATTTTATATACAGACCCGATGACTAGAAGGCGTTTTGTCTAACAATTGACTCGAAATGGTAAGAAAGGCATTTTGAAAAAAAAAATCTCGGAAACACTGAAACCGTTCGAAATACCATTCAAAGAAGCTGAAAAAAGTACAAAATAATAATGACGGAAAGACGGGGGGTTTACAAGTCTACGTAAAATATGCGGTGTTTTTCGAGCTTTCCGGGAAATTTGGGTAATCAAAGTCCATATTTGGATTGGCCAATTTGAACTCACGACATCTTTTGGCCAAGAAATTGGCCATTCGAATTGGTGCGGGGAGGGCGACGGTATATGGAGAGCGACCCAACAGGTGGCAGAGGTTGTTGCAAAGCACCTAAAAATTAAATTCTATGAGTTTTATAGTTATTTTTTTGACGCAAAAATCCGAGAACTTCCAAAAACTAAAATTTTTTTGATTTTTTCAAAAAAATCTTGAAATTCGGTCATGATGACTAAAATATTCAGTCAAAAATCTGTGTCATGCCACGATAAACTACCTTTTACCACCCCAGCCACCAAATTTTTTCCTCCGCACCGTGCAACACCTACTTTAATGTCCAATATATCCGATTCTGGCCACGTGGAATACTTCAGGCTGTATTCAGCCGGTCTGGTCGTTCCTAGGCGGCCTTCATGCGAGGCCATTATGAAATCATTCGCTGTCTCCACGACATCTTTATCAATTACCGTTCCCGGCTTGATATTTTCGTACACTCGGCTGAAGAAGTGTCATAAAACCAAGAAAAAAACTCGCGTAATTTGTAATTGGGGCATTTGTTTACTATAAACTCGGTTCAGAAACTCAGAAAAATGGACTTTCAGCCGTTGAAACAGAATGCCAAATTTGGCGGGAAACCTCCATATTTAAATTTTATCTTCAAAAACGGTAAGATAGGCCCTTTAACAGCTATTCCAGTCAATAACTTACTCTCCGGTGTCAACAGTGAACCTGGAATGTGACCTGGAAACGTCCAGATAGCAGATCTTCGGGTCCCATTTTTGGACTTCGTCTTTGAAACTTGAGTCCTCACGATACTTGTCAATGGCCCTCTCGATCTGCATTCGTTCATAATCCGCAATTTCGTCGATCACGGAGTCGGAAAGGCCGCCGCGGAAGATTAAAATCCGCTGGGGAGCGCCAATCTCGGCGAAAAATCCCTCCAAACACTCGAAAAACATCTCATAAAAGGCGTGGATTTGGTCCTTGTGGTCTCGCTGGTAAGCGTGGACGCCCACATAGCACGACGCCTCGGGATCCACATTATAGGCCATTGTGTGAACGGAGGGAATCTTATCCTTTTTCGGGCTCTTGGAGGAGAAAATTCCCAGGTACATCGTGCGATTTTTTGCGTATTCTCTGAACCTAAAATCGGAATTCGGTCATTTACAATGGATAAGGCACCACCAAATCCCTCAAACCCCTTCTCCTGCCGCATTGTGCAATTTTCAATCCGGACTGCACCGTGCGGTGAAAATCAAAAAACAGCACGCACGTCAATCCAAACACGAAGGACGGAAAGGTCCGCTAAAAAAAAAGGAAAGAGGACGGCGGGGGGAAGGGTGGGGGGAGGTTTTCGATGGCGCTGATTTCGAAAATCATGTCAATTTTTTTCTAAATTTTACAATTTTGCTTAAGCAGTAGTGTCATTTTCGCTGTAAAGACGAAAAAAGCGTCATAAGTTTTCTTACAATATCATACAAGTTTGACCAAGTTTTTACCAATTAAAAGACGATTTCTGAGTCACTGAAGCAAGCCGTAGTTAGGCCAGGACATAGGATTTTTTCGATGTTGAGTTTTTTACATTATTATGACCCATGGCACCTGTAGAGAAAAAGCGAACCACAGTTTTCCTTAATTCTTCCATTAACTGCACTTTTTATACAATTTCTGTTTATACAGTAATTCGTCATAACTTTCTACAATGGTGTCCGTTTGTCATAAAAATAAGGCTACTATAGTTTTTGGGCATGACGAGTTCAATAAAACCAAAAAAAAATTTCATCCGGTTACGGTAACATATAAAAATACTGTATCGGTCGGTAAAAATCGACCATAAAAAGTTTGTTTCAAAAAACCCACAGCCAATTTTTCCATATTCGTAATCAGCGTAAAATTCTGCTCTAGGACCAATTTTAAAAAGTTCAAAAATAGGACCCCATTTTCCGTGGTGTAGTGGGTTTTGACCAAAACTGGTAATCTGACCACCCAGGTTCGAATCCGGGTGGGTGCGAATGTAGAAAAAAGACCTAAAATCACTGTATCATGGATTACTGTAACATAAAACTTATTCTACTTAGCAGATGTTTTCTTCAAAATTCTTGGGTAAATGTTTTTCTTTTTTTGATTAGATCTATTAAAAAGCAAGAAATCTCAACGCTCCATATTTCAAAAAAAGAATTTTACATGATATATTGTGCATCTTGACATCATTATCGATTGGAAACCTGCGCGTTTTAACGGACGTGTTTCAAGTCCTACGGACAGTAATCCATGATACAGCATTCTACCAAAAAAAGTTAACGGGAAAGTTTCTTACAATTAGCCATAGAATAAGTGTTATCAATTTCAACCCGTTTGAAGCAGTTTTATTTTTGATGCATTAATCCTCTAAAATTACATAAAAATCGTTTTAATCCCAAATTCAGAGAGTTTTGATGCCTAAAATTGCTCAGCATTCGCACCCACCCGGATTCGAACCTGGGTGGTCAGATTACCAGTTTTGGTCAAAACCCACTACACCACGGAAAATGGGGTCCTATTTTTGAACTTTTTAAAATTGGTCCTAGAGCAGAATTTTACGCTGATTACGAATATGGAAAAATTGGCTGTGGGTTTTTTGAAACAAACTTTTTATGGTCGATTTTTACCGACCGATACAGTATTTTTATATGTTACCGTAACCGGATGTAATTTTTTTTGGTTTTATTGAACTCGTCATGCCCAAAAACCATAGTAGCCTTATTTTCATGACAAACGGACACCATTGTAGAAAGTTATGACGAATTACTGTATAAACAGAAAATTGTATAAAAAGTACAGTTAACGGAAGAATTGAGGAAAACTGTGGTTCGCTTTTTCCCTACTGGTGCTGTGGATCATATTTATGCAAAAAACTCAACTTCGAAAAAATCCTATGTCACGGCTTGCTTCACTGACTCAGAAAATCGTCTTTTAAAACATTTATTTTAAAGAATTGAGGAAGTTTTAATTGGTAAAAACTTGGTCAAACTTGAATGATATTGTAAGAAAACTTACGACGTTTTTTTCGTCTTTACAGCGATAATGACACTACTGCTTAAGCAAAATTGTAAAATTAAGAAAAACGGATACGATATACGAAATCAGCGCCATCGAAAACCTCCAAAAAGCAAAATATTCTCGAGATTAGCGCACGGCACGTCAAACTGAGGAGTCCGGTGACCGGAATAGACTCTTCGCTATCGGTTTTTTACATTTCGTCTATTTCGCAGAGAAAGGGAGAAAAAAGACACGCAAAAACGTACTCTCTCGCCCCAAAAATTCCCCATTTCTTTACCGACAAAACGTTTTTCCGCGTTTTTTTGGCAAACTGCCAATCCATTCGCCGGACTGTTTTCGCTTATCTCAGTTTGACGTGCACGGTGCAGAAACAAAAGAAAACGTACAGTTGGTTGACGGAGGGTGCGTCGTCGAAATCGGCGTTGATCAGACTCGCCTTCCCGCCCAATCTGCTGTAGATTTTCCGGACAATGTTCAATACAAACGCGTTCATTCCCAGGCATCGCCTCAGGGTTCCCATATTGATGCACTGGTTGGGGATTCCACAGTTGCGATTTGTGTCACATAATGTTTTGATCTGCGAATACAGATCAGCCTTAAATTTTAGTCGACTCTTGTCCCTTTGGAGGCGACTTTCGGGTAGGAAAATCAGTAATAGAGTATATTGGTCATCCCTTTCATAGTTCTTGTAAATGTCAAGAAGACGTTTCGGATCAAAGCTCGCCATCTCTGGCTCCAAACTGATCACAGAGAACTGACCCGGATTCTGAGGGATGAGTTCGTCAAACTGTTTTTTGAGGTCTCCAATGAATGTGCTGAAAAAATTATATTATACTAGCCAGAACCAGGTTTAATATGACTAAAAACCTTTAAGAAAAATATAAAAAAAAATTTTTTGATTTAGTCTCCGGAGTTCACAGCGTTCGGTACAAAAAGATTTCAGTCAAATAAGGGAATGTTTAAAGAACGATAAAATCCAGGGCGCAGCTTGCAGACGATTTTTTATTCAAAAAAGGAATGGAAATTGGGAGCTTTTTTTCAGCCTGGGCTTGATGATTTGCTGTTATTACTGTAATGTTCCTCAAAAAAAAAAAAAAAACAGCTAAGAATCTCGCAATTTTGCCTAAAGTATAGGGCGCAGGCTGCCCAACGTATCATAAACCGCTCCATTGCCCCTATATAGCCTTTTATCTCCAGTTTACCACAAACCCCATTTCCTACATAAAATTCCTACATATAATCCATATCTCACCTTATACTGCCCTTATCTCCATCAAAATTGTTGGCCATGTAGACCGGGACAATTCGGACCTTTTTTGTCGGTGACTCCGCGAACCTGGTGACGTCGGGTCGCGGCAGAACCGTTGCTTCCGTTCGGATCATGTTCCTGTCAAGGCTGACTCCGAACTCTTTCATTGCGCTGGCTTCTGGGACGTCCTTGATTTGGGCAGTCTTCAACATGTCCCTTATGCCCGTGAAGAATTCGTGGGGGTCTTTGCGGACCTGCTTGAGAATCGTGTCCATGTAGCCACTCAGATCTCCCCTGTGCTTTTGGGGCTTCAGGGATATCTGAAATTTAAGTTTATGGCCCAAAAAAATATTGTTTGTCAAGCGGTCTAACAAGGGAAGTCACATATATTATATTTTTTTCAAAATAATAAACAAAGCCCGAAAACGCACCTGAAGACACTCCATTGGTATGAGGATCGGATTCTTCTTGGACTTCAGCATCCGAACGAGTGGGAGCTCCGGGAATTCAAGGGTGATGTTGTAGCGTTTGTATATGTATCCCGCGACAGTTTCCTCGGTTCCCTCAATGGTCCGGAACCGTGTTGTGTTGGGATACTCGTCTACCAGTCTTTCAATCTTATAGTGCCTGGGGGCATAAACGGTCGACACTGGTTTACCTGGAGAAAAATTTATTTTAAAGGTGTTACTTCATCGATTTTGTAGCGCTTCCCGGGTCTTGATACAGAATGCCAAAATTGGCGGAAATTTATTTTCGAAATATATACATTCTATGAGCAAAAAAATGCCGTAGATAATGTAAATGATGCAATTATGAGCTTAGTTCCCCCATACTTACCTCTCATGTCATTATTGAATCGGTCTATCGCCTTTTTGGTAAAAGTCAATCCGCGAATTTTCGCTTTCCTCCGCCGAATTTCCTCCTCTGTGTTCCCCCGGAACTCAATATTATGCATTGCTAAGAAATATTCCAGAATTCCCATATGATACTTCTCCAGAATTCGATGTATCACTAAAAATTTTATATTATACTTGATGGTAATGCAAAATTTAAAAATATTTGCTGAAAAAACAAAAAAAAGTCAGATTTTGACTACTCACAGGACGCGTTGACAACCAGTTGTTTGTCAATGTTCTGTTTGACCTTCAAAAACAAGCCTTGAAAGATGCACAATCGAAGGTTTGGGCCCAATTCTTGGACCACGAAAGTGGCCGACGGCAGATGGACGTATGTATTCCTGGCGCCGTAAAAGCTGTCGGCTGTAAGTTGAGAATCGGTTCTGAAAATGTCGCAAACTTAACCGTCGTTTTCGGGCTATATCAAAAAATTTTGTTGACCAAAATTATCAATAAATTCCTAAAAGCTCAAAAAAAATTTATCAAAAGAGTCGGTAAAAATCGTACTTACATTCTAAGCCCATTCAGAATGATAGCTTGATACGCATCGGCGTACTGCTTCGTCAAATTTCCATATCGATCGGGGAGTAATTTCCCTTTATATTCAAGAGTAACATCGGTCTAACAAGGAAAGTACTTTTATGGGGGCTCCTACTTTTTGACGGGACATATCTCAAAAAATCAGAAAAAATGTGCTGAGCAAGGATATATAAATCCTAGCTGCCCATTTTAGGTTTTTAGGGGTGAAAACTTAATCGGAAGTTGACTTAAAGCCCTATATGAACCCCTTTTCGCTTAATTTTTCACAGGTTTACAATTTTTATTTTGGCTTAAAATGATGTTTATTGAGTTTCTAAGAAGTAATAAATCAATCTTGGCACAAAAATTCATTTTTCCGACCTTCAACTTCAAAAAAAGTTGATTCGGCCCAAAAGGGAAATCGAACCCGTGCGGCGTCCCCCTTGATTCCCAGACTACGGCACTAACCACTCGGCCACACCGCTCTCTTCCGAAGGAAGAGACCGACTGCGCTTTTTATCGTTTAGAATGCCTGCGCCTTTTGTAGGGAAATTAAGCCAGTTTTTGGGCATTTTCACCCCTAAAAACCCAAAATGGGCAGCTAAGATTTATATATCCTTGATCAGCACATTTTTTCTGATTTTTTGAGATATGTCCCGTCAAAAAGTAGGAGCCCCCATAAAAGTACTTTCCTTGTAAAATATAAGAAAATTTTTGGCAGAAAATAAATGGAGAGCATAATCAGACTATAACTCACATCCGGATGCTTATACGGATATACGAAAATGATTTTACGAGGAAAGTACTTCTATGGGGTATGGAGTTACAGGTCGAGTCATATATCAAAAAATTCGCGAAATTTTCCTGATTCAGAATATGCAAAAATTAGCTGCCTAATTTTGGTCTGATGACACGTTTTTGTCCTCACGAAGAAGTTTTCTCGTCAGAAGTTTTCTCGCGACACCATGCACGTGTCTTTTTGACCGTGTTTTTACCAATAAAAAATTTTTTTTGTGCTAAAATAAATTCTGAGGCCTTGACAAGCCTTAAAATATCAAATTGGATTACAACTACACCTTAAAAGTAGTTCCAATGTAAAAAATGCGTTCTAGTGTGGCAAAAAGAATCGAACCCGTTCCCCTCGGATTTCCAATCCAGCGCTCTAACCACTCGGCCACACCGCTCTCTTACGAAGGAAGAGACCGAGCGCGCTTTTGTTGCCGCAGATTTTTTTCCTCGAGAAGTACATTTATTGATAAAACTCGTTGATAGACCAAAATTAGGCAGCTAATTTTTAAATATCCTGACCCATAAAAATTTTGCGAATTTTTTGATATATGACTCGACCTGTAACTCCATACCCCATAGAAGCACTTTCCTTGTTAAAAAAAATAAAAAATCCAATTTACCTTCCCCTTGAACTTTCCAATGGAAAATTCGAAACGATCACATCCAAACGGATCCAACGTATACACATATTGCTGTTCGTCAAAGACGACTCGGTTCACTTTTGCAACTCTCAATTGTGGATGTTGCTGCATGAACTGGTAAAACTTTTCCCGCAGATCAAAGGGATTGGTGAGCGGCGTTTTGTCCGCTTTTCGGGCGTTAAATTTGTAAACATATATCGGTCTGTCCTCCCAGATCAATTTGTAGTAATTCGAAATAACCTCTTCCTTTATGGATTCTTTGCGTACTGAAGAGCGGATCTGAAAATCATACTTTTATAAAATTTAGTGATCAAACTGCAAATTTTCTGGTAAAAGCTTCGAAAAACTGATCCAAAAAAGGCTACAAAATTTATGGCTAATTAGATCTCTAATTACTTCTACTCACCTGTGCCAGCGCCATGACGCTTTCTGAATTCTGATTTCACAACGTTTTCGATGAGTTTTCGTATTCAATCCTAAATTACACAACGTTTTTTCACGGAACTCTGGTCGCGTCACGCCACGAAAACAAATGTTTGGCGTACTGTTTAAATAAGTTTTTTTGGCTTCATCGAGAAATTAGAGAAATTGTAATTTAGCCCTGTATTGAACAAAATCTTGACAGAAAAAAGCTATAGACCCTATCAGTGAATTTTTCTTGTTATAGCAGATCTGTTTTGTCTTTCAAAAACGCCATGTTTGATGAGTTTGATAATCAAAATCTTTCTAGTTGCGGAATGCCAAGGATTTTGCCGTTTTGCCAAAAGCCCGGGCAACGGTTTCAATCATTCTAATAACAGGAAAGATGGCTCAATAAGTCGAGTTACGAGTTGGAAAAAGCTCTGAAACTTTGCATGATGATTCAGAATGGTGTTGTAGTGCTGATCGACCATTTTTGTCGGATTCGTGACTAAACGTCGCCCGCTAGGCGATTGCAAAGTTCTCAATTTTGGGAAGTTTGAAGTCGAATATCTCAAAGACTGAATAACACATGCTAATTTCTGAACCTCTAGCAGAGAGATAACTGTCTACTCTTTCCAATCCACTATTTATCAAATCGCTCAATTTTGGATGATCGGGTGAAAATATCGTATCTTTAAGACCATCTTTTTGGTGCGAAGTGTCACAAAAGTTCGCTCGATAATGACGCAATTTAAGCTCGAATTCCGCTTTTCTAGTAGCGCTACTAGCTAGTAGAGTCTAAACGTTGTGTTAAAGTAATATAACTTTGCCAAAATCAATCATTTTTAGGTATTTCTACAGATCAAACTCAACGACAACAGTTTCTGGAAGGCTTATATCAAACTTTAATCACCCATAAAAACAATCAATCAAAAATTTCGTCACAACAACAAAAAATTTAAATTTACTATTATTAAGAGCAAAAACAATAAAAATTTTGTTAAATACATTACTCTTATCCGACAGAATGGACAAAATATTTCTTATTAGACAATAAATTAATAGTATAAGGCAATTTCAGGCATTTCTAAAGACAGGTTGGAGCATCCTATCCTTGATACCTACTACAATATAAAGTGCTATCACAGACAGGATACTCAAAAAAATCCAGCTATAAAGTCAATCACAACACAATAAAAGGCAAGGTCAACAATTATAAGATTTATTCAGTCTCTTCTTCATCCTTTTTCTGGATATATACACCTTCCGCTGCTTGCCAATAAGTGTTGTAACCGCTTCCTGTGGCGAATCCAACGACTTCCTTTTGTCCGCTAATTGGTCGGCCGTATGTCTGCCCTGATGTGGCCAAGTATTTGCCAGTGTCGACATGTTTCAATTGAATTTGTTCTTCATCAGTCCAGACGTCGGAGTTACAAACGACCTTCCAATGATCTCCAGTGTCAGATTGCTCATCGGATTTGCCAAAGCAGGAGATTTCCTGAAAATTCAAGATGTATTCAGTATTCTTCATCTTACAGTACCTAAAATTGAAAGAAGAAATACCGAAATTCTTACCTGATTTCCTTTGGACAATGGTGATGGGAATTCATGTGAATGTAAGAAGCACTTGGTCGTTAAATGCACTAGTCTGATCGTATCTCCACACTTGATAGGCTCTCCTCGTTTACACACGGCATTGTTAGCTGAAATAAAAGAATAATTAAATTATATTTCAAACATTTTGGGTTTAACCTCAAATTTAATACCGAAAATTTAAAATATGCCCGTAATCATTATAAAAATTGTTTTGAGAGCCGAAATACGCTGGAAGTCAGCTGGTGAAATCAGAATATTGTAAAATTCAGGGAAATTTACAATATTTCAACCGTCGCATCAACTTCCGCCAACAGCTGCATCAATAGCAAGATAAAGCTGAACTAAAGCAAGCTTCGTCCTTAAACTCTTCAAAAATTAATCGAAAAGCACCAGCAACCTATAAGGCTACTGCGGAAACTATTTCCGTAAGCCCATAATGACCTGTGCTACCTAAATTTCAAAAAACAAAATAGGTAATAAAAACTACTCACCTCCAAGAATTTGCCAATGAGAATTGATGTCGTCTAAGCTGTTCGTCCCTGTAACACTTTGCTGCTGACTTCCTGACCCGTATTTCACCTCATGCGAGTGCAACCTCGACTTGTCTTGACCATTCGCAAGTTTGAGGACGCTGGCACAGGTAACAGGTTCATCAGCCCAAGAAATGGCGGATAAAATTGAGAAGATCGTCAGCGATATAATAAATTTCATCCTGAAACAATAAAAAAAATTGTAGCACTTCTATCGAACGAAAAATCAACGGCATTTCCACGTAAGCTACAGAATGGAGAGCAAAACGTAATTTTTGGTAGGTCAGAAAATCAAGTGTAACATAAAAAACTAAAAATGAATGGAAAACTGTCAAAATCCGTTCAAGGATGAACAATCAGGTCCTTTTTTCTGACAACTTCAGTATAAACAAGCAGAAACCGTCGAAAAATATTATTCTTGACGTACAACAGAATGCCAAGAATACGTAAACATAAATTTTTCGTGGCGGGACGCAGAGTGCAAAGACGGAACCGCATTTTTTGAATTATTGGGAGAAAAAACTTGATGATTCTGGCAGAAGGGTGTTATTAGAGCAATTTTTCAGACACCCTTTTTTATTTTTTGTTGATTTTGAGACCTTTAGAGAGATAAATCTATTATATTTGTTGACCCATGGAGAATTTAGTTATCATTGATAGAATGAGCAGATTCCAGATGGCCTTTTATGTTCTGAAATGTCCTTGGAGTCAGTCCAAAGTATCAGCAACAACTCTGAGTAATCGTTTTATCATTGTTTTTTATATTACTCATGCCAGCTCCTCTCCAAATAACCAAACCAATCTTTTCACTGTTTTGCGACGCCAAAATTCTCTTCCAAGAATTCTATTCAACTCCTTTGACCTTTGTTTTCTTACACTTTTCGAATAATTGTGAACAATTCCATCATCTGACCCTTCTTTATCAACGAAAGGCCAACTGATATGGGACTTAATGGATTATGAACTCGACATTCGGCCGTGTTTATTAAGGAAACTGCATGTAGGAATTATTTAAGTGGGCAGAGCGACCTTGGTTTCGTTATTTATTGCGCTTGCAAAGTGGAACTTAACGTTTTTTTCGAAATTCTGATAAAATTTTTGATTAGTTGGTTTATTTAAGGACTTGATTTATACTCTTAGATACTATAACTATTTTGAGCCTAGGGGAAATTAAATTAAAATAAGCTTGACTGGCGTATTTAACCTTAAATTGTACCTCAATAACCCATTTTCTCTTTTTTCGAGTAAAAAATTTCAAAAATCGTTGATTTCGATCCTAAAATTCTATCAAAAATATCCAAATTTATTTTCAAAATGTATTCTAGGACTCCATCTTCCTCATTCATCATGAGAAACCTCTTGTTTCTCTCGCTTCTTGGCCTAGCCACCGCTCAAACCTTCACGCCCCATCTAGAAGATCATGAACAACTTCCCGAGGAGGCGAAGTCCTTGACTGGCCAAGCTTTGGTCGACTACATCAACAATCTAAAGACCTCATGGAGTGCCTCAGCCGACCATAAGTTCAAGTCCGCCTCCAATGAGGAAATAAAACCGTATTTGGGATTGATCGACATGCCGGTTGAGTACGACAAATTGCTGGGCGAACAACCCGTTCATGCCGAGGACGATTTGCCCGTTGAATTTGATGCTCGCGAGAAATGGCCCAACTGCAAGTCCCTAAGCGTGATTCGTGATCAGTCTCACTGTGGCAGTTGCTGGGCGGTCGCTGCCGCCGGCGCTATTTCCGATCGTATCTGTATACACAGTAATGGCGAAAAACAAGTGGAAATCTCGGCTGTAGATCTCTTGAGTTGCTGCAAGTTGTGTGGAATGGGGTAAGGAACTGTTTATATAAAAAGTCCGGCATCCTCCGCCATTTTTGGGCAAAGAGACAGACTTGACTCAAAGTGTCATGTCTTCCCTTATGCCAAATTACGCTGAAATCTAATCAAAACTTGCTTTCAGATGCTTCGGTGGAGCGCCTGAAGCCGCGTGGGTGTTCTTCGAGCTCCGCGGACTAGTTTCCGGAGGAGAATATGGCGATAAGAGCACCTGCCGACCTTATCCATTCGAGCCTTGTGAGCATCATATCGATGGCCCCAAAAAGCCTTGTGGCAGTATTTCTCCGACTCCAAAGTGCGAGAAACAATGCCAAAGCGGTTACCAAGCCGATTTCAAACAAGACATCCACAAGGGTAAGCAAAAATTAGCATCTTCTTGCGCTGTCTGCAGTTTTGAGGGCGCAGTTTGCCGATTGAATTTTTGATGACAAAACTTGCAATTCAAAATTTTAGGTAAACTGTCGTTCCCCGTGAAGTTCGGCGAACACGCAATTAAAGCTGAAATCTACAACAATGGCCCAGTTGAAGCCGGATTCTCCGTTTTCGAAGACTTTGTCCATTACAAATCCGGAGTTTATCAAGTAAGTTTGATAATCTCCCCTCTTATTCAACTCTAAACCCATTCTTTGTTTGTTTTTCTATTTGCTCGTTTGATTATCAGCCTAAAGAGTACTGTAATTTTCAGCACAAAGCCGGGGGTTTCCTTGGTGGTCATGCTGTGAAGGTCCTTGGATGGGGCGTTGAAAACAACACCAATTACTGGTTGGTCGCCAACTCGTGGAACGAGGATTGGGGAGACAAAGGCTACTTCAAGATCCTCCGCGGCCATAACCATTGCGGAATTGAGACCAGAGTTTCGGCCGGTATTCCAAAGGATGACTAATCAATTTCAAAATAAAAAAAGTGCTGATTACAAGTAATACTGTGCAAAATTTACTAGAATCAGGTATAAAAAGTAATTATATTCGGTTTGGAATAATTTGCAAATAAAAAAATAAAAAATTTAGCGATAAATCTACTGAAAAATCACTTGATCTACTTCAATATAAAAATGTAATAAAGTTCAAGCAGGACTCTCAAACCTCTTCAGATCGTATTTTTCAACCATCTTGACAGCATCTTGCATCGCCAATTTCCCTCGCAACTTTAGTTTTTCCATTCGCGCTTCATGAACTTGAGGTGAGGGCGCAGTTCGCGAACTGCTCAACATGAAAGCCGGGATCAGGAAGACATAATAAATGGCTTGGTGGATTGTTGCCAAATCGAAAAGCTCTCGGGCTTCTTCTATGGTCTTTGGAACGGCCTCTTTGACTTGAGATTTGAGGTTGTTGTAGTAGGTAGTGAAGGCTTCGTCGGCGGATTCGCGACGAGTTTCAGCGTCAACACAGGTGGTTATGAAACGAGCCAAGTCGAATAGGCCATTTCCTAAAATCATGGGTGCTTTTGCATCAAAAAATATTTGAATTTGAGACTTTATGATGTTTTCTAAAAATGACGTCATGATGCCAATTTTGGTGAAGCACGAAGATATGGATACAAAAAATAAATTGAAATAGCATCAACATGATGTCTGAGGCATTTTTCAATAAAAATTTTTATTTTCAGGGGTTTTATTTCATCATCATGACAGTTTTTTTAGATTGTTTGCTTCGAAAGGAAGTAAGATTCAAAAGGAACTGGGACGATTGGGGAAAAAGACGATTGGGGAAAGGGACGATTGGGGAAAAAGACGATTGGGGAAAAGTACGATTGGGGAAACCGAAAAGTATTATTTTTCTTCGATGCAAATGTCGAAATTAGGATAATCGAGGGTGCTCATTTCGAAAATGACATTCTTTTTTTTTTGATTCTTACTTTTTTTCTTAAGTAGTACTGTAAAGTAGTAATTTTTGATTTTTTTTCATAAATACTCGATTTAGGGGTTTTCGAGGGTGCTGATTTCGAATATCGGGTTTATTTTTTCTGAACATTACTAGTGTTCCTTAAGTAGTACTGTTAAGTACTAATTTTTTTAAAATTTTCGAAAAATACTGGATTTAGATGATTTCGAAGGTGCTGGTTTCGAAAATCATGTTCATTTTTCCTCTAGTACTACATAGTACTATTCTGATACTATATAGTACGAGGTCAAAATATGGCTTTTGACGTTAATGGTGTTGTTTTGATGCTTAGTACTCTTCAAAAACACGTTTTAAAGACCTGGTGCTATATAGTACTACCTGATACTATGTAGTACGAGGTGCAAAGTTGGCCTTTAGGCGTTCGTGGTGTTGTTCTGGTGCTTAGTACGCCTATTTTTACTTCGTACTACATAGTATCAGACAGTACTATATAGCACCAAGTCTTTAAAACGTGTTTTTGAAGAGTACTAAGCATCAAAACAACACCATTAACGTCAAAAGCCATATTTTGACCTCGTACTATATAGTATCAGAATAGTACTATGTAGTACTAGAGGAAAAATGAACATGATTTTCGAAACCAGCACCTTCGAAATCATCTAAATCCAGTATTTTTCGAAAATTTTAAAAAAATTAGTACTTAACAGTACTACTTAAGGAACACTAGTAATGTTCAGAAAAAATAAACCCGATATTCGAAATCAGCACCCTCGAAAACCCCTAAATCGAGTATTTATGAAAAAAAATCAAAAATTACTACTTTACAGTACTACTTAAGAAAAAAAGTAAGAATCAAAAAAAAAGAATGTCATTTTCGAAATGAGCACCCTCGATTCTCCTAACTTCGACATTTGCATGGAAGAAAAATAATACTTTTCGGTTTCCCCAATCGTACTTTTCCCCAATCGTCTTTTTCCCCAATCGTCTTTTTCCCCAATCGTCCAACTCCGGATTCAAAACCCTAATTTTTTGTTGCGAATCACTCACCCCATCCAACCATTTGCAAGTCCACGAAGCCAGAAACTTCATCCGAAACCGATCCATCGGCACGCTTCTCGAACAGAGTGTTATTTCCCCAACAATCTCCGTAGACAAAGCCAATGGCATTCATCTCGACGGCACGGTCAACAAGACAATATTTGAGGAATTTCGGATTGACCAGAGACCTTAGGGGGAGGAAGGCTTCGTAGACGTCTGGAATATTTAGATTTTAAAGATTTTCAGGGATTTTTTCGTAGGTTTTGATGATTGGTGGCTAAGACAAGGTTATTGAAGGACCAATAAAAAATAAGTTTTGATAGCTAAAATGAGTTTTGTTTCTTTTCTCGGTAGTAAAAAAGATATCTTCAAAATAATTCAAATACTTCTAGATAGTCTAGATAGTGAACCCGGTAAAGGTACTTATAAGAGTGTAGGAATAAACATTTTTAGTGTATACAATTGTCAAATACGGCGGAGTTGGTCGCTGGTATATAATTTCTTTATATTGTATGTAAATTTTTTAAGCTTACAGGGGCATTTCACCTTTAAAACCGGGAGATATCTCGGAGTCACGCTCAATGCCAAGTAATCCGTCTGTAACGGCGTGTTATTCAAGTCCTTCCAAGGCTGTCCCTCTAAATTCAAACAAGTGGCATGCAGATCGGCCAAGGCCTTGGCCACCGAAATCATCATCCCCTTGGAGGCGCCTTGGAATAACGGGAGAGAAACGGAATTTTTAGCGAACGAATGGAGAATTAGGACTCCGCGATCCTCCGTTGGATTGCTGCCAACTTTTTTGATGTAGTGGGCTTTGGGAGTGTGCGTTTTGTTGGAGGGCTGGGACTTGACCATCTCGTAGTATTCGCATTCTCGGTTATGAGAGGCGTAGACGAATTGGGCACCCGGCGAATCGTCTTGGAAGGTCTGAAAAATAGGATTGAAGAAGATTACAACCGAGATTGTGGAGGTCCTAGAAATTGTTTCTAGCACAAGAGAAATGAACAGGGAAACTTAGAGAATTCTCAAGCCATGAGAATACGATATGTTGTTCAAAGAGCCGTATTTTACACCCCTTAAAGCCATTTTATGATCTAGAGAAGTAAGTCATCAAAAAAAACCTACTTCCTGCCCAGTATGAGCTCGAATTGCATTGAGAATGGCGATTGTTGGCACTTTGATCACCAAATCCAACTCTTGACCGCTTGAAGAGCCCAATGACACAAGATAAACTCGACTCAAATGCCCTTTCCCGGCCCCAATATCAAAGGTTGTGATCTGAAATTAAAATACACATAAACGAGACTTGGACAGCCAGTTCTACAAAGTTTTCTTGGCCGGATTTTAAGGCAGTGGATTAAAATCAGACAGTATCTGACGAACACAAGTCTGACAGCCCCACCTTGTTCAATTTCCAAAAGTCGAATTCTCCATCAAAGTTTCCATTAGGCCTTAGAAGCGTCTCTAAAAGCCATTTGCCATCGAATCCACTGTCACTCAATTTTGTCGATAAGATTTCCTCGGCCAAGTTGAGATTGGCCAATTTTTCGGAGACTAAAGACATTTTCGAAGCCGGCAGGTAAGATACACTCCGAAAAAGTGTACAAAATTCAGTTGAAAAAACCAAAATGCAACTTAAAAGACTGGTTAAAAGCCGTCAAACTTTTGGGTTCAATCGTTAATGCGCGAAAAATGCGGGTCTTACCAAAAAAGTTGCTTTAATTAAGTCGTCAAGAAAATTACTGTGGTAGTAACTTTTTCAAAGTACATAATATGTATTATATATTAAATTCAAATAAAAAAAAGTAAAAAAAATTGGCTTTATTCACACATTACATTACACATAAAAAACGATGACATTTCCATCTTCCAATGAGAAATCAGCCCGACTTTTTATCTGAAATCGATTTTTACTGCAGACTATCGAGAATTTACAACATACCGAACTTTTTAAACTTAAAACTTACATTGCTGATATGTTTTTCTTTTCCGAACACAAACGCAAATACTGAACAGCAAAAGAGTGATGGAAATGGTCGTCAACTCGAATACCAGGACTGGGAACAGAACTCTAATCACTTCCGATTTCCTAAAACTTCATTTTTAAGTGGTTGTAGATGATAATTCGAAAATTTTTTACGTTTTTCTGCATAATTCCACAAATTCATAAAATTTCACGTTTCAGTCCATAAAAGTTCAAAGTGGGTAGTTTCAAAACGGATTTTTTAACTGTATCATGTGAAATTACATTCTATATCCAAACAAATCATTTTCCGGTAATAAAATTTACGTTTTTATGCATAATTCCACAAATTCATAAAATTTCACGTTTCAGTCCATAAAACGTAAAAGTGGCCAGTTTACGAACGGAATTTTTTTCAGTATCATGTGAAATTACACTGTCTTCCAAATAAATTTTTTTCAGGCAGTAAATTTTACGTTTTTCTGCATAACTCGCAAAATGCATAAAATTTCACGTTTTTGCCCATAAAAGTAAAAGCTTTATCATATTTGTTCCAAATTACGATGAAATATCGTAATGCCTTTTACTAACCAATCTCCTAGACTTCCTGAAGCCATAAACAATCAGAGATTTTATCAAATTTTCTCTTATATTCCACTTGCCTTGCATTGATCGCCTCACATTCCTGAACCAGCGCCGACATGGGGGATTTCGGGCCCTGAAATCATTTTTATTACTATTTTAATTTATTTACAAGTTCGCAGAAACTAGAATTTTCTTTATATTTCGATTTTTTTTCATATTTCAAAAAAAAATTATGATTTTTCGAACTTTTGTCAAAAATCTTCGCTTACCGTTCGATTAAACCAGTCGTCATTCACCAGTTTGGGTGCGATCCAGTCGTAATTTAGCGAGGAATCGGTGTGAGTGGAGTTTGGGGGGTCCAAAAAGCAAAAGTAAAGGGATCTTTCGTGCCCAGCGGTCGAATTGCAATCCTCTGAAAAAACAAAAATATTTTTTTCATCAAAAAAAAAAATTATTTTAAAATTTTTTAAAAATATCACCTACGTGATCGCCTTGGATTTGAAAAATCGTCAGTCACGGTGATACTGAATTGAAAATAGGCAGTTTCCTCTTTGCTTCTCTTGGCGAACGTCACAAATTCATTTGTGGCGAACAGAGCGTATAACTTGTCTCCGCCGTCCAAAGCCACCTTCATTTCTTCGTCAATGCGATGCAATTTCCTCGCCGCCTCAATCTGCCCGCTCTTCGCCACGTAGATGGGCGTGTCCAGAGTGGAAATAAAACTCTTTCTCCGGATGTTGTTGCCCATTCCGATCCCAAAAACCCGATTTTGAATCGGAATGTCCGTGTGAAGAATGCCTCCGGGCGGTGTGTAGATGGTCTTGGTCGTGTAGAGGACGGTTCGAGTGAAGCCAAAGGTCTCTTCGCACTCCGCCGCCATGTAGAGAACGTGCATGTCGAGGAAGGCGTTGAAGGAAGAGCTGGAGAAGACGCAGTCATCATTCAGCACTAAAACAAGGCAAATTAAGGAAAAAGGTCGGAAAATCAGGTAGAAAAGAAGAAAAATAAAGAAGAAAATTATAGTTCGCATCAAGAAGGTCCTAGTGCACAGACGTTGAAGCCAAAAATTATAATTTTTCGTTCAAAAAATCGAAAAAAATAAAAATTTATATTTGATGACTAAAGGGTAAATTAAAATTTTTTAGGATTTGATGACTAAAACAAGGTTGTAAGCTGAGAAAAAGCTGTTTAATCTAAGGCATATCATTCTCTTATAGAGTATTATTATTTTTCTTTTATTTTTCAACCAAAAAATCAAACTTTTTGACAAGAAAAAATAAAAATTTTTAATTTTTTAGCTTCAGATGTCTAAAACAAGCTGAAATAAGGTAGACTCTCTCAAAAAAAGCAAAAAAAGACGAATAAAGTTATATAAAACCCTTCACTCACCATGTTTCAGCGAGGTATCATTGAATTTCAATTTGAATTCTTCCCCCTCGTCCCATTTGCGGATCTCCAAGGTCGCATATTCAATGGCGGAGGAGTTCTTGACGCGCAAGAACAACATGACGAAATTATCGATCAGGACTGGCGAAACATTGGCACATGGTCTGAAAGAAGAAATTTAGAAAAAAATTACAGATTCTTTTTTTGGGGAAAAGAGAAAATTGCTAATCTTGGTAAGTTCAGTCTAAAAATTGCTTATTTTGAGAAAGAAAAATCAACAAAAACGCGATTTTTTGCCTGGAAAACAAGAGAAAGTCATCGTTTTTCCAGAAATCGGGGGAAACCCTCATTTTTTCTAGTCCATTATAAAACCATGTAGGTCCAACAAGCGAAAAAGGGCTCTAAAATCAAACCCCAAGATTAAAACCGACCCAGGATTCCTGGAAATTTCTTGGTCGTCACCCGTGCGGACAAAACAATCTTCGTCCAGATGAAAAACCATGGTTTCGGGAGAGGCGACCATCGCCGAGAGCAGCAAAAAAATTGACAACCGCATGATCAAAGGGTCAAAGTGGAAATGACCGGTGGATTTGCAAATTGAAAAAGCGGTTACTTCTACGAAATCTCGTCCGAAAAAATATTGCCAAATTTTGAAGCGTTTCTATCCTATCTCTGGACAGAATGTGGAACATTTCTGGGTCATTTCTGGGCCATTTTTGGACTATTTATGGATCGCTTCTAGAGTGGAATTTATATGTACAGGAGGTGCTATCTTTGTCGCCGATTTGAATTGATATATCATATGGGAGATTCTGAGGATTCAGAGAAAAAAATAATTTTAATATTTGGCCCAAAAATATAGAAGTTGTAGCCGATTCAAATCGGGGCACAAAGATGCCACACCCTGTACAAAATTTTGGTAAAAGCTTATGGGTTCTCAGGTAACAAGCATAAGACCAATTTACAATCTTTACCGTTCAGCCTCTTGCTCTCAAATTATACTCCAAATTCATGTTCGCTATCAATTGCCTTGCTGATGGCCCTTTCTAAGTTGCTATTACATCTCCCTTACCTTTCACGTTCGCTCCTCAATTCCTTTCTTCCGAACTACCACAATTATCGGAGAAAGTCCAGACAAAGTTCGAAGGCATATTACAGTACTCCACCGGTGAACTTTCTCCAAAAACAACATGGTTGAAAACAGTCTCGAGGCGGGAGGGGGGAAGAGCATAATTGCGAAGAAATTGGGCTCCAAATTGAAGGGTACGTTTCGGCGGGGCGCTGTATTTGTGCCCCCGAGATAATTGGCCTGATCTTGATCACACACGTCTCAGACTTCCACAAAAACACTCTTTATTGGGTTTGCGGCGGGCTCTATAAAAGATTGCGCGAATTGCAGTTGTTTTTTGCGGTATAATCTTTGAGTCTTCGTGAAAGGCGCGGGGTTTTTCGAAGGGTCATCATTTTTGATGGGCGAAGTTTGAAGATATTGTGTCTGGTTGTGTTCAGAAGGTGTATTATGTTGTAACCCAACGTATTTAATAGAAAATTTTGCATAAATTATATTTTGGAAATCACATTCTTTGCAAAACTTGTCATCATATTTTCAAATTTATATACATATAAACACACTCCGTTTGTACAGAAAATCGTAGAAAATCCAAAATTTATTCATTATGGGAGGGTTTCGTTATGTAGAAGTTTATTTTTAGTAAAGTTCGTTGTCAAGAGGTCCAATTGTACAACGATCTCTGTACAACGAATGACCGAAAAGAACCAGAAATTAAATTTGTTATAGGGCCCGTAAAACGGCCTGTTGTTGAAGGATTAATTTTAGACTCAAAATTAGTCTTGTTACTTTGGAAATTGTTTGTTATAGAAAGGTTTTTTCCTGTCTTGTAGCAGGAGAATTTGTTGTGCAGACCTATACCACTGTACATAATGTAGTAACACCTCTGTGCACCAAATGGTTAGAAAAAAGCAAAAAAGTTACTATAAAAAAGCTCCGTTGTATGGAGGTTTACGTGTCTTTTGACTCTTGTGAACTCAGAAGTCTAGAAATTCCAAAAAAATATTTTTTAATTTAAATCGGGCTAGTGGATTTGAATAGAGTGCATAATCGAAAAAACACACGTTTCCCTCCGTCAGAGCAATTAAAGGCGTCACTGTTTTAACGACTCATTGTCTTTTCCCTCCTAAAGTTTGATGTAAATTCCGGATTTCTATGAACTGTTTTCATCGCGACGGGGATTGTAAAACGGGTGGCTCGTAAATTTGCCTTACCTAGAGTTCATCTGTTCAGATTTTCAAGTGCTTTTTTCGTACACCAAATTTGAGATTTTTTGTTCTCAAAAATTCTTAGCATGCAATTTTTGGCTTGCCGTAAAATTTTCCACATATATTTTTTTCTTGTGCATTAATTAGTTCCAAGAAATTTTAGGTCTAATTTTCAAAGTGAGGCCGAATATTCAACCATTAACGAGTTTTTCGGACGAGAGATCATAGAAAATGAGTAGAGATGGTCAGAGAAAAAAAACCTTTTGACCTTCTCGCTTTAAATTTGGGGTAAAAACCACCGATTTTTTTATCGAAATGTTTTAGTTTAGACTTCGAAAAGAGACGATAATTTTTTTATTACAAAAATCGCAAACAATTTTTTTTGTATTTTTTATTGTCATAATCTCGATTATTTGTGAAAAGTGTGAGCTAAAAATCTCACATATGCTTTGAAAAGTTGTAATCTGAAGCTTTGCCAGTTTTCCTTGGGATCAAAAATTTAAAATTTTCTCGTCCCCAAAGACAAAGAGCAATGTTTTTTACATAAAAATACAGTGACATCTTTGTACAAAGAACTTCTGCAGAACGGAACCTATCTAAAAACAAACAGCTTCAGGTGACCCAAGAGTTAATCTGGGGCCAAGTCCGTACAGTGAAGCTCTTCTATAACGAATAACTTGTTTGTTCTCTCCAATTTGTTATACAGATTTTACAATACAAACTCCTCTTCTCCAAGTTGCATCAAAATCTTATAAATTCCATTTATCCCCTCCCTTCCTCCATCATGATTTTGCTTTCTTATTATTATGTTTTATGAGTTCTTAGAAGTCCGTCCGACTGGAACAGCAAGACTCGCCCCGAAAAAGATTTGTTTTGTTATCAGTGTTCAACTAACTCGTGTCTTGATCAACTTACTCGGCCTCATCTCGCGCGACAAACAAAAGATTAGAGGTGGCGGGATGAAGATGGTGGTTTAATGGGTGATCGAACAATCGAACTTGATGCGATTGTTCTCGCCCCAAAACCCTGTCGCGCTGACATATCAGACTGCAGCGGAAGGAAGAGGGGTGATTTCGACGCCTTAGGGAATTAATGAGGGATGGGGGGGGGGGGGGGGCAGGAGGTCAAAGGTTATTTGTAGATTTTACTGTAATTTTATGATTTTTTAGTAAAACCTCTGTACAACAAATCGTAAAAGGAAAAAGAAATTTTTTTGTTATAGGAACGTTTCGATGTATGAAGACTCCCTTTGGTTTAAAATTATGTTTCCGCACTTTGAAAATAGTTCGTTATATAGAGGTTTTGTTGTACAAAAAATTGTTGTACAGAGGCTATGCTGTAATTAAAAAACTCTGTATACCAAATCGGAAAAAAAAACAAAAAATTGTTTGTTATAGGAGGCTTTTGTTGTACGGAGCGGAGCGTCTAACATTCAGAACTAGGACAGTTAAAATTATTCGTTATAAAGAGTTTCTGTTATTCGACAATTAAAATTTACCCAACTCTTCAATTTTGAATTCCTTTTGCAACAAATTGAACCCAGTTCTGTAATTAAAATCGTATAACTGTCCGGCTGAATTAATTTTTCCTTCAATTCGCTCCATTCCCGCATCTGGTAATATCAGATTTTACTGCGGTCAACCGGATCTTTTAGACTATGCCGTGAAAAACACTTTTTTACAAGATTCCTTTATGTTCGGGTTAAACGATCGTTAAACTCGAAGGTTAGTGTTTACTGTTTATAAGGGTTGCTTGTTGTTGATAGTGTCTTACAATTAGGGGATGGGGAATCGATCGATTGTAGATCAAATGAGAAAGCTTTTTACAGAGAAATGCTCAATGTGCGACTAAGAAGGGCTGCCACAAATTTTGAATAATCTTTTCGAATCAGACATATGCGAGATTGACCCGTGTTTTCGCAGGAACAATCGAGATTTTTTTTCCGAAAGTCAGCCAGATTTCGACACTTTTTTTTTATTTGGCATCAAAAGCTGCAGCTTAATTTTTACCGGAAAAGGCAACGCGTTGAACGTTGCAACGTTCCTACAAAAAATCAGCTTTTCTCCGCAAAATTGGCAGATTTACGGCAAATTGTTAGATCCCCAAAACATCAGTGAATCAATTTTTGTACACAAAATTCAGAAGTCCGGTCATTTCCAGTGTCTGCTTGTGCTGGTCACTAACTGCTTCCTCCCTGTAAACTGTAAAAATATTCTCGAATTGCCTCCGAAAAAAGTTATTGGTCATTCTCAAGCAGGAAATTGGCCACTATTCAAGTTCCTTTTGAAAAAACAGAATGGCCAATAAGAGTGTTCGCTTTTATACATGTATATAAAACCTTCCTGTCTCCAGTACTTGCTTTTAAACGTTTCAGAACCATGAAAGCAACAGTGATAAAACTATTGGTCTTCCTGAGTTTGACAAGCCAGATTGGAGGTCAAAGTAAGTTTTTATTATAAAAGTATAACCAAACCTCCGTATAACAAATCGCAGGGCCAAAAAGAGAGCTATCGAAGGCTCATGTAAAGGGCGGTTAATGCAATCCTAAAAATGAGTTATCTGACCTTTGAAATTGTTTGTTATAGACAGGTTTTGTTGTACAGGGGTTTTGCAATACTAAGAATTTTTTGGGTGAACATTCTTGGAACCTCTCTACAATGCACTTTCATACACAAGATCTCTGTATAACAGACTGTTTCTGAGCCTCGAAAAAGTCAATTTTATGCCAAAATTAACCTTCATACAACGAAACACTTATAAAAATATAACTTTTTTTTGGTCCTTGTAATTTGTTATATGCAGGTTTTGGCTGTTTCTTAAAAATTCATTTGAAGGATAAAAAAAATTTAATTTCTAAAATTTGGAAAATTTGTTACCCATTTCAGCCCTGACTAACCAGCCAGTCCAATCTAAATATTTTGAAATGCGTCTGGAAGACTTCCACGACACCTCCCCTCAAAGTATGGGGGTCTATCCCACGCTATCGGAACTCTCTTTGGACGCCCTTTTGGATGATGAGAAATCCCCTCCAGATGTGTATTACCGACAAGTCTTTAGCAACATGAAAAAGGTGGCGCCGAACTTGAAGACATTGTCCATTTATGGAGGATACAAGTTCAGACCCGAATATCCGGTAAATGAATGCTTTCTTTCTGAGAGGGGAAGTACTCCAAGTGCGACGCTCAGATTTTGATGAAACTTGGCACAAATTTAGAATAACTTTTTCTAAGACATATGCGAGAATCCTAGCTCACGCTTTGCAGAAACAACCGAGATTTTTAGATCGAAAGTCGGCAAAAAATTTACACTTTTTGCCGAATTTCTGCACGAAAAGTTTCATGCCAATTTCTACCGTAAAGGATAATTTTTCTACAAAAAATAAAATTTTTCCGAACGAAACTGCCAAAGTTATGGCCAAAAAACGTTTTACTCTCTGACCGCTCTCCGCGTTTCGCGTGCTCTCTCGGCTACAAAAACAGTTCCTTATCTCGGTGGCGCTTGCAAAGCGCGAGCTAAAACTTTTAGGAATCGATATTTAGTTTTTGCCCGACGCGTGTGCAAAATTTAGAGAAAATCTGAGCGTCGCACTTGGGGTACTTCCCTTGTGAGTAATATCTTATTTTTTGATGCTAAACATCTTATTTTTCATGATGATGCATTTCTAGAAAAGCTACATGATCAGCAACGAGATCCAACACATCCAACGGAGTCTTCGGACCATCGTGGGCGAAGCCCATCATGCCGGGATAAACTTTGGCGACATCAACATGCAGGCCGTCCTCTATTTCCCCGAGCGAATGGTCCAAGAGTCCAACTACTTGTCGCTGATCAAGAAACATTTCCATGTTGTCCGCACCATTGGGCCTCGAGTTCAATGCAAATTTATGATCGAGAACACTCCGGTGGAGCTGTGGATCACCATGGAAGACGAGATGTTCTGGCGCACCACTGGCATCGACAGAACTCCGTTCCACGGCCGCGGCAAACGGCAGTTTGGAGTGCAGAAAAAACATGAAGCGCTGTATCATTTGGAAGATTTCTTTTATGAAAAGGTGGTAAAGGAGAGAAAAGCGACCAGATTCATTTTGTTCTCGCCTATTAATATGTTTGGAAGTGCGCCTCAAGGGCCGTATGCGATTGCGGCGAAGAATTTGAAGACTTTGTCGCCGAATGCGGACCACGTCCAAATGTACGGCGGAGGGCATGCGGCGTTGAAGGTAAGGTGGTGATAAGATGGGGGAGGAAAGAGCTGTAAAAGCAAAAGCTTTGAGAAGCCGTGACAAATCGGAAAGGAAGTTTTACTTTGCCCCGACACAATTCATTTCCTCGCCGACGATGCGATTTTTGATGCGACAGAGTGCTCTTTACTTTCGCAACTGACTGTTATAATAATGGGGATTTGCCGCAACGAAATATCTCGTCTCATCGGTAAATTCCTGGCCGCGGCCACCGCACACCGGTGATCCAGGCTTGCGAATCCACATTGCAATACTGCTGGCCCGAGATGCCCAGAGCTGAACTTTTTCAAGGCCGTTAAACGCATTGTTAACAAACTTTGGAAAGGAAAAAATATTCTTTATATCGGAGCTTGTATCATCAAGAAAGATAAACATCTTTGTTAGAGAATTTCTGTAGACAACCTAATTCTTAAAAATAAGTTTTTCAGAGTTCAAGTGAGTTCCCCGGCGAGCTCAACCTTCTCCGTGACAACCTTTACGCGGCTGTGCAAGCGGTCCAACAAGCGGGAATGAGCGTCGACAATGTGATGCTCAAGGTGTATTATACTGGAGTGGTAAGTAATTTTTTTCAAATTTTACGTAGGTGCACCTATATAACTATTTTAATTTTTCAATCCCAAATTTCAACTTTTTCAAGAAGTTTAGGGTTTCTTAAATCGCGTTATACAGAAACTAGAGACCCCATTAACTCTATAAATTATTTTTTTTACATTCATCTTTAATTTAACTTCCCAAATCATTAAATTTCAGTCGATTCCCAACGCAAATGCGGTGATTTCCCAAGTGTTCAAAGTGACGCCCTCTCCTCATGGTCCCACCGCCCAATTCTTGGCCTTTTCCATTGGCCAGACCCCTGTTCGGATGGAGATTGGATTCACTTTACCGGCGGAATATGCGGCTCAGATTGATCCAAAATCTCATCGCAGTGTGTTCGAGGTGATGCCAATGCATTTGCAGTTCGATTCGTTGTTCGAAAAGATCTACAAGAAGAGAACGTTGTATCAGAATGGATGCAGAGCAAAGGGACTGCCCAAACAAGGAGTTTTCGACCCGTGTGGAGTCAAGGTAAATTAACTTTTCAAAAAATAAGAGTTTTGCGAAATTCTAAAAAATATGTCATCATGACATATTTTTTGATGCTTGAACGTAAACTTTTTCTTTTCTACGATCGTAGCAAAGCTATACATAGCACAATACAACGTATAGCTTCCATCACAGTCATCTTTCCAGTTCATTTTACACAAAATTCCAAAAAATCCGTCATCATGACATCCTTTAGTCAATAAAATATAAAACAAATTTTGTCAAAACATTGCTTTGTCAGTCTAATCCTGCTCAAATAAAATTTTTTGCTAGTCATTACAGCTTCTTAACCCAATTTTTGAGTAATGATGACGGATTTTTTGGAATTTGAAAAATCATAATTTTGATGGTTTCCACCTCAAAAATCAACAAATTTCAGATCATTGCTCCTCAACAAACCATCGAAAGTTTTGCGATTATAAATCCAGCCACCACGGAGAAGCAAACTCAGCTCTTGCATCTTACACTTGGTTCGAATCCCCCGTTCCATCTCAGAAATATGTCGCAAATTTACCACCAGGCTTTCCGAAATCTGAAAGCAATTGCTCCGAATCTTCGCGATTTGAGTATTGATGCAAAAATAACCATCGACAGTGTGAGTTTTGGGCATGAGTTTAGGGAAAATTTGATTTTTGAAATTTCGAAAATCAAACAAATTTTTCTTTCTAGAATCCTTAATTTTTTGTTTTTCTGAGATTTGAATATTCAAATTTTTAATTTTAATTTTCGAAATTTTTAGCAAGCCTCCGAAAAGGTTGGAATAATCAAAGCCGCCGTGAAGGAGATGGTCAACGCCGCCATCGAAGCCAATATAAATTTGGCCAGAGAATACGTTAATTTGAACTTGGATTTTGTTGGGGTACGTTGCACATCTTAAAATTACTTTTTTTTTAATTCTGTATATGTAATACTTAAAAATTTCAATGCAAAATACGACCTAGATCAAATACCTTCAGTTTTACACCAATTTTTCAGTCATTCCCCTCGCCCAGTGCCTGGGAACGTCACATGGGAGTCCCCGACATTCCCCTCAATCCCCCGTATAAACTCGAATACTACGAAGATGATGTTTTGGTCCGAATCGAGACCAATTATTCGGCCGGAATCTCGCGACGACGCTTTTCAAAGCTTCGCCGACGAGCGAATCGTCGTCGCCTTCGAATCAAAATCTAATGCACAGTACAATCTATTTCTATTTTGTTGTGTAATCTCTATAGTAACCCAAGTGTAACATACGGATTTTTTGAAGTTTAGGGGAAATTGAGAATTTCACAATTTTTTATATCGCGCTATGCAGAAATGACGGCGATATGAGGAAAAAATTTCAAAACAATTTTCTTAAATTTTTTCTATGAAATTTGGCTAAATTAGAGCTCAACTTTTGCCGATCGCACAAAAAAATTCATTTCGCGTTATGCAGAAATATAGTAATTATGAGTTTAAAAAACAAAAAAAAAATTTTTTTTTGAAATTTTTTTTCTGAAGCTTGGCCAATCTGAAAGTTCAATTTTTTAAAACCGCATAAAAATTTTTCAAATCGCGTTATGCAGAAACAATCAAAAAATTTCGAACTCAAAAATCTCAAATTTCAAAAAATTTTCCGTTACATTTGGGTACCTCTCTCCGCTAAATGTAAAGTCAGCTCCGGTCTATCAATGCATAATATTTTTACATTTATTTTTTACCATGTTTCTTAAGACTAAAATTTATTTTATTCCCAAAATTTATCTCCCAAAATATCGCCGCAATATAATGATCTTGCCAAAATAAATATTATTCCCTTGAGAACTGGGTAGTTGTTTTATTTTTAGATGGTAAAAAGGTGAACTAAAGAAGTCTCAGCGAACTGACAACGATTTTATGGGGAGATTCATTCATCATACGACGTTTTTACAATCCATTTACTGGGTTCATATTAATGAAAAGAGTTTTTGGGGGTTAAAAGGAGAACTTTAGTAATATTTCTAATGGGAATTTCTGGAAATTTCATTTACAAAAGTGCTTTTTGAAAACAAATTTTTTTGCAATTATAAAAAAGTGAAATTTCTGATAAAGAATTTTTGATAGTGCCCTTAAATTTGCAAAGAAATTCTTGGTATGGGCCACAATATCATTTCTCAAAGTTTTAGCTCGCGCTTTGCAGAACAGTTTTTTTGGGCACATCTTTGACAGTTTTGTGCAAAAAAAGCCAATATTTGCATGAAAATCGCCACGTCTTCGCCAATTTTTGACTTAAAAATTCTACTTCGTTGCCTGTCTCATGCGGAAAAATTGCTTTTTTTGTTAACAATATCCTCTACGGTAGAAAGCGGCATGAAATTTTTCATGATAAAATTCGTAAAAGAGTATCAAATTTTTTGCCAAACTTAGGTCTAAAAATATCGATTTTTTCTGCAAATCACGAGCTAGAAGTCTCGCATATGTCTTAAAAAAAAAATTATTCTGTGTTTGTGCCAAATTTCATCAAAATCTGAGCGTCAAACTTTGAGCACATCCCGTGTAAAACCTACAAAAAAACCTTTGCAAGTCCCCGAATTTGATTAGCACTTTTACCGCTCAATCTTTCATCGATCTCCCGTTGTAATCCTCTCCATGTAAACCAATAACCATTTCTCATTAAAACTGCAAACTTTTCCACTTATAAATGATAACCTTGGTCCGGTAATCACTTCCGGCGCACCTTCTTCCGCCAATTTTTTTTCGTCTTAAAGAACTGTTTGCATTTGCTTAATAATGCTTCGTCGCCTTCCGGTTGGGACTTTAATCATCATTAAGTGCGATAATATAAACATTCAGAGGGCTGTGCAAAGATTATTTTTTTTTTTTTGTTTATGGGGGAGGGACACTTAAAATTTGAAAGAGAATTTTTGGAAATTAGATGCTTGGATTTGGATGAAAATTGGTAAAATTGGGTGCGAAGAGGAGATCTAACCTTCTTAAAGAGAGCACCTGGGCGAAGAGGGCATATCCATTTCTGACCCCTCTTACATAGTATTTATTGGCAAACCAAAAAAGAATCATCCTAAAATTTGCGCCTTGGTCCCCCCTTACCGAGTATTTTTTCTCAAGGTGTTCTCTTGGCCCAGGTGCCGTCTTCGAAAAAGTTAGGTCAGGGGCGTCGTTGAGGAATCGGTTTGGGGGAGGTTTTTTGACCACAGGTACCTAGACATGGCTCGTCGGCCGGCCCGGCCCGTTTCAAATTTTCTGTCGGCCCGGTCCGTTTTAAATTTGCTTCGGCCCGGCCCGGGCCAGCCCATTGAAACGAAAGTCTCCCCAAATCTAACTCCTTATGACCAAATTTTTTTCTATCATCATGTAAATGGATAAATACTGTGTTCCATAGCTATCTAAAAACAAAAATACCTTTAGAAAACCAATTGTGTCTTGACATTGCGTTTATTTTCATTATCAAACCCAATTTTCACTTCGAGATTCTGGATTTTAAATATTCCGGGCCGGGAGCCATGTCTGCAGGTACCTAGCTCGGGCTTTGCAAAAACCACTGAAATTTTTTGGTTCAAAGTCGCCCAAAATCAGAGATTTTTTCGGACTTTTGGGGTGAGACAATAGCGGTATTTTACTGTATTCAGAATGCTTCACGGATACGATTTGAAGCGTTTTTGAAGACTATATCCTATCTGTATGTGCGAAAAATTGTTTCTCAAATTGCTCTCTTACATTTCCATGATCTCTCGTCCGCAAAGCTTGTTGAATGTCTTGGCCTGCAAAGATTGATCTAAAATATTGAGAAATGGATATGTGATCTAGCTGGAGTATTTCTGCAAAATTAGTGAAATACAACCGTTTCTGGCGGAGCTTTATACATTAAAAAAGCGAAAGATTTTTTGTAATAACTGTTCGTAAAATACACAGCTTATGTTTTTTCGGGACGTTTTCAAATTGTGACCCAAATAAACAAACGCTCTCCTTTTTCGTCTGCGCAAATAAACATTTGTTTTTCGCATTTTCAGCTCCAAATCCCCAAAGTTTTCTTTTACGCGCCCCTCTTAAGAGACCGCAAATTTGCATAAGTCGTGGATTTACTGCCCATTTGTTCGGGTTTCTCATCACTTTATAGAGTTTTTTCGTATAAATGGGACCTAAAAATTCGTAAAATAATTAAATTTTTCGACGAATTATGATGGTAAGATGGGCAAAATTAAGATTTTTGTATTAAATCGGTCTTGGCGTTTAAAAATTGAAAAAAATGATGGTCCAAAATTTTTGAGATTTTTTGATTTTTTTTTTGATTTTTGGGTTTTTTGTTGTTCCATAAATTCGATTACAGTAAGATATATTAAAAAATATATTCACTGCCTTTTAAAAAATTGCAAAAAAAAAAAAAAATTTTTTTAGATAAAAATTTTTTTTGATTTAAAATAAATTTATGCCTAGAAATCTCGACTATACAAATTTCCACGGATATTATTCAATTCCTGGTCACCTCAAGGTCCCTGCTCCCCGAGGTCACCTCTTCCCAACCCCTTACTCACCTCCAATTTGCATATTTCGCCCCATTTCGAACCTGTTTATGGGTTTCGGATCGGTTCGAAGAAAGGTTGCAAACCGGGTGAATTTGATTTGATTATTCGCTTCTCTGATTCCGAGCGCCTCGTTTTCTTCTCCTTTCCACTTGAAAGCGGGCGAATATAACAATAGATTATCCTCTTTTTGTGGCCATCCTTCGCTTTTTTGGCCCTTTGTTTTCCGGCTGCCTTTAATTTTTACTTGTACTTTTTCAGTAGCAAATTTTTTCTTGGCGGAAAACAAAATTTTTAATAGGGAAATTGGCCGTCATTATGGATTTTCAGAAATTTTTTATTTTTGAAAAATTTTTTTTTAATCAAAATTTTGTATTAGAAAAAATGGGATATTTAAAAATCAAATAAGTCATCATGACCGATTTTTTGGATTTTTTAAATGAAAAATTTGATTTTTTCGGTCAACTATTTGGCATTTTTTGAATTTAAAAATGCAAAAAAGTAAGTGATTTAAAAAAAAATGCTTTAAAATTTTATTGAGGTGTGTTACAAAATTATGATCTTCAGTTTTAAAAAATTTAAAAAAAAAATTTAAAAAAAAAAAACAACAAAAAAATAAAAAAAATTTTTTTTGAAACTTTAAGGTTTAAAATGCAATAAAAGACTTGCTAAGTAAAACATTCCGTATTTTACAACAATTCTATGACTATTTTTGAGCTCTATTTTTTATTTTGTTAATCCAGTTTTTCAGAATTTTCCCTCATTTCGCTCCAATTTTTTCCTCATAACTCATCCCCAAAAAAGAGAGCATTGGAATTAGAAATGCATGTGCATGTAGATATTTACTCTCTCCGCCGTCCAAATGATGGACGAGTTCCGTTAAAACATACGACTTTGGTTATAATCTCCCTTTGTTTTCGTGTTAGTTTTGGATGGGTAAGTTCGGGCAAAAGAAAGTCGGGAAAAGTAGTAAAAGTAGTAGTAAAAAAATATATAAACGGAAATTTTACTATCGCGTATTTTAATTTTTTGAAATTTAAAAAATTTTAAATTTTGCTTTGATTAATAAAAAAAATTATTTTTTTAACACATATTATGACATTTTATAATGTAATTGCACTTTATTGTTTACATTTATCTATCGAAAAGTTCAAAAAACAAGGAGCAATCGCCGTTTTCTTTCCAAAAAATCTTTTTTCCGAATCAATTTTTAAACTGTAAATTCGCCGTCCCATTTCTCACCCTTTTCGAATATCAAGTAGTAAACTGTCGAAAAAGGTCTTTTGTTTTGGGAACGGGGGTTGTTTTACAATTAGTCGGCCACTGATCGGGAATAAGATATGGCCATCTTTTTGGAAAATTTGAATTTTTGAATTTTTTTGGGATTTAAGAAATATTTTACCTGTAGTAATAGCATTATAATAAGCTCAGAGTGGGGTAAGAATAGAAAAATGTATAATATAAAGGTTTTTAAAACCAGAAAATTTTTTACGGGCTATGTATAATATAAGTAAAATTTTTATGGCTATTTTTTTCAGCGATGGCTCAAATTTTGTATCCGTCATCTATGTAGGCCATAAATTGATCGCTGAAAATTTCACGTCGAGTCTTGCAGGCACAGCCGAGATATTGAAAAAAAATCTTCCACATATGGCAATGTGGGAGACGGTCAGAGAAAACAAACTTTTTGGT